AAAAAAATGTTGTAATACTGTCGACCTTCGTTGTATTTTACAGATTATTAATCCAAAGCTAATTAAGTACTATGTTTCAAATAGTGTTTTTATAAACGACTTCATTTAATAATTCATCCATCCACGTTAAATATTGATTTACTAAAGTGTAGAACATTGGAGAAGCCTTTTACAGAATATAAAACTAAAGTGGGCGGTTTGTGATTATTCTTAATTAACAACTGACAGGGAACCAACTAATTAAGTATCCCTTGTGGGTTATTTTATACTAATGGATTATTTAAGATGAGAGCTATTCATTTGTGGACTTGACGAAGATATAGCACGATCCTCGCCTCGCTTGTTGTCTCCCCCGTGACGCACGTCTACTTTCTAATGCTCTTCTCTAATATCGAATTATGATATTAGTTGTACTGATGCAAGAAAATTAAAGTGTTCACTTCGTGTGCTACCTATGAACGATCATAATGTTTTTTCCTTCTTTTTTTTTAATTTGATAATAATGATCATAAGATTAATTATAAGTTGTGGAGTAATTAAAATAGAAAACGAAGGGAGAGGATTAGGTGTCCCGCCGTCCAAAAAGATATGGAAATCCAGGGGGCACTTAAAAATAGACACAAGTTGGGGATTAAGTACTTATCTAATTAAGTCATCGCATTAACCAACCAGCGATAACCACCTAGACTCTCTTTGACCTAATTACACCCCATTATTTGACCATCTCTCCACTTAAAACATCCTATAATAATTAGCAAAGCCTAAACCACTCACCATCTTCTCCATCTCGTCATCTAGTAGTCAATCCTCAATCCGTGGATGTGATTCCAGTGGAATAATTAGCGTGTGCGTGTCTAATCCATCCTCATTGTATTTTTATACGATTCCATTTTAGAAAGATATGTTTTGAATCTTGAATGTAATAAAACATACGTTGATTTTAACTTATAATATCTTCGAATGTAACTCGTTCGATACTATAAATTTTCGATTTCAAGATTCCTTCCTCGTGTTTTTATTTTATAGTTATTTTTCTCAAATTATTCTAAACCTAAATTATTGTTTTAAAAACTTAAAAAAGAGTCTAATTCCATACAAAATTTAGGGTTTACCAATTGTTGTATCGTGACTGTATTTTCTTGAAAAAAATATAGAAATCATAATTCTTTCTTTGGCTAATCAACTTATGAATTAAGTTTACAAAGTTACAGGTTTGATTTCACTATGAACAACAACGTTGCGTATGTAGCTAGTTGGATCCTTAGACTTAATCCAGAGTGCTAATTTGAAGTAGGTTTTCGGAAAAATTATGCCTCTATGCTCATGTTCGGACACGGATGCTAATAATAATAATAACAAAACATGAATTTGCCACGTCAAGATGTTAAAATGATTTGTGGAATGCTTTCGCATAACTATAGAAATGAAAATCTAGCTCCATTATTGGTAGCCACAGAGCTTTAATTAAGACCAATCGATAGGCCGACGTGCTTGTTTAATCAAATAATTTCTCAATGTAGTAAGGGTTTAATTAAGTAAATAATGAAAAAAGACAAAAGAAGAGAAGATAAAGACAGGACGAGGGTTTGTGTAAGAATTGCCAAACAAGCAACAACGTGGTCCTATGCTCTCACCACGGACCAACCAGTCAATACTCAATTGGTTTTAGACGTTTTCGTTACAAGACAAATAACTTTTAATTATATACAGCATTTTCTTGAACTGAGAAAAAACACCAGCTAAATTAGAAAAAGAAAAAGAAAAATGTTTTAAAATAGAGCGTGGCGAAGTGTGAACACAAACACCGAGAAAGATCTGAGAGTCAATTCTTCTGGGTGACATGTGCATGTGAACTGTATCAAGACGCGTTTGGGGTTTATCGTTTAAAATTATTAGCTATCATGACCAAAGTGTTTAATCAAAGATTTCCAACAACAACACATTTCATTTATTCTAAAGACTTATATAGGCCCGTGTAGAAGAAGACTCTAGAAGAATTAGGTAATTATGATGACTGATGAGTAATGAAGTCATTCCGAAGCAGAAGAAGGAAATGTACGCGTGTTTTTAGTTAACAAATTCAAAAAATTGTCTTTATTATATGAAAAAATCTAAGTTCTTCTACACTGATTAAGATTGCATTATTATGTTCCATCTTTTATTTTTGCACCAAAGCCTTAACAATAGAACAATAACTGTCTATGGTACAGTACTAGTATTGCGATTAAGACAGAGAAGAGAGACACGTATACACAATAATTATGCACCTACAAGGATGTAGATGAAGCAGGAAAGAGAGGAAAACAGAATGAATTAAAAGGTACGAAGGTTTTTGGTTGAACTAGTGAATGTTGTGTACGAGATAAATAAGACCTTGGCCACAAAAAAAAAGAGAGTGAGAAAACATTGCTGTTTTTTAATGATGTTAAATTGGAACACTCGGACATAATTTCGTTTTTATTTTAGAACACAAATTTTAATACTTTTTGTAAAGAAAAATCTTTTTTTTTTGGTCAAAGTAAAGAAAAATCTATATTTTTTTTGTAAAAATGTACTTATAAAATTCAAAAGATTGTTCAACGCATCGTAATAAAAAAAAGTTTGCGTGTACGTCGTACAATAATAGAAAAAGATTTGACAGAAATTAAAACAAAGAATACGTTGCAACTTTCTCATCACGTATAAGGTTTCTTGGAACTTGCACTTCCTTAATCAGCCCTTTCCCTTCTTTCACATCTTCATGGCCTGTTTAACACCAATATTTGGACGTATGTCCGTCACTAACTAATTGTGTGTTTCGGAAAACTAATGAAAGAATATTCAGTGTGGGTTCATATTGTTAACATGCAACTGAGCCCGTTATGAATTGGCCCAACAAATAATGACGCGAGAAGGTATCCCGTTTTATGAGTTGTTTTGTATTTTGGGCACCTCTTCGTAATCGTAGCCCAACGAATAATAATTTGATCTGAGCAATGCTGTTTAGGTTAGGTCTTGTAATTGATTTATTAAGAAAAACTTAAGGCAACTAGCTGACACTGGCAGTATATCTTAATTAGTTAACTTTGCAATTATTGGCTTTTAAGAAGAGTCAAAGGGTATAGGGAGGATACTTTCGGTAGAAGAAATACAGCATTAATCCAATCAATCTCTCTCGTTTTCTTTGTTTGCTTTAGATTGATTTGAAATCTATACTATTAAAAGAGAAGTATTATTTTTAAATGATCAAAAACTATTATGATATTTAATAAATGTGTCATTGATTCTAGTAGAAAGTTTAATCATTTTATTAAGGATTATATCTATATAACTGTTAATTAGTATTCATTTCAAAGTAGAGAAAGAGAGGAAAGTCGAAATAATGATTACAGACCGAATAACAGTCATCAGAGGGTGATTCAGCTTGCAAATAGTGGTTGTTGTAAATCCCTCACTTTTTTTCTGAAAACACAACGAATGGAAATTAAAATTTTATCAGAAACCAAAACCAAATCAGAAAAAAGTAAGTAGGATGCTTACTCTAAGTGCATGTTTTGTGCTGTAAAGATGATCCGTGAAAGCTCTGAAGTTTAGAGCATCGAGCTGCACATTATATCCTGCACAATTGATCATGTATTTACCCCACTCCTCCTTAAGAGCTGGGGAATCTTGATCACATGCCCTTAAGCGTTTTAGTAAGCTCTCCCACAAGAAGCATCTCTAGTAGTGCTAGGCCATTCGAACATGGAGGGTGGACAAGATGGACACACTGACTGAAGGAAATATCGCTTTTTAGTCACATTGTTTATTTTTCTTTTAAAATAATTATTTTATCAAAAATAATTATGAGATATCATTGATAAGTTTACAACAATAAATGAAAATTATATAGCAAAATCCGAAATCTTAATTTTTATATATTAATTTGGATATAATTTATATATTTGAATAACGTAATTTTTCTTTAATATATATTTCACATATATATATATATATTTTAAATATATATAATATAATCTTTATGATCATAATAATTTCTATCACACTCTATACTAATTGCATAATCTTATGACAATTTTAGTTTAAAAAATAACTAAATTATCTGGTACAATGTACTCGAATCACGTTTAAAAAAAACTATAATTACAAAACGACATAATTTATGTTAATAAATCTGCTTGAGTTTTTTTTTTAACATATTGTTTCAGTTATTCTTTAAAAAAAATATACATAAGTATTGACTGATAACTAAAATAAAAATCATGGGTGTTCACCTATGTCTTAATAGAATTACTCATCATACAATATTCAACATCGCATATCTTAATTTTATGTATTATCATCTTTAATTGTATATCGATGATCCTTAACAGGAAACATGGTTTCTTCTTCTCAAACGATTAACAATAAGACATCAACTTCTATAGAAGCTTTTTGAATCAAAATCGTGAAGAATTATTGATTTTTGAAGCAAATAATCGAAGCTAAAAATCGAAAAATATCTCAGTCGCAAAATTTATATTTTGAAAATATCCAATTTGAGACAAAAAGTATTATGTTTACATATATTAATATTAAATTAATAAAAAATTACTTTTCGAATGTGCTAAAACGTTAGACAAAATTTATTTGTCTAGGCTTCAGTATAAAACACTGGTCCATAATGTTACTAACAAGTTTAAAACAAAATTTAAAATGAGTCAATATATTTTTTTAAAACAAAACCTGTTACATACAAATTTTTTGCTAAAAATATTTTAAAACTATTGTAAATTTGTTAGGAACAAAATGAAGTTAATGTTAATAATAATTAATAAAATATATCAAAAATGAATACACGTTTTATTTTATGTTATTATAATATATTAAATTCGGAAAGAATAACAAATTAATTAAAATATATGATCTAATTTTTCTTATGTCTAACATAAATACATATTATAAAAGCTAAAAATATTTTTAAAATTTTAAATTTGCGCTAAACACAAATCTAGATGTTATAAAAAAAGAAACTGAAACATATGAGCCGTTTGTTGACGTTTAAGAAGTCTGATGGGTCGCATTTGCAATTATCAGCGAAAGTAACTACCATAATCCCCCTTCATCAAGGTTAAAAGCGTCATTGACGTAAAGGGTAATATGGTAAATAAAAGGAGGTGCTTGGTGGGAGTAGGTGATGATGCCAAAGGAGAGTAATAGATTCGCATCAGAGCCCGCCTTTCTCTCTTTTTCACTCTCGAATCCCAGATCTCTCTCTCTCTCTCTCCCGCGGAGTCTCCGAGATCACCACTTCTGCTATGGCGTCTGCGAGTTTCGTTAAGCTAAACGCTCTCTCTTCTCCATGGATCGGCCAGCGATCATTTGCTCACCCCTCTGCCTCTTCTCCTCCTCGTGTCTCCTTCGCGATCCGCGCCGGTGCTTACACCGACGAGCTTGTTAAAACCGCCGTGAGTATCCTTTCCCTTCTCTCCTTGTTTTCATTTTCAATCTCTGGATCTCATGCGAAATTTCGCTATATCCGCTTTCTTATGGTTTAGTTTTTCCCACTCGATTCGAACTCTCTCGCTCTCTTTGGTTACAAAGTCAAACATGATGGTGATTCTGATTATGATTAGCGTAAAAACCTGTGAATAGAAAAGCATTGCATCCCCTGGGAGAGGTATTTTGGCGATTGATGAGTCGAATGCAACTTGTGGGAAGAGGCTCGCTTCTATTGGGTTGGATAACACTGAGGAGAACCGTCAGGCTTACAGGCAACTTCTGCTAACCACACCTGGACTCGGCGATTACATCTCCGGTGCTATTCTCTTCGAGGAGACGCTTTACCAGTCCACTAAGGACGGCAAGACCTTTGTCGACTGCTTGCGCGATGCTAACATCGTCCCTGGCATCAAAGTTGACAAGGTTTATTATACTTTTGACAAACGATTTCCATTGTTTTGAGCTTATTGCTTGTGTAATTGTGTTGCCTCTTAAAATTGACAATCACCATCGTGTATTTTCTACAGGGCTTGTCTCCCCTTCCCGGCTCCAACGAGGAGTCTTGGTGCCAAGGCTTGGATGGATTGGCCTCACGCTCTGCTGAGTACTACAAGCAAGGCGCTCGTTTTGCCAAGTGGTATGTCTGTGTGACCCTTTTTGCTTGTTATGATTATGATTCTTAAAGTTTGGTGGATTTGATCTGGGAAATGTTGTTTATGTGTATGTGTTTGTTCAGGAGGACAGTTGTGAGTATTCCTTGTGGTCCTTCAGCACTAGCTGTGAAGGAAGCTGCGTGGGGTCTAGCTCGCTATGCAGCCATCTCTCAGGACAAAGGGCTTGTGCCTATTGTGGAGCCAGAGATCCTTCTGGACGGGGACCACCCGATCGAGAGGACACTGGAGGTGGCTGAGAAAGTGTGGTCGGAGGTGTTCTTCTACTTGGCGCAAAACAACGTAATGTTTGAAGGCATATTGTTGAAGCCTAGCATGGTAACAGCAGGTGCTGAGCACAAGCAAAAGGCCTCTCCCGAGACCGTTGCAGAGTTCACGCTCAAAATGCTCAAGAGGAGAGTTCCTCCTGCTGTTCCAGGGATCATGTTTCTTTCTGGAGGACAATCGGAGGCGGAGGCCACACTGAACCTGAACGCCATGAACCAAAGCCCGAACCCGTGGCATGTGTCCTTCTCCTACGCACGTGCCCTGCAGAACTCCGTGCTGAGGACGTGGCAAGGGAAGCCCGACAAGATCGAGGACTCGCAGAAGGCTCTCTTGGTTAGAGCAAAGGCTAACTCACTGGCTCAGCTCGGAAAATACTCAGCTGAGGGAGAGAACGAGGATGCTAAGAGAGGAATGTTCGTCAAGGGTTACACCTACTGATTATTTTAAATTTGGTCCCAACCCAAAGAGATCTATAATAAGGACCCATGTTGTCTCTTTTTGAAGTTTTTCCCTTTTTGTTTTTGTTTCCGTCTCTCTTTCATCCATGAGAAAGAAACTCACAAGTCACGATCATATGTATATGTGAGACAGTGAGAGAACTTGAAAAAGTGAAAACATGATAAATCTATATTTCCTCAGGATTTTTAAACTTTGACTTGCTAAATTAAGGAATTCTTGAGGGGTATTAAGGTCAATTTGGTTAGTTGTTAACAACAGCGAAGTCCTCTCTGCAAGTAAAAGTGGTTAAATCTTGAACCGGAGATCTCGCAAGGCTTAAACGAGATTACTTTTCTGTTTCTTCAACGACGAGGACTCTGCTTTTTCCGATGAAGGATCGTCTTCCTCCTTCCCTCTATGTTCCGCCGCACCAGCGACTTCGCTCCATCCCTCCCGATTACGCCTTTCATCCTCTTCCTCTCCCCCACTCGCAACCACAACATGCAACACTCTTGCCCATTCGCTATGTCTCGGCCTACGATGACCGCGTCTTCGAGGAAGAAGCTTCTCATCGCGAGCCGGTAACTTCTTTTTCTTCTCTCTCTTATAGACTCCAAATTTGAGCAGTTGAGCTTATTGACTGCTCCAATGGCGAATTTAGTTTTGATTTTGCTGTCGAGTAGCATTTCCTTGAAACCCCCTTTGAGTTAATATTGCCGAAATTTGTTACAAGTCGCTTCCTTTATTATTGGAACCATATCAAAGGTTCCAAATGTCAAGTCTTATTAATCATTTACCGACTGAGAGATAAGCTTTGCAGGTCGCAATTCATTGTGACAACGTAGATGAATGGGAAAGAAACTTGTCTACGCTTTTGCGTGATTCTGTAAAGCAAGAAATCATCTCCAGGGAGAAAAAAGATCGAAGGGATTTTGATAAACTTGCGGCGCTCGCTACAAGGCTTGGATTGTATAGGTAACCCTCTAGAGTAATCACAGCCTATGCTAGTTTTTTTAGCTGGTGTTTGTTTCTCACAAGAACGTTTCTTTATGGAAATCTCTTTTTGCAGTCATGCATATGCTAAGGTTGTTGTGTTCAGTAAGATCCCACTCCCTAACTATAGGTTTGATCTAGATGATAAGAGACCACAGAGGGAGGTAAGCTCTATTCTCTTGGAGTTATACAAGAGGCCTATCTTTTCTTTCTTGCGTTTTTTTAAAAGAGCAAATATATACGGAACTGACAGGTGAATCTGCATGCGGATCTTCTTAAAAGAGTTGAAGCTTACCTCAAAGAGTACCTCAGTAAAAAGTCAAAGAGGATGGATAGATTCCCTGCCAAATCCTTTTCAAGAACTAGTAGCACAAACAGTATCGCTACCGATGAAGGGCTTCTTGAGCAACCAGAGCCCATGGCTGCAAGCAAGACGGCTCTGGACAAGATTCTTTGGCGAAGGAGTTTACAGCTGCGTGAACGACAAGAGTATTGGGAGGTTCCGTATAGTCGCCTATCTGTTTATATTATGTCGTTATTATGTAACTTACTATTCTCCTCCTTTGCTTTTTCATTATCCTTTTACATTTTATGTGTGTTTTATCGATTAGGAATCGGTAGAAGGTCGAGGAATGCTGGAATCTCGCAGAAATCTCCCTGCTTACAAGCAGAGGGATTTGGTATTGTCAGCGATATCACGGAATCAGGTATGCAAAGCAGAAAAAGGAGGCACGCTTGTGCCCTGTTGTATGACATGTATATCAGCTTGAAAGTAACAATTTTCTTGCTACAGGTTATTGTTATCTCTGGAGAAACAGGTTGTGGCAAGACCACACAAGTTCCACAGTTTATTTTAGAATCTGAGGTTGAAGCAAACCGTGGAGCTTTTTGCAGTATCATATGTACTCAACCAAGGAGGATATCTGCTATGTCTGTATCGGAGAGGGTTGCTTACGAGAGAGGAGAGCAGTTGGGTGAATCCGTGAGTTTCACCTATATCTAGTTGGCTTGGAGCCTTATACTTGGAACTCCTCACTCTATTTGCTGACTAAGCTCGATTCTTTCTTGTGAAGGTTGGATACAAAGTTCGATTGGAAGGTGTTAGAGGAAGAGATACTCGCCTACTCTTTTGCACCACAGGCATTTTGTTGAGAAGGTTGTTGGTAGATAGAAACTTAAGAGGAGTTACTCATGTAATTGTGGACGAAATCCATGAGCGTGGAATGGATGAAGGTATACTTGTGTTATTATCACATGGTGCTTGTCATTTTGAACTTGGTTGGGATGCGACTTTTAACAATGTATTATCTTTGTGTTACAGATTTCTTGCTTATCATTCTTAAAGATCTCCTACCTCGTCGCCCAGAGCTTAAGCTGATTCTGATGAGTGCGACTTTAGACGCTGAGCTCTTCTCGTCATACTTTGGTGGGGCAGGTGTAATCCACATACCAGTAAGTAGGAAACAGAATCTATTCTCTCTGATTAACCCCCTTCAGTGATGCTACTAATAGATTTTACTTGTATATTTCTTGCTCACTATAGGGCTTTACATATCCGGTTCGTAGTCATTTCCTAGAGGATATTCTGGAGATGTCCAGGTACAGTTTGACTCCATACAATCAAATTGATGATTACGGTCAAGAAAGATCGTGGAAGATGAACAAACAGATCCCAAGAAAAAGAAAGAGCCAAATTGCGTCTGTCGTTGAGGTATTAGAAAACAAGAATATTAGTAATACCATAGTTTAGTTGTACGTATCAGGTCCTCATTTCTGTTTCCCTGATGTAAGCAGGATGCACTGAGAGCGGCTGACTTCAAGGAGTTTAGCCCTGAGACTCGAGAGTCTTTGTCTTGTTGGAATCCTGATTGCATTGGTTTTAATCTCATAGAGTTTCTCCTTTGCCATATATGTGAGAATGAAGGTCCTGGTGGTGTATTAGTTTTTATGACTGGATGGGATGATATCAGCTCTCTGAAAGATAAACTCCAGATTCACCCATTCCTGGGCAATCCAGACCGGTTTATGTTGCTTGCTTGCCATGGTTCTATGGCAAGTTTTGAGCAGGTGATTTATAATTTCTTCTTCTGATGCATCTCATGCTAGTTACCATTTTCTTCTCTTTCTCCTTCTCCTTCCTTTGCAACCGGAACGTTTATACGGTTGAAAACATACTTATCATTTACTTTTTACTCCATTCTGATTTATGCAGAGGTTAATATTTGAAGCGCCTGCAGGTGGAGTAAGAAAGATAGTTCTGGCCACTAATATCGCAGAAACGAGCATCACGATCAATGACGTTGCTTTTGTTATTGACTGTGGAAAGGCGAAAGAGACCTCCTATGATGCATTAAATAATACGCCCTGTTTGCTTCCTTCTTGGATTTCCAAGGTTTCAGCTCAGCAGGTACTTGCTCGTTTGCTTAGAGCTGATAGCTTTTGAGGATCAAACTCTTATTAATAAGACTGAGCCATTTCCTCACTGATTTATTATAGGAGTGACCATTCGTCACAGGGACATGGATTAGTGGTTCAGTTTACATTGATGTAGATATACCAGATATTAGATGTTCTTTGTTTGTGTTGAGCGCAGTTGCATTTCAAATACACTGGACTTTTTAGAATTGTGTATAAGTATCTATTGCCAACAATCTTAATTCTCTGCCTGCTTATTGAGATTACATTTAGTGACCGTTAGTGTTGATTCTCATGCTTTGTTTCTGATTGCAGAGAAGAGGAAGAGCCGGTCGTGTTCAACCTGGACAGTGTTATCATCTTTACCCAAGGTGTGTATATGAGGCTTTTGCAGAATATCAATTGCCTGAAATTTTGAGGACGCCTTTACAGTCACTGTGTCTGCAAATCAAGAGCTTAAATCTCGGAAGTATATCTGAGTTCTTGTCAAGGGCGCTGCAGTCTCCTGAACTACTAGCGGTACGACTTATTTCTTTAGTTCTTTGGTTAGATTTTCGAGTATAGAGAACTTAGTTTAGGTGAAGGTGTTCGCTTTAAACCTACCTTAGTAATCAACAATGAAACAGCAATATGTTCAATCTCTTTTCTTTTGCTTCATGTTTGGTAGGTTCAAAAGGCGATTGAATATCTGAAGATAATAGGGGCATTGGATGAGAATGAATACCTCACTACTCTAGGTAAGAGGAAATATGCTATCTTTCAATCTGAATCATGACAGTTTTGAGTAGCAGGACTGTAATTGATCTCACGTGGCTCAAATTCTTTTGCAGGTCGTTATTTGTCCAAGCTTCCCATGGAGCCAAAGCTTGGAAAAATGCTCATACTAGGAGCTATACTTGGATGCCTTGATCCTATATTGACTGTTGCGGCTGGCCTGAGTGTGAGAGATCCTTTCTTGACACCTCTGGACAAGAAAGATGTAAGTCCATCTCCCGCCACGTATAAAATTAAATGCAGATCAACTAGTTATCTAGCACTTTAAATCTCTTCGTCAGCAGTTCGCTTTACCACATCTTACATTATTAGCATTTAGCTAAAGTTAATTTCAGTAATACGCTTAATTAGCATATATGGTCCAGTCTCTCTGTTATGTTAGTCAAAGATGACTTGACAGTAAGATATGATGTTTTGTTATTAACTCTCCCAGCTCGCAGAAGCCGCAAAGTCCCAGTTTTCACGTGATCACAGTGATCATTTTGCACTTGTTCGGGCATATGAGGGGTGGAAAAGAGCTGAGGAAGAGTCTGCTGTATATGATTACTGCTGGAGAAACTTTCTCTCAGTGCAGTCGATGAGAGCTATTGATTCTCTCCGAAAAGAGTTCTTCTCATTACTCAAGGATACCGGACTAATAGATGGGAATTCAGGAGGGGGCAATGATGAGAATCTCACGCGAGCAGTTATTTGCTATGGATTGTATCCAGGAATCTGCTCGATTGTGGTGAGTTCTTCTCCTGAATCTCTCTGTCCTGCGTTGTCCTCTCTATCTCAATTTCAGCAGTTTGCGTTATTGAGCATTTATGTAATGATACATGCAGCATAATGAGAGATCATTTTCGCTGAAGACAATGGAGGATGGCCAAGTTCTTCTTTATTCAGTATGCGTCCTTCCAGTCAAAACTAATGATAGTACTATATACCTTAACACTACTATTTGGTTGGAATTTAATACATTCAAATTTTTTTTTTTGACTATAGAATTCTGTAAATGCTCGGGATACAAAAATACCATATCCGTGGTTGGTTTTCAACGAGAAGATAAAAGTGAACTCTGTTTTCTTGAGGGATTCAACAGCTGTCTCTGACTCTGCGCTTATCCTCTTTGGCGGTACCATTTCCAAAGGAAACTTTGTGAGCTTCTCTCTCTCTCTCTCTCTCTCTCTCTCTCTCTCTCTCTCTCTGTCTATCTTTCTTGCTCCTACTTGTATATCTTTGTTGTCAGCAATTTTATTGCGAACCTCTTGTTTTTCGGTAGGATGGCCACCTGAAAATGTTGGGAGGATACTTGGAGTTTTTCATGAAGCCTGCTGTTGCAGAGATGTACCAAACCTTGAAGAAAGAGCTTGACGAGCTGATACAGAGCAAAGTGAGTTTCATAAAATCTCAAAACTATCCACCTCTGTTGGTTGTGTTATTATGTCCTGAGTTGTGAATATACTTTTAAAAAACATTCCAGCTACTTAATCCGAAAATGGACATGCAAGCACACCGTGAACTCTTAATGGCTATACGGTCATTGGTCTCTGAGGATGGATGTGATGGAAGATTTGTGTTTAGTCGCCAAGTACTTCGGCCTTTAGAAACGTCGGCGGTGTCAACAAAACCGACATTGGTTTCAAGGACCGAAAGTGGGCCAGGGGGTGACAATTCCAAGAGTCAGCTTCAAACAATGCTCACTAGGGCGGGTTACGCAGCACCCATGTATAAGACAAAGCAACTGAAGAACAAGTTCCAAGCAACAGTTGAGTTCAACGAGACGCAGATCATGGGACAGCCTTGCAGCAACAAGAAGAGCGCCGAGAAGGATGCTGCAGCTGAAGCTATACAATGGCTGATGGGTGGGGCTAAGGAAAGCCATGAGCACCTGAATCTTGTCTCAAAGCTGCTGAAGAAAAGCAAGAAGGATCACCACTGATTGCTTTTGCTGATTGCCAATGCCTTTGTAGAGGACAACAAGAAAAAATGCCATATGCGATTTTTCGGTGTCTAAATATTTCCGGAAGGCGAAAATGGGACTGAAAAACGGATTGACTCGGAGCGTCGCTCTGCGGCATGCGATCAGATTGGGTTGAAAGGGAGATTAAATACTCATTATATGGCACAGTAGGGTGGAGCTGCAGACATAGAGAGAGAATTGATGTGAGAATTAACATGTCAGATCTGTGTGGGTCTTAACTCTTAGCATAGGCTGTAACTTGTAAGTGTAAGTTGTGTAACTATAGAGAATGTTGTTTGTGTAAAAGCTGGTGGTAATTAGGAATTTGAATGAGTTTTATCTCGACATGCTCTCTGCCTCAATATGTATATAACTGTGGCAGGTGGAGAAAACGCAAAGCAAAGGCAAATCTCAACTCAAAACGAAATATGTTCAACATGAAATAACATACAGATCACATAGTCATTAGAGAATTGTCTTATTATTCCTAAGGACAACAATTACAGAGATTAATGGTCCAGTAACTTGACAAGAATGGCCTGTTCCAGCAGATAAAGTAGATATCATCAAGTTGAATAATATTTTACAAAAATAAAGGGAAGAAAAAGAGAGCATAGATGAAAAAAATTGAGACTTACGGGACAACACGCATGAGATCTCATTCCCTGATGAAGCTCAGAGGCTGATATCAAAAGCTTCATCGGACGGTACTCACCTGTCTGAGATTGTCCTCTATTCTCCGCGTAGCATATAACTTCTCGCTCTTTCAGGTGCTCAAATGCCTGTCATGCCAACAATTTAGACCACCACCACATTCAAACCATGGCATCTCATGAGAGCTATACAACACTTACCCGTAGGCAGACATTTTGCGCGTAGTAGTCCGAGGTTTGAAAAGAATCGTGTATCGTCTTGTACTCTGGAACACACATGGAATCCCAAGTCATTTTCATAGTGACGCAACACGCAATATTTTTCTTAAGCCAGGTTTATAGTTTACCTTTCATCACACTGATGAAGTTGTATGAGCTTTGCTCTTTCACTTCTAGCCTCCTCATGCACACCAGAAGATAAAGCTCCAGTATGGAACAATCTGCTCAACAATGTTAATGCCAGTTGATTTAACTATCTTCCCAAGGAAAACGTAAAAGCAACACCACAGATTAGCGAAACATATTTCCTCAGAAGTCGAGTGAATCTAAATTCTTCTATAGTTGGCTTATTATACCTCTAACGGCTTCCAACTTGGGTTGCCTTTGCATACTTGAAAGTGCTGCTTTGAAGTTCTCAAGTGAGAGGAGGCCCGATTCCATATTCATCAAAGAGACAGCGCGGAATCTAACATCAAGAGATAGCCTCAACACAGAGAAAATGACAAATTTTAACAAGAAACAGCTCAACCTTGGTAAATGAAGTAACTTACATAAACTTTAGCAAACTGTTGACAGTAGAATTGGCATTAAAAAATGTCTTCAGCATGTCTTTAAATCTCGTGTCTGATGTTATATTCTGCACATTACAAGTTGTTTTTTTTAGAAATATTAATTGGACACTATCAGTTCTTCAGAACAAGAATTGATATCATATAAAAGCTAAGCATGGCAAAGTACTGATTGGTCGTGGATATTAGAACCTTAATCTTTTCATTGAACCGAGACACATATCCACTGGGGAAGCTTGAGTCTGCTGGTAGAGACAGCAGGTGCTCCAATAAACTGGAAAGATAACCCTATTTTTAAAACAAGTTCATTGGATGAAAGTTTTCGGCTCCCTGCAGTAAAGAAGCTTATCAGAAAGAAGCTGCCCATTACCTGTCAAATTCTTCCCTAGATGGAGGAATAAACAAAATTTTCCTGTGTGAAAAGCGAGATCTCACCCTTTTCTCCAAAAGTTGATCAGCGTCCTGTGGTGAAAGATTGCATATTGTAAGATTTTGAACCAGAGTATTGTCATCATCATACAGTTGAAGAATGAAAAATTGACTAGAAACAATCTTAATCCCCCAAGCATTTATATCTGTATAGCCATGCTCATACCAGTCGAGAACTAATACCAACGACAACAGCTTGTGATGTTACAGATTGCATAGCATCCAGTAAACTGTACAGCAACCGCTGTTTTCCCTATATATAACAAAAAAAATAAGGTGAGTGGAGAGAAAGCACCAACCTCCAATTCCGTAGCTCATCAAAGGTATACCTACCAACCTTAGGATGGGCTTTAGGTGAAAAAGTAATTTTATAATAGGGAAAACGAGTTACAATACAATTAGCAAACTGTAAGGATTCAGAATTCTTGCCTGTGCAAACATGTCAAATTCATCAAGCACAAATATGATTGTCTTATGAGCTAGTCCACATTCCCTGAAAAATCTCCATCAGTTTTTCTTGACTTGAATATCAACACAGCGAAAAGGCTCGTTATGTCAAGGTAAATATACCCACCGAAGCATGGCTATTATGAACTGCGAATTCTCATCGAATGATGCCTGAAAATGCCAAAAAAGTATCAAGCCAATTGTAACATTTGTCAAACAACAATAGGCATACGAACCATTTGGTGGAAAAAATTGCCATACCATTTTGGAAAAGAGCAGGCTGTGTTCCATGCACAACTGTCTAGCAATTTCCTGAAAAACCAATGTAAGATAATCCACTGTGAACTCAAATATAAGGAAACCTCTTGAATGTGATGCATAAAGCAAGAAAAGATGTCATTTTGTCAACCCCAGAGTGATTATTAAATTTTTTTTTTTCAAGGAGCCCATTGATAAAATTTACTAGAGGATGATAATGGTGGCTACCTTGAATGCACAATTATCGTCACTATGTAGGAGTCCATTCAATCTGATCTGCATCAACAGAAAGTGATAGTAAGATAAGATGGAGATGGATAATTCCCAAAGTGGATGGCCATATACTAAATCACACATACTACTGATACTGAATCTGGATACTCCTCCAATAAATCACCAACAACGAGATCCAAGACCTGATATTTATTATATAAAAAAAAAAAAAAATCAAACGCCACGAACTGAGAGAGAGTGAGAGTGAGAGTGTAGAAGCAGGGTTCGAGGAGCATACGGCGGCTTTTCCAGAGCCTCGAGGGCCCAGAAGCAAGATTGAATTGTTGCAGCCCTCTGTGATAGAGGTCGAAACAATGAACCTCAACTTGCTAAAACAGACGAATTTTAGGGTAAGCAAATGAATCCAATTACGGAATTTCCAGAAAAAAGTCGAAGCAATCAAACCTGTAGTTACTCTCTGGGGAAACGGAAAGAGGTCTGAAGACGAAAGTAGGATCGCAGAGCCTCCCGCGAATCAGGTTTAGGGATTTCTCCGCCGGATTCTCTTTGCCCATCGGAAAAAGTTGGAAACCTGGCGGGAAAATGACAGACTCATCCCTCTCCGTGGACCATCATCATAACCAGTTATTAAGTGAAGTTTATGGGCCGTAATGGGCCTGTGCTTTCTCTAAACGCGGTCGTTTTAAAATTGTGAGAAGTTCGGTGACGGAAGTGTTGTTTAACGGAAAAAATAGAAAAAAAAGGATTGGGTTTTGTAAATTTCATGAGGCGAAGGAAACTCCACCGGAACCAATCGTTCTCAGACGCTCTTGTAAGCATACGAGAGGATTGATTCTAGAGAGAAGCGATGGGGAGCACAAGCACGAGCTCTGCTGCTCTAATCCACCATTTCCGGCTCACCAGTCGCAACTTGGGTTCGCCAGGGAAGCGTCCTTACACTGTGAATTTCTGCAATTCGTGGAGGGAAACTGGACTCCGATACGGTGTGACGCGACGACGCTGGAGCAAAGGCTCAGGCCCGGTGGTTCGCTTGGCAGCTCTGAAAGAAGATTCTGGCGATTCACCAGCGGAGACCACTCCTGGCGTTGGCTCTGCTGTAGAAGACAGACCAGGTATTAAAACTCCAGGTTTCTTGTTTGTGTTTTGTGTTAGGGTACTTAGAATTTGAATGATTGAGTTGTTGATTTGTATGTTCGTCTCAAAAGTTTACTCTTTTTAAGCTTCCTGGGGTTAATATAGTGATGATGAATTACATTACACAGCTGTGGAAGATTCATCCTTTGAGCAAGATGAAAAGGCGAGTTCGATCTATGAGTTTCTGTATCCCCGTAAAGAAGAGCTCCCTGATGACAAAGAGATGACTATATTCGACCACCTGGAGGAGCTCCGGGAGAGAATATTCGTCTCGGTTTTGGCTGTGGGAGCTGCAATCACGGGATGCTTCGCCTTCTCCAAAGACCTAATCATATTTCTTGAAGCTCCTGTCAAAACTCAGGGTGTACGATTTCTGCAGCTAGCTCCAGGCGAATTTTTCTTCACAACTTTAAAGGTAGGAGCCACTTTGGAGTAGCTCAAAATGATCAGATTGACAGAGAGAGTAACTGCAACTTATTCAAATGAACAAAAAAAATGATATCTTTTTACTCTTTGTTGTTGTTACGGTGCAGGTCTCGGGTTATTGTGGGCTTCTACTAGGGAGCCCAGTGATCCTGTATGAGATTATAGCTTTTGTACTTCCTGGTCTGACACGAGCTGAGAGAAGGTTCCTGGGACCAATAGTGTTTGGTTCCTCGTTGCTGTTCTATGCTGGACTTGCCTTCTCCTACTGGGTCTTAACCCCTGCAGCCTTGAATTTCTTTGTGAATTACGCAGAAGGGGTGGTGGAATCTCTGTGGTCTATCGACCAGTACTTTGAGTTTGTGCTAGTGCTCATGTTCAGCACTGGCCTGTCTTTCCAGGTATGTGGGTATGAGAATGTACATCTTTCAAAGTATATGTTCTAATATATACATCTTCACCTGGAACTTGCGTTCTCGTTGTTGGGTTTTACAGGTTCCAGTAATCCAGTTACTCCTAGGACAAGTAGGTGTGGTGTCGGGAGATCAAATGCTTTCGATTTGGAGATATGTGGTGGTGGGTGCTGTAGTTGCAGCAGCTGTACTCACGCCTTCGACAGACCCTGTTACTCAGATGCTCCTAGCAACGCCGCTTCTGGGGTTATACTTGGGTGGTGCATGGATGGTCAAGCTCACAGGTCGGTGAGGAACTTGGTTGTTCAAAAGACAAATAATTTCATTTATCTTGTAGAGTATATCATCACTTTTCCATGCAAGAGACCACAGTTTGGTACCTAAAATGTTAATCTTAATCTTCATCTTCTTCGGATGTGTACACAAATTAAGCAACTAAAAAGAGCACAAAGAGCAGTATTTATTGTCGATTTTATGCTCTGCAATAAAATCACAAGTTTATCCATTATCAACCGCAAGAGATAGTTAAATAGACAAAAACTAGATACAGTCAGTTTGTCTTGTATTGGTCCCTGCGTGTATTGGTTCTTAACATTGATTACGTCTCTCAGTGCTGACAAATGAAAAATGAAATAATGAAAAGAAGTGCCACAATTGTTATTCAACACAATGGGTCCAACATCTAAATAGGAGTTGTTGTGCTAATGGTTCGTCACCAGATACCACAACATATAGTTCTGATGATGGATGTGAATTAAACAAAATACACTTTCAAATGCCAGTTTCCATTCTCACTTGTCTATGCTGTCTTCTCTTTTCTCAACTGATAACCTCCTTCCATCAGACTCGGGAGCTGACTCCTCTCTGTCATGTTTATGATAGGTTCTCCTCCTCACTGCGCCATCATCCTCACTTGAAGACTCTCCCCATCTATGCCTTTTATGCTGCCTTCTCTTTCTACTCTTCCTGCTATCCTCCGAGTCGCTGGAGGAGGCTGAACCTCTGTTGTGCCTGTGATATTTCCCACGTCTTCTTCTTCCCCCTCTCTCTTCCTCCTCACTATGACTTGAAGTGACCACCTCACTGTGCCGCCTGTGATGCTTTACATGCCTTCTTCTCACATCTTCGGCATTGTCATCATCACAACGCAACTTGTGCCTCCGGTGGTGCCTTGTCTTCATCTTGAGCTCCTCCTCTGACCCGGTTTCGTACTCATCACTGCTATCGTCGCTTGGACTTGATGACCTTCTCCTATGCCTCCTGGATTTCTTCTCTTTCCTCCTATCGCTGTCATCTGAATCAAAGTGTGCATGTCTCCGATGCTTGCTGTGAGTTCTTCTCGACTTTCTTCTCACCTCGGAGCTAATATCACTCTCTGAGCTAGAGTCAGACGCACCCCTATGCTTCCGCTTAGAACCCTTAGACTTCTTTTCTTTGGTTTCAGAATCAGCAGCAGCCTTGGCAGCCGCCTCCAGCTTCTGCTCCCATTTCAAAGGAGCTTCCTTCTTCTCCAGGATTTTTCGTTTCTTCTCCTCCACCATCTGGATGAACTTCTTGCAGTCCATTTGGATTGAAAAAGCAGCTGAAAATCTGCATTTTGGTATGAATATAACCAAAAGTGCATCTCACAAAAGAGAAGAAAAAACAATGTTAGTTTACGAGGCTAAAAATCAATCATAACACACAAAAATATTGGGTTTTTAAACAAACTAACTATGATGTTGATATAACAACAGATTAAAAAAAGCTACACTTTTCACCAAAATTCCGGTTTTTCTATTAGAGTTTAGCATTCCAACTTAACCAATGCCAGGACCTAGAGAGCTAAGAGATTTGAAACTAAAGAGATTAATTGAAATTAATCTAAACCAAACTTCTTACCTGATGCGAGTGAGAGGTAAGATTAGCCTGAGAGGAGACGCAAGCGAAGAAAGAGACGCAACCTAGAGGTAAGAGGAGAGACGAAACAGATCAACGGATTGATTGAATCGTAGAACCGAACACAATTTTGAAACAAAAGGATCAAGGGCGAAATTGGAACGCAGATCTAAAAAATATCGATGATCTGCTAGGGTTTAAGATCTTGATTTAACAAGCAGATCTGGAATCTGAGAAATCTCTTACCGTAAGGACAGGAACAGAGAGGAGAAGACAAACGCTAGGTCTTCGCTTTTTACGTCTCTTCTTACCTTCTGATTGGCTTTCGACAGATCGTCTGAAATATAATGTCGCGATGCCTCTGTATATAGTATATTTTATTTACAAAGGAAAAGGAAAGTACATGATCTGTGTTGCGTGCCGTTTATAAACAGAACTCAAAAACAGCGTGCCGTTTATGTATAAAACCTATTGATATTTGATTTGAGCATGAGTCTTCAGTACCTCGAAGACAATCTCTGTGTGCTAAATTGATATTGGATTTGATCTTTTAAAAATGAGCTAAACACCATTGTTCATTCAAACAGTCGAAGAAGAAACGACATACAAATAGAATCGGATTCTTCTTTTCTTTATTAAACATTTTTTTTTCTTTCAAAAAGACGACAATGAATCACATGATGGTGCAAGGTTGAGCGTGATCATCGCTGAAATATCGGAAAAGGGAATCGGATGCAGGGTAAGACTTGGTCTCGTAGAAATCGTAAGGATAAGGCGCCGGCGGCTTAGTCGGCCTAACCTCCGGCCGTGAGCACGTCAGCAGCCTCGGTCTCGGCCCCGGTGCTAACCATCCCGGCGGTTCCATCGTCCGCGGCAACGTATACGCCGGCATCATCGGCAGTCCTGGATGCCCGAAACCCCTAACTGGTACTGGGCAGGCGATGGGCGGCGGTCCCATATTCCCGAACCTAACTGGTGCTGGACAGTCTCCCTCGGCGGGTTTCGGTGGCGGTTCGTCTTGGGGCTCCTCCTCCTCCTCGGTGGCGTAACGCTTGAGCAAGGGCCGGAACTGGGTCTTAGCCTTAGTTGGGTCCTTCTCGTAGCCGTAAATTTGGGCGCTTTGCCCGGTTCGTTCGACGGCTTTGACAAGCGCAGGAGGTTCTGCTGTCCCGGCGACCAAAACCAGACCTTTCGCCGGGTCAATGATTATGGCGTATACTCCTGTTCATCCACACACAAGGACACAACCACACAAAAAAAAAAAAAAAAAAAAAAATCAAAACTTGTTGTACACACAGCACGATTAGGTTTGAGTTCAATCAAAGGTAAATCGAGAGTACCCTTTACTCTACGCAGACGCCTCTTCACACGAGATGGGAGGTCTTGGCAACACTGGAGATTCATTTTAAGTAAGCAAATCTGTAGAAACGAACACGATCTTGGTCAGTACTAAGATATCCGACTCAAAACAAACAAACAGTATCCCAAAGTCGGAAGATAAACACGTTCATACAACCTAAAACAACTCTGTATAATCCCTTACCGGAAAATTCAAATCCTCCATTGTTGCTTTCTCAATATGTAGAAGCGACGGTTTTTTTATGTCAGGATTACTTCCGTGGATAATATATCTTCAGTTAAGGAGGTTACTTTCCCTAATTTGGTTAACTGTAAATACAGAAGCTAGGGAGCTCTTGCGGTCTCTGTTTCTCCTCTCTGTCTCACTATGCGAACATAATATTTTGTTTTGGGAGATGAGGATTTTTGGAGGTGAACATTAAGGAAGGATCCAATCACAATCACATTAAATGGCGTATATTATGGGTTCACATATGTAAAGTTATGATTTGTAATAGCCTAAACTCAAGACCTGCGTATATATTTCAAACCATTAGCATGTCAAGATCTGGTTTCATGTAAAACTCGTCATACAATTTTACGGGATCGATAGGCGGCGGAAGATAATACTCATAACAGAAAAAAGACGGGTAATAAAGGTGCCACATTGCGACTGATGTTGCTCTAATTTATAGACAAAGCTAACTTGAGATATAAAAGTGAAAGTGATGATCACAGTTTAGATTTCCCCAACAGAAAGCAAACAAAGAAATTAGAATTCACAGCTTGCCAGAGAACCAAAACGGAGAAAGCGCCAATGCAATCTAGTTTGCAGTAATGTTCAGTATCCACTGCATTTTATTATATAACCCTTGTAAAAATTATTCAACAAAATACAAGACAGAGACTCAAGACTTAAATTTTCTCTCTTGTCATTTTAGTTTTGCAAACAGCTTAGGTCCGACCTGCAGATCAAAAATACGAGTTTAATTCATCTTAGAATGAAACTTTTAGGTGTATACAGAAAAAAAACACCACTTACACATTTGTCAACACAATGCCAGTAATCAAAATACTGCCCAGTGCAATGTTTGTGGCCAGAGTCATCATCTTGGATCCTCTTGACACACGCCTGCACCACAACAACAAAATGTTACAGGTTGAACCACACTCCCACGCCATGAGCACCGGAAGAAATCGCTGCTCTTTATGTCAAAAGTAGTACACACCAATATATTGCAAAACAAGGTTATGACCAATAACATCTCAAGTTGTATGCATATTCACCTGATATTCAAGTAATGGCTTCACACATTTTGGTTTGCAAGATTCCTCAAGGTACTTTTTCTGATCAACGGCTTCCTCATCTGCCCTGTAATTATCGGAATTACACCATTCATTACGATGGAACATCAAAAGTTAGATAGGCAAACACAGGTAATGGTTTATAAGCGATATTATGTTCATCACTACGACAAAGCGCCTTGTTGTCAAAGTAGGGCTGTTCCCATTTAACTATACAACTCTTATAAATCTTCACAGCTTTTAAAAAACCCTTCAAAATTTATGCAATCACAATAATATGAAGAGAGAGTTCCAAATGCATCTCACGACATGAAAGATAGTTCTTAGTCAGCTTATTATATATAACCAGATCATCGTGGACTCATCAAGATGGAAAATCGGATAATTAAATGGGGTAGACAAGTCTAGCGAGAGCAGTAGTAAAACAATTGCAAGAGATCTATTGAACGGATAAAAAAATATCAAAAAGGATTAAAATGCAGAATCTAGAAATGTGCTTGAAGAAGAAGGAACTTACATGGTGAAATTGGAAATAAAGGATCGCAAACTTGACCTGGAATCTGAGAAATTAGGATTAAAAAAAAAAAAAATCTGTAATGTTCGATCAATCACGAAATGAAAAGTAGATCCGTCGAAGGAATTAACGTTACCTGATGGATAGCCGAACGATGAACCCTTAATGTTACGATTCGATTTCTTCCCCAAATTTCATCGTCTCCTACGTCTGGTTGCCGTTTCGGCACTCTCTGAGAAATATGGGCCTTAACCAACCATCCTTAAGCCCACAATAAAGCCCAATTTTGATGGAGAGAAAAAGGCTTTATAAGATACACTCAGATACCGTAACGGAATCGTAACCGCTGCTTCATGTTTCTTGCTTCTTCCACAATTCCATTCTTTTACTTGTGAACTCTTTCTTCCCGCTCGATTGCACAACAATGGCGACCAATTCGTCTGTTAGTCTCACAGCCTTCGTTCTCGTCGCGTTCGTGCTCTGGCTCCCTTTTCCTTCCGCCGCCGTACCATCGGAAGAGCTGGAAAGAGCCATCTCAGTCCTCCGTGTCAGAGGCCGTGCTCTGTTCGCGAACTCCATCACCACCTCCGATATCCTCTTCGATCTTCTCTCCGCCGAGTCTCTTACCCTCCTCGTCCCCACCGACGCCATGCTTTTCAACCTCGACATGACGTATTCTCTTCCCTTTTACATCTCCACCCTCCGCCTCCACGCCTTACCTCTCCGCCTCCCGATTTCCGAGCTCCGTTCCCTCCCCAACGCATCTTCCATCCCAACTTTCCTCCCATCTCACCGCCTCCTTCTCACTAAGCCTTCTTCCACCGGTTCCGTTTACCTCGACGGCGTCGAACTTTTCCTCCCTGGTCTTTTCTATGACCAAAATATCGCCGTCCACGGTCTCGCCAATATTCTCTCACTCAGATCCCCTGGGACTGACCTCGAGAACCTCACCGTTGCTTTGCCTCCTATGGTTGATTCGCCGGCAAATTCGCCATCTCCAAGTAGCTCGTGTTGGTTGTCGCCGTCGCAAGAGGCTTTCGTTAGCTTTTTTGGCCGTACACCAGCAGAGCCGCCGAAGATTGCGGACGTTTTAATTTCACCGTCGTTGGAAGAAGATCTGATCGTAGGCGACGGCGATTCTTGGACTACCGAATTCTGATGAACACGTGGCTCGATCTTCCTGGACCTTTTCTTTTATTTGGTCAACTCGAAAGATTAAAATGCAAAAAACCTTGGAAGCGTTACATTTCTTTCCTTTTTCCGTTTTTTGGATTTTCTAAAATTCGTGGGAAATGTCTGGCTCGTGTAGTAGTATTGTTTGGGTTGAATTTCGAAAAATTTGGGTACATATCATCGCCTATACAAAATCGAGTTCTTTATTTTCAGATGTAACGAGACCTTTTAGTTTCAAAGAAATCGCGGAACGTTTGATGTGTAGCATGCGGATGAGTGCATATCTACATTATGACACAGAAACAAATGCACTTTAGAGAGGTCAAGCGATTGAAGCGTGAGTAATTACTGATTAGTATTTTTTTTGATAAACAACATTGTTCCTATTTAAAATTTTGCTTGTAAAAAGGAACACAAACAAAAATTTCTTAAATGCATTCTATTCCGTTTCTTTACTAGTTTGCCTGGATCTTCTAACCTTCTTTTTTTTTTGCAACTCCACACAGTTTTGGGAGTGGTCAGTAGAATTGTAAAATTTTATAGTACAGTTTAGAATTAGACGCTGAGGCCATCAAAGCCACATTGCTTGTACATCAGAGCTTGCTTCTTGGGACTAATGCCCAGCCCACAATTCACCGATACCTGCAAAATGCAGCACTCTTTTCGCATCAATACAATAGTAAATGGAAGTTAAATAGACATTAAAGTGAGTTTTCCTAATAAGCAAATTAATAATCAAAATTTTGATATATATAAGCTTTTGAGCTGGTGGATTGAAGAAAATGCAAAGTGCATACGTGGATCCTAGAAAAAAATCAAAAGTGAAGAAGAAGCAAAGGCCAAAAGGAAAGCAGAGTGGGACTAGTGGTGGTGGTCGGTGTAAGGAATCTATTTTACTTAACAACAAATCTTTCTTTACGTTTTTTTAACCCACAATTTGTTTTTTTACGGATTGTGGTAATTTCTTTCTCTCTGTTCACACTAGGCCAGATCTCCGATGGGGACAGAATTGAAAAGAAGGGGAGAAAATGAAGAACCTGAACTCCCGGAGAATCGAAATTCATGACTCGGATCTTAGCGCTAACGTCTCCGCGAACGGTGAGCTCCACTAGGTCGTTTAAGGAAGCGTCTCTGACGAGATCGGCGGCGTTAGCTTGCATAAGATTGACTCTATCGACGGCAATGGTGGCGTCCACGTTCCTCGTACTGTGCGCGTCCTGGTAGAATCCAGGCACCGTCGCTCTCCCCAGTGGTATGCCTTTGTACATCACCGTGAAGCTTGACTCTCCGTACCTGATCCCGACCTTGTTCGGGTTCCCGGCGGTGAAGAGCATGCGGATGGTGAGGGAGAGGGAGGCGGAGGTTGGATCCATGGCGCTAGGGTTGGGATTATTCGGCGACGAGATTCCCATGTACACCACTGCTACTTGCTGCAGATCGAACTGCGGCTTCTTCGGCTTCACCGCCAGTATCACGATCAGCACCACCGCGAGCACAAGCAGCGCTAGGAACGCGAATAGCAGGAATAGGCAGCAGCAGCATCCCTTCAGCGACGCCGACGACGATGATGAGTAGCCCCGGTAATACGGCTGCTGGTGCCTCACCGTCTGAGCTACCGGATGAGGTCCCTGGTGACCGATGTCGCCGTTGAGACTGGGTCTGGAAGGAGGAGGAGGCATAATAGGTGAAAGCAGGAAGCTCTCTCTCCCTTCCTAGTCTCACTGCAATGGCGATGTGGGAAGACAAAAAAATTGAGCGAAAGAGAGGGAGAGACTTCCGCGTGAGGACAGTGTTGACAAATTAATAATGTACAAATTGTATACCATTTTAACCACAATAATATAAACAAGATAAAGTAAGAGGCAAATCTCAATCTCTCTTCCTCATCTTACATTTTCACCAAAAATAGATTCAGACGCGATTCTTAATTTTTGGATGTCACATTCGATTACACTTGAGGGATTAGATAATTCAGACGTTTGGATCTTCGTAAAGGCAAATAGTTCATCATTAATGATTGTTGATTATTGCTTAGTAAAGGGCATATCACTCAGATTGAGAAACTGAACTTTTTGGAGAGACACGAATGCTTTTATGTACTAGAAAACAAACGAGGATGGACCTCAAATACAAACACACAGTAAACACAGACAATCACTCTTCTTTTGTTACAGATATTTTTGTGTAAAAACGTTTGGTTGCTTTGTGCTAAAAGTTGACCTGATGCTGAAAGACACTCTATATCTATTTCCCAGGACTAGGTGATCAAGTGCCAACCCCTTTCTCTTTACTTGACTCTCCTCATTCTCTCTTATCTTCTTCAACATCTTCTTCTGAGTCCGAGCCACCATTCTTCTCTTGCTTAACTAAGCTAATATCACCATCTTGCTTCCCCCCTGTTAGTGATTGAACTTCCTCGTTTTCTTCATCCAATTCTCCCGAATACGCATATCTGCACCAATCATCAGTTTGGCATTAGCATACATGTCATATCTAGCCAAGACTTCCACATACATGCAAAACCAAGCTTCTTTGTTGGTATGCTAGAAAGGTATAAAAACCTCTGCGTTGGTGTTACATACCTTTGAGAGTTCTGCGACGGGGTCCAGAGATAGCATATAATACATAGCAACACGAACGCAATAACATCCCAGAAGGCAGTTATAGTCCAAGCAGTCTGCCATCGTTCATTGAATGGATCTGTTGCTTTGAAATACACCTGCAGGGGACATATCATCAGGCAAGCTGGATACATTTACATTCCAAGAAAAAAAGGATCTGTTGCCTTTACCAGCCAGTCCCTCAAGTAAGATTTGAGTCTATACAGTTTACAGTTTACAAAATCAGTGTCAGATCAGGCTTGACAGGATAGTACCTCATACACTATCCAAGCAACAGAGGCAACGACCATAACAGCAAGAGCATTTGAGAACTTCCGGTAAATATCCAACTTCACTGAGGTCCTCTTCATCTGCATACGAATCGATCATAAAAGAAGTCAATAAGCTACTCTGTTGATTCTTGCCTGAAAACCTTAGAGCCTACAGAGTGTGATCACAGAGTTGCTAATTTGGAAAGAAAGAGATACCTGTAACTGTTCGAGTGTCTTCGAAAGAGAGGTGAATATCCACAGTATGAGAAATGCATCCAGGAAAGCGTCAGGCAGGACAAGAAAAAGTTTCGCCCTTCCAGAGATATCGTCAATTATGCCAACATTCTCAGCTATATCAAGCATCTCAGAAGCTATGAAGTAAGTAACTCCAACAAGGAGGACTTTAGAAGTGAGACCACCAAGAGTGGACTTGACAACCCCAAATCCCATCGAGACGCAGAGTATGAGAATGCGGGAAACAGTTTTTCTGAAAGCGCCAATAGTCACAACCCATGTCGTAAGTGCTAAAGGCCTCGTCCCCGTGTTGTTGAAATTCGCATAATCCAAGTACCAAAAGACCATCTCAAGCAACCCGAGAACAATGACCACCGTTATGCAATGTTGAAGTGGCAATATATCCGTCCGGAATCTCAGATACTGGAAGAACCATACGGCACTGAGCAACAGATATGCGAATGACATATATACATAAAACTTCATCAATGGAGCCATCCTACCAGGAAGATACCCCTCTGGGTTTTTCCAGACGGTCTTTCCGGTCATTTTGAGCCCCTTGAGTTTCGGATCACACGATATGAACAGGAGATTATAGATTCCAGTCTTCCTGATGAGAATCTCAGTGTCTTCCATTTTAGCATACAAACGTTTCCCTTTGAAGCGGACACGTAAGAGGATCGGCCATTTAGGGTCATGCGCAGAAGGAATCCTGATGATCTCACCTTGCTTACAACCTTGAAGCTGGGCTAGATCTGGAGTGCAGCAAATAGATCTCTGCCCACCGTAAGCTGAACCGCCGATGTTGTTACGATCGGAGGCCTCAAAGATCACTGCTTGGACTAACCCATTGTTGCGTCCCTTACGCGATGCATCATTTGTCCTCCAGAGAGTGATGTTCTCAAACCTGCACGAGAGCAAGTGAGGATACACTCGCATCACATGGAAAATCGAAAATGTATAAAGAGAAAAGTGGGTACCTGATGAAAGATCGGGAAGAGGCGAAGATTCCCTCGCTGCCACCGTAGAGGAGGAGTGAATTACCGACATCGTGGAAAGGCTGGGAAGGGTAGATGTGTGCGGAGGATTCCGCGATTTTTAAGTGGAAAGAGAGAAGAAGTGGGACAAACAGAGACAAGTGTATCAATTTTCCCGAATCCATGGCCGCCATTATCGGGAACCGAGGATTTCTCGGCGAGGCGTAGAAAAGCGGGAGAAGAGAGCAGCTGCAGAGTCGCTGTTCTCGATAGCTGAGTTTGGACCCACCAAATTGATCTAACACTTATATAATATTTGGGCCTTAACGGGCCCATACGAAGAGATCCGGCCTACAAAAAAAACAGGTACAATAGTCAATGGCACTGCGCCCGAATTTCGATCTATCGAATGGGAGTCTGAGAGGGACGACTGGAAAAAAAAAATTCGGTGGAGGACTCTGCTGCATCGCCGCCCAGGATTAAATCGGAATCAGACGACTGAGTGAAATCCAGAACATCAACGCATAAAGACAAAACCTATATCAGGTTAGATTGGAGTGTGGGAGCGACATAGAAACAAAGAAGAGCTAGTTCCGGAAATGGAGGAACGCCGTCTGATTCTTGTATAGATCCACCCACAGGTTCTTAGATTCCATAACCTTCGATTTCCTCTTTTTGAATTTTTGCTTTCTCTTCTCGGCTTCGATTTTAGTGGGGGGAAACTATGAACACCCATGTCTGTGATTTGGTGTTCATCTGATCTGATGTAGCTTTATAGGAAGTCTTAAACTTGAGTTTACTATTTTTACTACCAAATTCGAGTTGTGATTTTGACCACTGTCACGCTTTTAAGTCTCGAATCTTAAAATTATCATATTATCGTCTATCTTCTCTTAACTCTCTCTGCCATTACTGCAATTGACTCACTGATGTTTTCTGACAAGAAATGTTTTTTTTTTCACAGCTTTGCAATAAACTCATTAGTTTAGCCTGATGGAAGCAGACAACGGAGGAGGGAACAATTCTAGTCACGCATCCAAACAGCGTTTGCGTTGGACGCATGAGCTACATGAACGCTTCGTTGATGCCGTTGCTCAACTTGGTGGCCCTGATAGTGAGTTTCCTTTTTTGTGCTAATAATCCTTCTAATTAAGTAACTCATGTTTTGTTTAGAATATGCCTTATATGCCAACATGTTTAGTAGTCATGAAAGGCAAAGCCTATCTGTTTGGTTAGGGTTCATGGGTTACTGAATATTTGTCTTGTTTTGATTTCCAAAGGAGCTACACCAAAAGGCGTTCTTAGAGTGATGGGTGTTCAAGGATTAACTATATACCATGTCAAGAGTCACTTACAGGTATTCTGAAAAACGATAACAGTGTGTGGCCTTGTTTATTCTCTCTTTCTCTTACTCTTGTTTGCATCCTCCAGTTTTTTTCGCTGATTTTTGCAAATCTGTGTTTTGAGTCAGAAATATCGACTTGCAAAGTATCTGCCGGATTCGTCGTCTGAAGGTTGGTGGACATTAAAAGTCCCTTCATTTTTTTTCTCATGTTCCCAGTTGCCTATTTGCCTGAAACTGGTATTTGATTTTTTTTCAGGGAAGAAAACCGATAAGAAAGAATCTGGAGATGCTCTCTCTGGGTTGGACGGTTCATCGTAAGTGAAATTTCACTGTTTGAGCTGATTTGTGATGCTAATGCCTGGTCCTTCAATGTTAAGTGCTCAGAAAGAAGGCTTATGTAACTTTTTCGATTACAGGGGAATGCAGATAACTGAAGCTCTCAAGATGCAGATGGAAGTTCAAAAACGATTGCACGAGCAACTAGAAGTAAAAGCAAAACGAAATTAAATTAATCCGAATTTACAGTGGAATAAGCAGTTAGTTTACGTGAGATATTGTTGTTTTGTTTAGGTGCAAAGACAGCTGCAGCTGCGGATAGAAGCACAAGGGAAGTACTTGAAGAAGATAATTGAAGAGCAACAGCGACTCAGTGGAGTTCTTGGCGAACCCCCAGGCCCAGTAACAGGCGAATCAGATCCTGCAACCCCTGCCCCAACATCCGAGTCTCCCTTACAAGATAAGTCTGGCAAAGAGTGTGGACCAGACAAGAGCCTTTCAGTTGACGAGTCTCTTTCATCTTACCGGGAACCTTTAACACCAGACTCGGGGTGTAACATTGGGTCTCAAGACGACAGCGCAGGAGAAGAGAGATCAGCAAAGAAGCCTAGATTGATGAGAGGTGGTGGAGCTGATTATACACCTGAGATGATAGTGGCGCACCCAATACTAGAATCAGGCTTGAACACTTCTTACCATCAGCCAGACCATTCTCTCGCCTTTGACCATCCTTCTACATCACTGCTTGGGCATGAAGATGGATTGGACAAGGTTTCAGGAGACGATCTATGAGTTGTGTATCAGGTGGCGTCTGTAGTTGAGTGTGTCACATGTAGTTGTTGTCTATCCTTATTCCTATTAGTTAGGAGTTTCCTCTAGTGAGGTGATCACAACTCTCTAATTCTAGACACTGCCACTATAATGAATATATGTCGTCTTGTCCTGTAATTTGGTAAAACACAGAAAACAAAATTACTTTCTTATTCCCAACACAGTGAATTCTTCTGAAGCTATTTGATCAACAATAGTAGCGCAAAGGTAGTCTTGGTTTGGATTCAATTCCTCTTGCTCGTATATTTCAACAAATAATAACAATCGGTGATGCCTATCGAAACGAATGCATCACCTATCGAAACGAATGCTGTCTTCACTTGTCATCTACAATTTCGTTTTCTTCAGAACTCATCAGAACAAAAACAAAACAAAACAAAACAAATAAAGTTTTGAGAGATATTACAGTGCTCTTTCAACAAAGAGACTCTACATTCTAAGGATTGATGTTGCATTCTCTGAGATAAACGTGCTCATAGTCGACGTGCTTTGACCAGAAGCCCCTGTACCTTGGGATCCCAATCTCTAGCCATGGTTTGAGGTTGCCGTTGTAGTGTATGACGGCTCCCCTCTCAATATCCCTCTGGTTCACACTCGGGTTGTATCCAAGGCCCAGTATGTGCCATTTCCGGTCTATCGGGTATGTCCGTTTCCAAAACGTGATGAGACCAGGCGGCAGCGTCCCTAGCTTCCACAATTCTCGGTCTTGATTCTGCAATTTCAAAACAAGTTTGTGCGTAACATCAGCAAACATTCTTGAATATCAAAAGACAGATGCGACCTACCTAGCCTACATCCATAAACAACTAAACCATAATTAAATATATATTCTGCGTACCAGATTCTGCCATCGATGATAAACCTCTGTGATGTTTTGCCTCTTCCATTCGTCCAAATCAAAGACATTCATACCATATGCCCAGCCACAAGCTCGAGGGTCAAAGTTCTTGGAGATGAGCGGATTTGAGAAATTCAGATAACGGTCGAAGCGGTGAAAGCTTTCCCCACAAGTCTCTACAGCACCGTTGACATTGCCCTTCAGATCAACTGACCAAAGACCAGAAAGGTCTTTCTGCACAACTATATCATCATCCAAGAAGAGCACCTTGCTGAGCTTCGGGAAGATCTCAGGCAAGTAAAAACGAAGATGATTAAGGATCGACAAGTATTTTGGATTCCGGAACTTCAAGTTCGTATCTGAATTTGTATGGTGAGCCCTGAAGTAATAGTCTATCATCGATCGAGAACTAAGCTGTTTGAGAACAGGACTGTAGCTTGAATTCAGCCATGTAAATTCTTCGACATTCTGAACCTGGATGGTGGCTTTTCCTGGTGGGTTGTTCAGGAACCACATCCTCATTGCCGCATAGTTGAGTCTGTCCGTGACGATGTGGAAGACATGCTTCGAGGGATGCTGCCAATAAACCATTAAGAGAGTAAGTTTAACAGAAAGAAACACGTTAAAATGTTCGACCATGTGAACAAAGTTACTTCTTACCTTTGCATTGGTGATGGTAGAGTTGACAACAACTGATGTAGCCAAAACATTATCAGAGAAGAGAGCATAGTGATACAGCTGATTATCTTCTAGTTTCTCCTGATTTGGGAATTGTTGTTCCGACGAATCTAAAGCATAATAATCGCTAGTGAGGCGTAGAGGGAGGCAGTGAAGGCCCTTAGGGATCGTCTTAGCAGTCAATTGTGTCAAGAACATGGTTTGCTTCTTATGGACCCTTAGCTGCTCCTCTGCCGAGTGGAGCATTGCACGTAGCTTCTTCACCACTGTGGAACAGTCATCTTGGATCTGCTTGCCTTTGGCCAATGTTTGCTCCATTGCTTTCAATTTTTCGTTAGCACTGGATTCAAAAAATGCCCACGATATTAATCACAAGACGAAACTTATTACTCAACTGGTCATTAGCTGCATTTCAATGCGCACTTACTTCTTTGGCAGATCCGAATCCTTCGAGGCATCTGCGACTGCCCGTTGAACTTCTTTTAAACGGAGTCGAAGCTCTCTCACAAAATGTGCGTTAGCCTTTGCAGCTGGAAGCGAAAGATAAACCTTTGCCCTAATCAGCTGATCTTTAAGATGCCTCACCTGAGCATCAGGCATCAACACATTTCCTCTCTCTTTCTCAGCTCCAAGAGATTTAGGTTCTTGCTCATCAGCCTTTACAGAGTTTTGCGTCAACTGAACATGCATCCTTTCCTACAAGATGATGAGATCAATGCACAAATTAATGAGAGTACAGAGATCATTTCGGCACAACAACACCGAGGACATGCAATTAGGTGGTCAGGATAATTTCATTAGCAGCCACTGCAACTTGGCGATTTTGCTAGACATTATACCACAAGGACAAGTTCTGTTTCTCCTAATAAATACTCTAAAGCATCAAGTCAAATCTGGAGCCTATCATTGAAGAAAATCTCAAGGATTCTAAAAGAAGGATTTTGAGCATCTGGTGTTAGAATTCATATAGAAAACATACCTTATTCTGGGAGATGCCATCAGAAGCGTGCATGTCATTTGGCTTATCCGTCTCTGAGGCTGCATCAGTGACTTGTTTGATGGGATCTTCAGTTCGAGACTGATTATCATCGTCGGTGGCCGAAAGAACTCGAGCAGAAATTTGGTCTCTCGCTTCTGTAAAAGGGAGAATCTTGTGAACTAACTCGTAAAAATTAGAGGGGAAAAAGAAAGAAACAGGAGAAAAGAGAAAAGAGAAAAGAGAATTCGCCGTACCTTGCCTTTGCGAAGAACCCAGAGAAGAATCCGAAATTTGTTTGGAATAGACTACACCCACGACTCCTCTAACCACTTGCGGAGATTCCTATATGCAATTGAACAAGATTGCTAAATTTCAGAAACGAGGTAAGATCTGAGGCGAATCAAGTAACTTGAAAAACGAGGAAAATGGTACCCGAGGAAGCAGATTTAATCGATTCTCGTCGGAATTGAAAGTCTGAACAAGAAACAATAAAGCGTAAGAAGAAGAAGAAGAAGAAGAAGAAGAAGATGATGATGAGAAAGAGAGGATAATACTTACTAGGGCGGTTACGTCCTCGAGGAAATCGCGTTTAGCTACAGAATATGAAACAAAGAGAGGATAAGAAGACAACCAAATCGGATGAAAATTCAAAATCAGAGACGAGGAAGAGAGAGAACTGACAAAATGGGGTCTTGAAGGAGGCGGAGGGATCTGTGTAGAGAAGGATAGGAGCAACGACGGTCAAGAGCAAGAAGAAAAGAACAAGATTGCGAAGCTTCACCATCGTCGCATCAGATCAAGAGAGATAGAGGAGCATCGTTCTCGTGTGTGCGGACTGTGAATGATTGTTTTTAGTGAAGAACCAAGTGAAAAAAAAACTAGCTGGGTGAGATAAAGACGCCTTTACCCTTTCCGGTTTTAGATGTGATTATCAATAGCATCAGTAACTGTTTCCAGGTTCTCTCAAATCATTCACCAATTAATATATTAAAATTACTATTTCGAGTGATAAAAAGATGTTTAATAACTTCGGTTCTGGAAACCGGGTTGTATTAAGGAGGGAGATATATGATGTGGTCCAGATTCCACAAACACAGCTCACAGATCAATTAAACCGACACAATTTTAGTTGGCATATACACTTTCTTAAATTGAGAGCCTCAAAATCAAGAATGAGAGTTCACTAGATTATATGTTCTATAGTTACGTTTTCCTTCCAGCAAATAATTAAAACAGTATTATAGGTAGCATTTATTTCAATAATTTTGAAAGATTGACGTTCTTAGGTAATAAAAAAACTTTCCAGTTTTAGTAACTGTAGAGCAACGTTAGTGACAGTAGTAGGGAAGGCCAGAAGGGGCCATCGTTTCCAGCGGAACAGACCACAATGATACCCATGTTTAACCACCGCATGGAAGGAGCCTATAGCGAGGTCATCATTGAAATAATCAGCACAGAGAGATGGAGAGGACATCAACACCGTCGTGGATGGCCATATCAAATGCAGCCAAAACATCAGCGTCAAAGCACTGAGAACCATTGATGGGAGGCCAGCAGACTTTGTAGGAAGCTACTCTCGATAACGGAGAGCCTCCTTTCCCGGTCCAGTTGACAACACGAGAACGCTAGCTCCACGCAGGGACAAAGTGGCCTCCTGCTGTTAATCTTAAGACTCGCATAAGCCAAATAGCAACAAAGTACCTTATAGCTTCGTCATACCGTATAATTCATATACAGTTTGTATAAGTGTATATAATTAATTTACAAATTTTAAAAGAAATGTATCCTTTATTCTTTAATTAAATTAAGAAATTATGTAATCGATTATAATTTAAAGTTTTTAAAAAGTTAAATTAAAGAAATATTGTAAATAAAGTAACATTTATTTTTAGTATTTTACCATAACCTTTTGATTATAAAATATTAAGTTTTTTAAGTAATGGCCATTTGATAAACAATAAAAATAAAAATAATGAATAACTAAAATCAAAAAGAATTGACTAGAGAAAAAAATAAGAACAAAAAGATTAATTATAAAAACAAAATTGAGCAAAATATTAGAAAAAATAAAACAAATTTGCATAAATAGTAACTAAAAATGAATAATAAAATAGATAAACAATATTAAAAGAAAATAAAAAAAAACAAACCTTGTATTTGTAACTAATCAAAAAAGTTCTTACCAAAAAAAAACTAATCAAAAAGTAATAATTAATAACTAAAAAGTAAAAAAAAAAGGGATATAAACTGGAATGAAAGAAGCCTAATTGATGAGATAAATAGCCAATCGAACCACTAGACGTATAATCGTAATTGTCGACGTCAAAAGTTATTTTACCATAACTTTTTGATTATAAAATATTAAGTTTTTTAAGTAATGGTCATTTGATAAACAATAAAAATAAAAATAATGAATAACTAAAATCAAAAAGAATTGACTAAAGAAAAAAATAAGAACAAAAAGATTAATTATAAAAACAAAATTGAGCAAAATATTAGAAAAAGTAAAGCAAATTTGCATAAATAGTAACTAAAAATGAATAATAAAATAGATAAACAATATTAAAAGAAAATGAAAAAAACAAACCTTGTATTTGTAACTAATCAAAAAAGTTCTTACCAAAAAAAAAAACTAATCAAAAAAGTAATAATTAATAACTAAAAAGTAAAAAAAAAAAACAAAGGGATATAAACTGGAATGAAAGAAGCCTAATTGATGAGATAAATAGCCAATCGAACCACTAGACGTATAATTGTAATTGTCGACGTCAAAGGTCAACCTAGGAAAAAGAGATCGTAGGAGTAAAAGATTGCGTCTTTAGCCTTCTAATGGCTGTTAAGATGCATGCGGATTAGAATAAACATTAAGAATATAGGCAAAGGTAAAAAAAAAAGAATAAGATGGAGTCATGTCTGTTACCTCCCCGAAAAGAATCCGAGAAAGTCATAATGAGCTTCAGCTACATGTACGAGAGCTAAGCGAGAGATTTCAGGGCCATGCGAGTGAGATCCCAAGTAAACGATGCAACAGTCTTGTTAATACATAATAAGCTCACATGACAAGAACAACTTAATTATTCCTTACAAATTAAACGGTACTTACTTTTCTCGCAGCAAAAGCAGGGACATGAGACAGAGACACAATAATTAACAATGCACGTAATTTTAGACATAGTTTATAGCTTTGGTGAAGAATGCATTGACTGTTTGATAAATAATGCAATGACTGTTTGATAAATAATAAAAATAAAAAGTAACTAAAATTGAGCAAAATATAAGATAAAATAAAGTAAATTTGCATAAATAGTAACTAAAATAAATAATAAAATAGATAAACGATATTAAAAAGGAAAAAAATAAAAATAATCTTTTGTTTCCATCGAGAAGGAACAGGTCTCAGTCCATCTGAGCTAAAGCTTTGGGATTCGAACCAAACACTTGATGCCTAAGAATATAGGCAAAGGTACAAACTTAGTGTTGTTAAATTATATAGTATATAAAAGGAAGAGGAGGCAGAGGAGGTGAAATTCCAACCAGTGCCAAGGTTGCCGATGATTGTGTCTTCACCAAATCTTGCTTTTGACCACAAGGAACTTGTAGGGATCACACCGTCCTTCTCCAACTGCATGAAGTCCCATGAATGTGTTGTGTGCAGCTTCTTGTCTTTGTCTTGAAACACATTGATCACACTCGGATGCTCTGCATTCAAAAGTACAGCGGAGCCAGATTAAAATTCTATAACCAACTCAAAAGAGAAAGAGAGACTTGAATTGCTTCTTCTCCAAGAATGGCTGCAAAGCCATTGTTGTGTCTCTTGTAGGAGTAAAAGATTGCGTCTTTAGCGTTCTCATGACTGTTAAGATGCATGAGGATTATATCAAACATTAAGATTATAGGCAAAGGCACAAAGAAAAAGATGGAGTCATATATCTGTTGCCTTCCCAAAAAGGATCCGAGCAATGCATAATGTGATTCAGCTACGCGTGCGAGAGCCAAGGGAGAGATTTCAGGGCCATGAGAGTGAGATCCCAAGTAAACGATGTACGACTTTTTAGTCAAACATAACAAAACAAAGCAACAGTTTCGTTAATACATAAGCTCACACGACAAGAAGAACTTTATTATTCATTACAAAACGGTACCTACTTTTCTCGCAGCAAAAACAGGGGCATTAGATAGAGACACAATAATTAACAATGCAAGTAGAATTTTCGACATAGCTTATAGCTTTGGATCTTAAGAACAAGGTGAAGAACAAAAGCTCTTTATTATAACTTTTCAATGTTTGACGTTCCAAAACAGAAATCAAAGACGTTTTAAGGAGAAGTTTTCAGCCTAAGTCACAACCGACTGTAGGAGAAGACTTGCTATTCTAAAAAGGAAACTAAAAGTCAACGATTTGTCATTTGTATCTTATTTGCTAAATTATGAATAAGTAAATAGCTAGATACATAATAGACAAGATCTTAAAAGCGTAGGACCGTTGATATTATGGCGGTGAAGATGCTGCTGCATCACACTGTAACCGGGAGCTTTTGATTTTTTTTTAAAAACAAAGGGATATAGAGACTGGAATGAAAGAGGTCGTACCTTAATAGATATCAGCAACTAACCTTTGTAAAACACAGCCTGTCCTATGTTTTTGTGTGGTAGTTAAAACCTTCCCTTCATCAAGATACACCTCACGTAGACATAGTATTGTAATTGTCTACGTCAAAGGCAATAGATATGAAAACAGAACGTAAGATAGTGTTGGTTACTATAAGTGGAAACCTAGGAGAGAGAGATTGAGGTGGCAACGTGAGCAGCAACTCATGTATTTGCACCACTTGATTTTTAAGACGAATGTGAGCAGCAAATCGTGGTACTAGAGGTGCGTGTGAGGTGTGAAAAGTGCAGGACCAAAGCATTCAAGATTGTAGATTGCAGATTGTAGATGAGCTTATCAAAACTCTGAAGAAGAAAGTAGGCTTCACTCAGATCCTCCATGTTTCTGACATCTAGTCTTATTCACACACCACTATCATCTAATTTTTAGTGCTTTTCTGGAATTATGATGTGTATAAGTTGGACCAGCATTTGACATGTTTTCTATTTGCATTTGGTATTTCAAGTTTCTAGTATATGGACATATCTTACTTGATAAAAGCCACTCAACTTCAGTTTGCCATCTGCTCTCTGTTGTTGAAACGAACATTACATAAGCACTGTATCGCTTGTTTTTGAGAACGGAAATGATTAAAACTTACAGAAAATGTTCTTTTAACAGCATTAGATCATTTACAACACCGATTGATGCAATTCATGCCCACCAAAAACCAAAACATCTTTACTACTACAGTTAACTCTAGCTTGAAACCTAGATTTATCAGTGCAGTTTATTCATTATTAGCAATCACTCCCTTAAGCAGATCTTTCGAGCTTGGATAACTTCGCCACTGCCTCTTCTAACGGCTGAATGATCTTGTCTTTTCTCCCCTGGATAAATCAAAAAACATCTTTCATAGAAATTCGAAATGAATTCTGAAAAACATAAGCATGAAGCTAAGGAACGAGCCTCAGATTCTGGTGGTTACTACTAACATATATATATACCTTCATCGATGGAAGAAAGGCAAAAACTTCATCAGTACTTTCGGGGCAGGCATTTGCAATCATACACAGCTGCACATAACAACACAAGAATTAGAATCTGCTCAGGGTTTGCTGTCTGAATTGAAAGCTCTTTGGTCGAATTGACAACCTCGTCTTCAGTGACACCATGCTTTTTCAGAGGTCTAATATCATACTCGTTAAGTTATAAACGCATAATAGAATCAAAAAGGGAAAAGGCACTAATCAGCATCTAAAAAAGGATACTCAAGTATCTGTCTCACAGACTGAGGGTTCGTGTAGCAGCTGCCATATTTCACATACTCCACTCCTCCGTCGAAAGATCTGCAAAACAAAACTACAAGTTAGAGAATCCAAGACCTTTTGCATCACATGGAGATATAATACAATGTCGTGAATGATGTTACTGACACAGGAGTCTTTATGCTAGGATCATCAGATAACACAGCTATATGCGCCTTGATGCCTTCTAGAATCTGAAAAGCCTCACAGTCCATCAAGAACTTTGCATTCTCTGGAAGCTCTGCAAAGACCATCACAGCAAAAAAAAAAACACATATATCACCAATGTACCCAACTCGAATGAAGATTACGCACAAAAGGACTTTGACAGAGCAAGTAGGAGATGAACAAACCCTTTTCAGCCTTGAACTCAGGCGGCTGAGGTTCTTTGGGCAGAGTAGTTTTCTTAGGCTTGCTTCCTTTCCCACCTTTACTCAAAGAAGGCCATAGATTAAGCCAATGAGACGCAATGCCAACAGCCAAGGGGGTTCAAAAAAGTTGTAAGCACATCCACTAAATAAGAAAGCTGAAACCTTTAGCAGACCCTTGAAACTGGTCATCAGAGTCTTGGATAATCTTGTAACCAGATTCCTTTGTGCCTAACACGAACAAAGAAGATGAATATTTATAAAAAATCAGAAGAAAAAGTTGGGACTTTTATTCGAGATGAAGCGAGGAGAAAGGAAAAAAAAAAAAGAGAACCTAGAGAATCAAACTGGACTTTCTTTGGCTTCTTGGACTTGGTTGAGTTATCATCCTTGCCGGATCCTACACCAAAAACCCCAAAACCGAGTCTAAGACAATGTCGACAAATAAGGTAAAAGGAAGAGATTAAAAAAAAAAAACTAATATGGAAGAGGTTGGAAATACGAAACCATATTTGGAAGGAGTGGACTTGAGAGAAGATTTGAACCCTTTTCCTCCTTTCTCCGACATGACTGCTGCTGATCGAGATGAAGCTGGGAGTGTGAGCGTCAAACGAAGGAGAGAGGGCAAGCAAGTCCGATATGCTGCTTATCATAGACAGCCGCTGTACTAAATGGGCCTTAAACGGGCTTTTACTTTTTCGAAAACCAGGCCCAAAATTGATGCTCTCCGCGAGCTTAAAAGCTTATATAGAGAAAGATAAAGAAACTTAGAAAGCATGGCGAGTTTGTTTTAAGCAAAAAAACACAACAACACACGAAGCGACTTTAATTTGATCACTTTCGAAGAGGTTTTAGGCAGAGCATCAACATAATCACAAAACTCTGCTCTTTCTTAGTACAGACAACAAGTAAGCTATTTTATGACGTAACAAGAATAAGGAGTGCTCGAGCTTGAGCTTCACCTCCATTTGCGCTCTCGCTTCATTTTGGCTGTTTGTTTGCGTACAAGGGCAACCTTTTCGAGCCCTCCATTTTCAGACCAAGTAATATATATTATATTATGCTACTTGCTGCTGTTGTCTGCTGCCATATTCCTTCTCCAAGAATCCAAATATCATCTTGAGCCGATCCTGTAGATTTACAAGGATGTTCTTTGTCACTCTTTTCTGATGTCTACTGCTCTTTAGCCATTCAATCCCAAAGTATACTCGTACATATGTTGTCTTTGGCTTTGACGCCACTTCTTCCATCTGGTATCTAAGATGGAGATTGAAATAGTCACCAAGTGGAACTCCATGGAGAGTCATCACCTCTTCGACAAGCCACCCATTCTTATCTGGCACAAGTGACTTTTGCTGTGTACTTGTTACTTCTCCTCTGTAACGTGATATCCGCTTATCCCTGTAGTATGTCTGCCTCTCATACACATCAGCCTTCTCTGACTCCCATGGACTGCATGAATAGCTCTGACAACCCGCTCTCTCCATAGCCTTTCGATCCACTTCGCCTCCACCAAACAACTCCATAAAGAAACTTACCTAGAGTTACCAGTGTTTTGCGTGAGACAATATTCAAAACTCAAATATATTCTTGATAGCACATTACAGTGAAAGAGGATAACTCACCGGTACGGAGAGATTCAAAGAGTAGACCTCAGAGAATCGGACGTCATCAACTCCTAAGAACAAACCACTCTCTTCACTTTGGAGTTTCTGCTCTGATTCCTCTTCAACAGCTTGCACTTTCTGCTCCGGGGTCAAGGATTTTGCTTTCCACAGAGCCATTATTGTCCTAAGCATTCGCAAAACAAGTCCCAAGTCCATATCTTATCAGAATAGTTGTTCATTTTGTCTAAAAAGCAGAAACTCTTGACAGGTAGTCAACAGTATCCACCTCTGAACATGTCTACAAAAGAAAGAAGGTGATACTACAGGACTGTACTGATTTTCATATTCAGACGAGAAAATGGGCATATGCAAATGCAAGAGTTAAGCATATTGGTTGGGGAACATAAAACTAGGATGCTGATAAGAGCGAGCAAGCAAATAACAAACAAACCATCAGGGAAAGAGGAGGAAGACTTGTCACTTACTTTTGGGCCACATTAAAAGACACAAATGAGTGGAAATGGAACTTAAGCCTGCCTTCCTCATCATGTGTCTTTGCGCCTATCCGCGCGTCCATTCCTCTACCTGGTCTGAGAGTCATGACTACAATGGGACTCCCCATTGAAGCAAGAGTTGGAGGAAGCACTTGAACATCCTCTATATCTTCCCACAGAAAGAAGAATTTTGTTTTGTTACCAAAAAGGCTTGCAAAAAAGCCAACAATTCTTGCAGACAGGAAAAGACGGCCCTGGAGGAACAAAACTAAATTTAATATGTAGTGCTCTCTTCATTGCTAAAGAAACAGCTGCCAAAAGAGAATGCAGTTGAAAGCTATAAAGATATCGTCACCTGCAAAGGCATTTTCCTCTTTAAGTGACATGTAAAGTCATTGATCAGAAATTCTTCTTGTGGGAGACCAAAGAGCTTCTGAAAGGCTGAATTTGTCTGAGGAGACCGCACGTTAATCTGAAATTTCCACTGACCAGATAAGAACGCGCACCAACAATAGCAGATTAAATGTTGTTTGAAAGAATAAAGTAGTAGCCACATACCTTCTTGCCCACCTCTTTCTCCATCTTATTTAAGTAGTCCCTAACAGCATCTCCACCTCCTGTATGATCCAAGAAAATCCTTAAGTGCAGCTTCGATTGACAAGCCTGAGCCAGTTTCCCTTGGAGTGGAATCCAAACATCAGCTAGGTCAGATATATTAGATCTCACAAAGTTGATCTCGGCATGTCCCAGCGAAACAGCCTCGTCAAAAGGTCCGTCGAAATCGTAAACTTCAACATTCAGTACAGAAGGAGGATCAGCCATCGCATCGAATTCAAATATTTCTGCACAAACAAGATTCCAACCCTCAAAAAACATATGATGACAAATCACAAGAGTCAAAACATTCAAAGAGTGGATAAAAGTCGGTTTAAGGACAAGAACCATGCTACCACTAAGTAAACCATAGAGCAACCAATTACCATTCCACTGAGGATGAGATTTCTGGAACTTGATGGAGCTGGTTCTCGTCTTCCCATTGGAAGTAAATACGATATACGGATCACAATGCCCGCTTGGATCTACAGCTGCTAGATCGACCCCCTCAATTAGAGCAACAGTTAGCAACCAACCATCTCCATGAGCTTTGATGCCATGATCACTCCCTATAATTCAAATTGACAGGCTACCAATGAGAGGCCACATGAACGAATATGGAATGGTCAAAAGATGCATCATCATGGATATATATACCTTTCTGTTTTCTTGCCTGCATGAAGCGGGAAATCAACTTCAATACTCTTTCGCACTGGAGAACGAGAACCCCACTGACAACAAATTCTCCAACTGAATCCGGCAAATCAAGGCCATTAAACTCAAGGCCTTGGATTGCACTAGGTAAGGCAAACACAATATGGACAAACACATAAACACCAATCAAGAAAGTGGAGAATACAGTGAAATTGGCAAAATATTGTACAGCCAATTTCCAGTCTGATTGAGGTTCAGCTTGCAAGGAAGACAGAGCTTGCTCCTTGTTCACCCCAATGTCCTTGGAATCCACAGGATTTACATTTTGGGCCAACAAGTTGGCATACTGTTCGAAGCTGTCTTTTAGACCTTGCCTGGCTCCGTTCTCAATCATGCCTTTCATCATGGTGCTCTGAAGAAAATTCAACCTCCATGAAATCACCAAACGGGAACATAGCTCCCCAGAAGGCAGATCAGGCCCAGGAGATATGCAGTAAAGCACCTCAACCTTGAAAGTACTTCCGAATGGGACATCAGGAGTGGTAACACTTGCAAAGACAGCGTAAACCTCTCCGTCCGCTTTGAGATATGTCTGCTCCTCTGTGCCTTTGACAGCCTTAATAAGTTTGGTTGCAGCCTTGAGGTAACTTACAACCCGTTTAACGCTCTCGCCTTCATTTTCAAGTTTCCATGGTCCTATCTGAACTTCAGTGGTTCCTTGCAGTTCAGTCAACGATGCATAGAAACTCGAATCGGGTCCGAAAAGCAGAGTGTTGAGCTCTGATGGGGTAATCTTAAACAACTGGTCAACAAGGATCCCACCTGGTAGATTACTAGGAGGCTCATTTCCCTGATCTCTCGACTCCATGGCCTTCATTACTTCCTCAAAGGAAGCAGGAGATGACTCATCTTCAGACAGATCAAGGGAGAAGATTGGTCTAGAGATCTCAGATGACGTGTCGGACGCGTCGATGCTCCTACTGATTGACTGTGTAGGTGTGGCGACATCAGCATTCTTCTGAAAAATCTGAGCGATTCGACCAGCAAATGATCTCTGCGAGTCCTTGGAAGACGAAGCATCTTCGGATCTACAAGGAGAGGCACAAGCGGAGGGATCAACAGGAGACTCAAGTCCCAACCTTTCGGGAGTCCTGGAAGCAGAGGCGAGATCCCCATTAGAGTTCAAATCAAGAACCGAGTTCTTCTGACTGAAACATATCCCCAGAAGTATTTCACCTGGACAAGTTGGATCAAAAATGAAAAACGAAATTTCAAAACTTTGCCTAATTGCGATAATATTGACATCAAAGAGAAGCGAGAGGGCGTTACCACAATCCTTTTTGGAACCTTTCTTCTTTGGGAGGAGAGGATACCAAACATTGCCAAGAGACTGATTCTCTGCATCGAAAACTTGGGAGACTGGAACTCTGACCTGCCCGACGAAGTCATCATTGAAGTACTTATCCTCGTCAAGAACAGAGACGACGAGCTCTTCGTTCAAATCGTCAACGCCGAAGCTGAAATCGTCAGCCCATTTGGGGTTCAAGTTCTTCTTCACTACTTTGGTCCGTGACCTGTGTCTTCCCAGCTGCAATCTGACGTAAGGGTCGCTGTAGCCGTTGAGATCCATGGCCGGCAGATTCCTCGCTTCTAAGACTCGGACCTGAAGCTTCATCTCTTCTGCCCAGAATCGACGACGAGGGCTCGATTGCCCAGTAGAGGAAAGAACACAGTTCCCAGAGAAAACCCAAATGGGGGGAAGAAAAACTCGAAAATGGGGAAATGAACAAACGAGCAGAGACTTTGGAAAAGGGATGGTCTTTACGGGAGAGGGCCCGCCATTAATTAGTGGCAGGTTTGGAGACGGATCACACAAAATCACAAAAACAACAAATCAAATAAGGATCAGAACAATAAAAGCTTGATTTGAATTTACTCTCTCAAAGTCCTTGAAACCAATCTATGGTGATGGGCATTTTTAGAGAGAAAGAGAGAGATGGATGTTTGATGTCGCCGGAGACTTTTTCATTCCGCGTCGGGGTTGAGGAAAGGCTCTGAGGATTTTGACTTTTTCCATTTTCCAATTTCCATCTCACGTACGGAACCGCCAAAGCCTTTCACTTCTTATTTTATTTCTATTTATTTTGGGTAACATTTTCATCTCGCCGACGATAAGTAGCTCCGGTACAATAATATTCTCTTCCATTTAGATTTAGATTCCCATTCCGGTGGCGCTCTCTTTTCGGTCTTTAGTAACTTCTGTGACAGACACCAACTTTGATCTAGCTAGTTTTCATATCAATGATTGAATTTAACAGCTTCGTCGTAAACCAATCATCTATTGGGCTTTAAAGAAAAGGCCCAATATGCTTATGAACCTCTGGTAATTGTAGACGTATTGGTGGTGCTTTGTTGCAATTTCAATGTTTGGTTTTGGCGCAAGGAACCAAAATAATGTTCAACTACAATTTTAAAAACTATCTTTAGATTCCAAATCAAGATTTCAACGGTTTAACCATTTATATTATGTCAGCTAATAACTAATCTAATCTAGTTGTTGTTTTAAAAAAAAAAAAACCATGAACTCTTCTAGTGTTGAATTAATCATGAATTCTTGGTATGAAACATGATGCTACAGAAGCAAGCAATCTTGAGAAAATTGACAAGTAAGATACTAGTACAAAGGTCAAAATAATCAGAGATTAATTAGAGTTTCATGCAACCGCTTCGCCCATCTTCTAGCCATTAAAGGATCATGATAGTCCCAAGTTTCAGTACTAATGCTTCTACTCACACTAGCGGTGTTCATATAGTCATCATTACTCCCACCAGCAGATTCACACTCATCAGTTTTTATCCCTTCATTGTCGTCAATTAAGCTCAGTGTCGTCTCTCCCCTTCTCCTGATACACTCGTCAGTGTCTCCTTCGACATAGCTATAACACAGACCAACATCGACATGAACACCAAGATCTATCAATACTTTCTTCTCTTCACCTCCTCTCAACTCGCCTACTTTAACAATTTTCCCTTCCATCCCGATTCTCAGTTGAACATCGGTTGCTACTCCTCCTATCACCTTTTCTACAAGCTCTTCAAACTTATGCATCACAAAACCGTTCCATGTCTCAGCACCAAATCCCACGTGAAACCTATGGACCATGAAACCCATCTGCATCACGCTGTTGTCGGGATAATATGACCTTACAGGACCGCTGGAGATATGTAGGATGCTGCACCGTGGATTCTTGTAAGCACGATCTTTAAGAACTTTAATGCCCTTGCGTATGCCTTGAGAAGGGTCAGTTTGATCCATGTAGAAGAGACGGTCAATCACTCTCAGAGCCGCCCGTTTTCCGCAAGAAGCCATGCGTCTCAGAGCAAACACACGTCCCGCCGCAACACACGAGTAGGTCACTATGGCTAGACGATCTACCGGTCGAAGGGAGGAGGTTACCAATATCATCGCCTGCTTGAGAAACCGGAAGTGTGGCCCGCTCGGACTCGCGACCAGCACCAAGTCAATGGGTTGTGGATCTGTCAGTTTCACCGAGAGATAGGCATTTCTCTTGCCCAAGGAAGTGTACAAACAGTGGCAATCTTCTGGTTGTGGCCGTACTGATGGCGAATACAGAGTGGCTGACTGGTTGTGACTTGTGTCCAACTCTGTTCTACACATTTGTAATGGAGAATATGCATCTTGGTGAAGGTGGAGATGCTGGTAGGAGGATGGATAAGACACTAAGTTGTGGGAAACTGTGAGAGGTACTAAAGAGAGACTTAGACGAGGATAAGTGGTGGAGTGAGGAAGGTGGATAGGATCATCATCGTCGTAGCGAGCAGAGCGGAGTAAAGACCTCCTATGGACGCGGGAAGTGGCAATGGAATCATCGAGAATGCGAAAAACAGAGTCGTCTTGTTGGCGTTCGGACAGTTTTGGAAAGGAAGAGCGTGGGAGATGGGTCCAGTGGGCGCGGCAAACCGGACAAGTGGCGTTCCCGTGACGCACATTGGAAGCAATGCACGAAATGTGGAAAGAATGAGAGCACTGTCCCGTGAACACAGCTTCACCACAGTGACTCAGTGGTTCTAGACAAATAGCACACAAGATCTGCTGCTGCAACAAAGAAACCCACAGATCCATGAGCAATCGGAGTGGAAATCCTTTCAGCGAACAGATACATGTGTTAAAAAAAGAGATGTAAGCTAAAAAGAAAATGTGAATGTGATACCGTAGAAGTATGATGAGTGCTGCTACTAGAGTCTGATTTATCTACGGCTTCTTCATGGTGAGGGGACAGAGAACAATTATCTTGCTTTGTAATGGCTGTAGATCCCCTCGAACTCTGTTTCACATGGACATTCATCAAAACTCAATCCACACATCTATATCGTTGAGTAAGGAACCCAAAAAAGAAAGGAACTTAATGACAATACAGTTTTGGTAAGCAAAAGAAAGGAAGAAAAGCATACCGGAGGATTAAGAAGAGAAAGAGAACAACAGGCAGCTAACACCAGTTGCTTCGTAGCCTTCCTCAGCTTCAAAGCTGTTCGTCCCATTCCCATAAGAGGAGCCAAAAAGGAGACGACAAAGAATCTACTTGGGGGGGGGGGTATCAACTGTTTGAAGATAGTAGTGGCCAACATCTTACCTGAAGTATTAATAGAGACGCTAAGGCAAAAAGAATAAAGGAAGCAAATTTGAAATATTAATTTGACTCTCTTTCGCTTTTGTGTTTTTTGACCTGCTCTTTTCTTCCTATCATGTAAAGAAGTGCTCAAGAGGCGCATAATTTTTTTCAAATTAAGAAAATCAGAACACATCTCACACAAGATTGGACCCACACACCATTCTTTCAAGAACTCATATTCACATTCAAACAGAAGTACAAATGAAACTCAGACAAGATTTTGAATCAGATTTTCGCAAGAACACAAAAAAAAAAAACAAGACCCAAAATCACCAATTCACCACATTGCTCACAATTGATCATCTTGGAGAGGAATCTTCATATCCGAATCAACACAAACTCGGGTTTTTAAAGAACAAGATCCACAAGGAAGAACAACAGACGCCACAAGAGCACCTAATCTCCTAACTCGAACAAAATCATCGCCGTCTCTCAATAATTCAAACCCCATTGTTTCCAGCTCGGTGGAATCAACAGAGAAGTAATCACCACACCTACACTGATAAAAAATCTCCATGGCTTCGTCTTCTCCAGTGATCTCCACCGACATATCCTCTATACTGATCTCATCAGCAGTGATCCCGTCCTGTCTTGAAGATCGAAGATCGTTGTCGTAAACCACACGCAGCTCGGCATCGCTTAATACTCCCCACGCCTTTTGGATCTTCAGAAACTTTTCGTCGTCTGAGCTACAGTTAAGCTTATCCGGATGAGATTGAAGGATAGCGGAACGATAGCTATTGCGGATTTCTTCATAGCTCGCGTCCTCTTTCACGGAGAGAATCTCGTAGTGTGTCTCATGGACACGATTTTCACCGAGAAGCATGATTGACGAATTCACACCAGAGAGCGAATTTCAGAGTTGTATTGTAGAGAGAAACAAGACCGGAGAAGAGCTTGACGGCGTAATCAGCGACTTCTTCTGGCGATTTCACGCACTCTTTCTCTCTTTGGGGACCCACACTAGCTATTATTTCATTTCTTTGTGGGCTTTATAAGAGCCCAAGCCCATACAAGACTTTTAATTTTTAAAATTAATAAAGCAATCTCCCTCAGGCGACGTGTCGCGGTCTGCACGGCTGCGCTTGCCACGTCTCCGCCATGTGACTTCCGGCGTTCCGATTCGATATTCCTACAACCTGTTGATTAACCTCAGAGTCAGTCGTTTCTCTCTTCTCACTATCTTCGAATGGCCGACGCAACCAGCATCAGGGAGCTCCCATCTCTCACCGGCATCCGTCTGCGCCGGAACCCACTGGAAGAAAACCCCTTCTTCCACCCCTCCCATGGCTTCTACATCACTCCTTCCGACGTCATCCTCTCCCAGGTTGTCTACGACCTCTCCGCCGACTCCCAGCCACGCTACGCCTACCACAGAGCTGGGCCCCGCCAGGAGATCATGTACGAGCCGTCATCTGTGAAGGCGGCGATCGTGACCTGTGGAGGGTTGTGCCCGGGCATGAACACCGTCATCAGAGAGCTTGTGGTTGGCCTGTGGGAGCTCTACGGGGTGAGAAAGATTTGTGGAATCCCGGCTGGTTACAGAGGCTTTTACTCCATGGAAGCCGTCGAGCTAAATCCCAAGCTGGTTCATAATTGGCACAAGAAGGGCGGCACTGTACTCTCCACCTCCCGAGGTGGCTTCGATCTCCTTAAAATCGTCGATTCCATCCAACTCAACGGTTACAATCAGGTCTGTTTCACTCTATGGTTTGATTTGTTCTTTGGAAACTTGATTTGTTCTTTGGAAATTGAGTTTAAAAAGCAAATCCTCTTTCGTTGTGTTGATCCTCAAATGCGACACCAGGTCTATATAATAGGAGGAGACGGCACGATGCGTGGGGCTGTGAAGATCTTCGAGGAAGTCAGCCGCAGGAAACTGGAGGTGGGAATCACGGTTATACCGAAAACCGTGGACAACGATGTGGGCATCATCGATAGATCATTCGGGTTTCAAACGGCGGTAGAGATGGCTCAGGAGGCTATATCTGCCGCTCACGTTGAGGCCGAGAGCGCCGTCAATGGCATTGGACTAGTGAAGCTCATGGGCAGAAGTACTGGCCACATTGCACTGCATGCCACACTCAGCAGCCGTGATGTGGACTGTTGTTTGATCCCGGAGATGGAGTTTTACCTTGAAGGCAAAGGAGGGCTGTTTGAGTTTCTGGAGCAGAGACTGAAGGATCATGGGCATGCCGTACTTGTTGTTGCTGAAGGCGCAGGACAAGAGATGATCCCAAGGAGTGAGTCGCAGAAACAAGAGAGGGATGAATCTGGGAACCTTGTTTTCTTGGATGTGGGAGTTTGGTTGAAGTCAGCGCTGAAGGAATGGTGGGGTCGAAAGCATCCAGGCGAGCTGTTCACCGTGAAGTATATCGATCCTACTTACATGATAAGAGCTGTACCCGCGAATGCTACGGATAACTTGTACTGTACGCTCTTGGCTCACTCGGCTATCCACGGAGTCATGGCTGGTTACACAGGGTTCGTGTCTGGCCCGATCAACGGGAACTATGCTTATATCCCCTTAGAGGAGGTGGCTCAGACTAAGAATGAAGTGAACACGAGTGACCACAAGTGGGCGTGGGTGCGCTCAGTGACAAACCAGCCTGATTTTGAAACGAATTTTAAGGGGCAAACACCGTGAGACCCTTGAGAAGAGTATATGGCAGGAAGTGTGAAGAGAGTGAAGCGAAAGATCTTGTAAGACCCTTTCATAATTTATGATCAAACAATGCAACTATCAAGGTAATCTTTGTTCACGTGATCTGTGGTAGCTGTCTGTATGTGTGAGAAATGTTGAAAATTGACACAAAGATGAGATCTTTATCCTAATAAAGCACGTTACTGCGTTTAATTATATGGCTCATGGTAGTTGCAGAGTTGCTTTCTTGAGCATATGTAAAAATAATGGCTGAGCAGGAGCTTGAGCTCTGCACTGTATTAATACAGATAATGTCACTTGACCATCTACAATTATCATCAATTCTTTTTATAAAGAAAAAAAAAAAAGAACCAGAAATCTGGTGAATTCAAACAAGAGACTGAGTTTTCTGTGGCCTAACACGTTTAGTCCACTTACCTGTCTCTACTTACATGTCGCTTATGCTCTGATCCTGTTCCTTGTCGGACTAGCCTCCTGGGGTTTGTACTGGATCTGATTTTCTCGTCTCCTCTTTTGCCTCCTCCCTCAAGTACGCTTTTAGCTTTCCCTATAGAATCTGTATCAGCTGCACCTAGTTGAAGCTTATGCATCTCTTTACCTCTTGAGAAGAAGTGGTGGCTCTCTAATTGACCTGATACTCCCTTGGAACTGCTCTCTTGGTCGAAGAAGAGGGCTTGGACGACTGTTCTTAGTGGCATCCTCTCATTTTTCACAGCGTGTGCACGTACCTCTGAAGACAACTTCTGGCAGTCGAGACTTCTGCATAGTCGCTTCTTCTCGTCTTTGCTTATCTCGGGGTGCATCTGCAACGTAACCAATGGTTTTTAGTTCCAAGTACTCTATGCGTTTTTATTGCTCAAAGTAGACTGGTACGAGTCTTAATCATACCTTGAGATATATGTTGATTGCTTTGTAAAGTCTATCATGGCTCTCCCGTGCAATGTCAGGCACTGCCTCGGCAAGAGACACGAATTTGGGAACTGGCATATGAAAATCTTGTGCGACTGCCTGAAGATAGGAGTCTATAAGCTTTGCCACCTTCCTGATTGAATGCAGCAAGTGACTGTTACTAGAAAGATGCACAGAAGACTGTCTTCTCCAGAGCATTAAAAAACTCTCGAGAACCGCAGCAACCAAGTCGGTATCATAGCGATGGAGATTAGAAGACGACTGTGAAGGCAACAAGAGGTCTGCAAGAGTTGCCTCGTCGAGTTGCAGACCAGCTTTTCTAATCAACTCAGTCTTTGTGGTGAGAGAAGCTCCCACATAACTCGCTATGCTAACAAGTCTCAGCAAGAAACCCTCTGAAACCGAGCCTTTATCTGAAGGAATCATATTCACAACCGTGTTAACAACACGCCGATGCCTTTCCAACGCTGCTTCGTTTTCTTTAACTGGGAAACCTGAAGTGCTGTTTGATTTCAAGTATGGTAACCAACGACAGGTGTATACATGCAAAGCTTCACCGATGAGCTGAGGCTGCAGCGTGAAGGTTGACCTGGCTGCTGTGATGACACAGCGGAATAAGTCCAAGTCAAGGTCTGATATGTCCTCCGTCCACCAGTCTTTTGGAACAGAGTGGTGCTGTCTCTTTTCGTAGCCTTGTCTGGTGTATGTATGGGACCAGGAGACCTGCAAAAACGGAAAGAAAGATCAAAACGGATGTGCAAGAACATCAACCACCTGGACTCAAAAAGTGAAAGAACGGAACAAACCTGTGCGGTGGGAGTGAGGATCTTCTCCACGATTGAATCTATGCACTTTCTGATGATCCCAAGATTCTCACACCATTCTGGCAATTTGGCAGTGGACTGCAAAGTGACGATGGAGTCTTTCCAGCCTTGGAGAACGCAGGAGTGGAAGAAAGATTCAAGCTTTGGTAACAGATTTCCCTTTTCAACAGAATCAGACATCCGAAGAAACTTGGAGGCGCAGAGGGCATTGACAAGGTTAAGAGCACTGAGGTTGATGGTGATGCCGTAGCAGAACTTAGCACATAGCTCAAACGCATCGGCTCCTCCAGGTATATCATTCAGCTCTATGGTGACACTATCAGACTCCTCTGAATCAGTGCAAAGCCTTCGCAACAGCCCACATTTTGGAAGAAGAGAAGACTGCAGACAAGGATGGAAATAGCTAAGTAACAACATATATGATACATGTGTGTGTGTGTGTGTGTGTGTGTGTGTGTGTGTGTGTGTGTGTTTGTGTGTTGCTACGAGGATAAAAGTCAATCGAAACATACTCTGTGGAGATGATAAGTGGTGTTGTTGATTCTGATAAAGAGATCGTTGGGTGTGTCGGTTATCAAAATCCTGCAGTAAGTTGTAAATATATTTGATCAGAGAGATGAGATTTGGGAATTTGGAAGCAGAGAGATGGAGGAACAACCTTGAAGCATCTTGAGTGTAGAAAGTGTCAGGCTTTGTCCCGATTTTCATGAACTTCATCTTAGACTTCTCTGCGTTCAAGATGAACATATGATGAGAAGAAACTTTAGGTAAAAAGGATTAAAAAAAGGTAGAGAATAAAATATTCAAGCCGAAATTTTATTCATCTGAATTGCTAAATGAGAATATCACACATGAAGTTTTATGATACAATTCTGAAAACCAAAAGAGAAACAGAAAAAAAGATAAAAGCAAAAGGATGATTGATTTACCATAAAACTGGTGTGCTCAAAGGTTTGATATGTGTGAGGAAGAAGAAGAAGGAAAAGAGATAGGCGAGCAATAAAGAGAGAGAGAGAGAGAGAGAGAGAGAAAGAGATGTGAAAGAGGTAATGATCAAATAGGCATAAAAAGTGTTAGTGAGAGAGAAAGAGAGAGTTGAATTGTAAACAAAGGGTCCCGGCCTCGTCATTTGTTGCTCCCCGCATGGACTCGCTCTTTAAAATGGTGTCTGATATGTATTTGCCTTCATACTTATTTTGGTTTTGAAAATGTAGAAAACCAAAGAAATTGGCACACATACACATATGTAGGTATGAACAAGCATGAGTTCGTTACCCTCTCGTCTCCTTACGAGTTAAGATGAAAATCAAGAAAAAAACGAATAGAGAGTTAGACTGTGTGGTAGTATTAAAGGGTGGGTATGTGTGAATCAAGAAAGTATCCACAACCAAGAAATCAAAAAGGGAGACACAAGTGTCCTCCATGCATTCCATCTTTTGCATAAGGAAAACAACTTGTCACCAAACATAAAGAAAGTGAAAAAATCAAAAGTGGGTCTTATTACAAGTGAGTTTACTCGTATTATAAATACAATGGACCACCTCTATGAGTAGGGAGTAGGGAGTTGGATAGACTTAACTCAAAAGAGAGTTTTAATCAAATAAAACTTGGCCGCACCACATCTTATCTTCTTTCTTCTTTATATTATTGATCATAAAGCTAAACCCCATGGATGGATCCCCAGATCATACCTTCCTTTCTTCTTCAGTACCAACACTTTAATGTATCAGAGACACAGGTTACGGTCTGTACAAGTGTTTTTTACCTGTTGTCCATTTCTACTGTAGAATCTCTGTTGTTTGTGGGGGAGGGGCAAGTCAACACACATCATTAGTGTGCTATTATAATAATGCAAAAAGCCAAAAAAAAAGTGAAAGAAAGGCTGGGAGGTGAAGGCATTTGAGTACAAACGTCCCCTCTCCTGATGGAATTTGTCTGCCTTAGAGGAGAGAATTGTAAGTCACACTAATAGTCAAATCCAGTGCACTCCAATTTTCATTGGCCCTACACATCTCTGCACTACTACATTTGTAATGACTATTCTCTTGTTAAGACCCAACTAGAATGACCAGGAGGCTCAGGGATCATCATATAGGGTTCTTACTTTATAAACACAAGACAATGGGCCTGGGCTTAGAGCTCTATTTGCTTGCTTGCTGCCATAATGCCATTGGATGGATGTATATACAAAAGGAAGCAAGTAAGCAACCTTGTGGATGAAACCAGTCAGTCACCAAACAAGAAAATTGTATAGACAAAAAAAAAATTGTAACAAAACGATGAGAATTAAAGTAAAATTTGTCTACAACCAAAGCCAAACGTAACAAGGTCAAGCACAATAAATACAAAAAAGTAGAGTAGTTTGTATGAAAATAAAAAAGGGAATATACTCCGTTTAAAAAGGTCTAGAGTGTGAGTCAATGTACCCAAAATCTAATTTGAAGGTTTTTGAGTAATAATTTTACAGTAGAACCTCCATAAATTAATATTCGATAAATTAATAATCACTATAAATTAATAATTTTTGCTGTTTTCAAGTCGGATCAATGTAAAAATTAGCAAATTTCGATAAGATAATAAGATAATATTTTTTGAAACTTCTATGTAAAAATATAGTCTCAATAATTATATAAATTAATAATTATATTTTTAAGCATATATAAATAATATAATATAGTAAAATATAATTATATTATTGTCTCAAGTTTATAAAATTTATTTGACTTATTTTTTAAATTCACTGATATGATATTTTCTGAATAAATTTTACATTGTTAAAAACATTTTTTTTTGTTTTTTTTGACAAATATTTTGGATCCAAACCGAAATATCTCTCTATAAATTAATAAAATATTAATTTTTTGATAAATTAATAAATATTAAGTTATTGATTAATTAATAACTCTATAAATTAATAAATTTTTGCAGTCTCAACATTATTAATTTATAAAGGTTTTACTGTAATTTAAAGATTTAGAGTGTCAGTCAAGTACTCTAGAAGTTTAAACTGTTACTAGAAGTCATTTAAAGGTTTTTTTAATGTGATTTTCCCCTCTATTTTTTGCAGTTTCGAAATATGAATTGTTCAAAACGAATAAACTAAAACATTTGATCGAAATTCGAGTAAACCAGATTTCTCTTCTAGTTAAATCTTGTTTTCTATAGTCAACTTCTCCCATCTTCAGTACGTCTTCTTTCACACCCATTTTTTTTGCATGACTAACTAATGGCTACTGTTACGCGTGGCCGTTATCGTTCCAATCCCGAATCCTTCTTCCAGGTGGTGATGATCGGGCCGGAGTTAGACATCTTGACGCAGGCCCCGGGGATAATCATCCAATCACTGTAACCGAAGATGAAGAAGATGAATAACAACCTAACCGCAAGGCTTCAATGTTTAGTTGGATGATGGATAACGAAAACCTATAATTTGAATGGTTATTGGATTGTATCAGAATATTGGATTGTATTCTGATAGGAACCAATCAAAATCTAATCTATACCTACTATGTTTATTACTATATTACTAGCCACAATTGATTTATTTGTAACACCTTTTCTAAACATTTGGTTCATTTGAAAACATGTTTTCTGAAACTCTAAACCAAAAGCTAATTTACCTCAAAATTTGGAATATTTGAAAATGCAAACCACAAACGCGAAATGTGGTAAACATTAATGCCATTGGTTCATTTGATCGAGGTCTGTTCGTATAGAAATGCTAAGATAAGAAATGAAAACTTTGTGTAAGTGAAAACTTGTAGTTCCGAACTTATTATGTGGTAAAAGCAATTTCATTGTGAGTTCTCACATAAACACAAAATAAAGTAAATGATATATATGAGTATATTAAAATCATCTGAAATTTGCAAAAATCTCAAAAAATACTTAAATATGAGCTTGCGATAATCTTGCCAAATAGACATATCATTTTCCTATCAATTCCTCATCCTTAAATTCCCCATGATCATCATCTCTCCATTATTCATATATCCGGTGAGTAATGGTAAATGAAACTTGTTCTTTGATCTCTTTTATAATTTGTTTTAATGTATATGCAGTCAAAATATTTCACATGACTTCAGATATGCCGAGCTCTAAAGCTAAAAGATATATTTTAGAGGTTCGAGGATTCCCAATGCTACATAGGTTTTTAATCAGGATTACAAAACTTATGTGTATCCAGATATACTATGTTCACTGATTGTATTTTCTATGAACTCGCCACCACTTCCCAAAGTTGTCACTAATATAAGTCGGTGATAAAAACCTAACATAAATGGGGATTGTGCAGAAATAGATTGTCTCTATCTACTTTGCTTATGTCCACCATTGGTAAGTATTTACTTTCAGATTTTACACTCTATTAGCATCCTCAGAGGTCGATTCCACGAACTATCTGAGAAATCTTCATAAAACAGAAATCTTTTTGATATCTCAAAGATGCGATTGCTAGTTCTTGATTCTTGGTTTCGAGGTAAGATTGCCAGTTCTTAATTCTAACATTCTCGGTTATAACATAGATAGTTCTTCACATTCATGCAATCAATGGAATGCTAAGGAGATGCTAGCTTTCAAATCATCAAATTCATCGAATGGACCTATTTTGGTGCTAACTTGGGAACTTTGTTTATGAGAGATACATGGCTCAAATAGGTAGCGTGATTCTGAATAAAATAAAAAAGCACTTGAAGATTTTGCAGTAAAGAGGCCGCAATTTCCGCAATTTTGTGAATAAGCTCACACATTGAGAGTTTGGTCTCATAATGCAAGAAGAAGATGACATGATAAAAACATCCTTATTAAACAATACAATTTTTTCTGGAAACCTTGAAAAGGTAAAAGTCTTGGTTCAGTCGGGTAAATGTGAATTCCATAGCAAGCGATCACCATTGGTAAGCGTATACACTCTTTTGGTTACTTTATTTGCATGGTTTAATATGAACTATCTAACATTTTGTTTATAGAAGGGCTGTGATATTTTTTGTTTTCTGTTTGTTTTAGCATGTTGCACCCGGCAGGAGAGACATAGATATAGCAAAATTCCTCACTGACAAAGGAGCAGAATCTCAGAAGAAAAAGGTACAGTAAAATTTCTATAAATTAATACTAGATAAATTAATAATTACTGTAAATTAATAATTTTTGTCGGTTTCAAGTCGGGCCAGTGTAAAAATTAGCAAATTTCGATAAAATAATAAGATAATAGTTTTTTTGAAAGTCATATATAAAAATATAATCCCAATAATTAGATAAATTAATAATTATACATTTAAGCATATATAAATAATATAATATAGTAAATAATAATTATATTATTGTTTCAAGTTTATAAAAATTGTCTGAATTATTTTTCAAATTCACTGATATGATCATTTTTGAATAAATTTTATATTGTTGAAAACATTTTCAAATTCACTAATATAATCATTTTTGAATAAATTTTATATTGTTGAAATTTTTTTTTTGTTTTTTTAACAAATATTTTGAATTTAATCGGAAATATCTCTCTATAAATTAATAAAATATTAATTTATCAATTAATTAATAACTCTATAAATTAATAAATTTTTGAAATCCCAACATTATTAATTTATAAAGATTTTACTGAAACATGTTTTGCATTGCAAAATCTCAGATTTATTACCAGATGCGTACGAGACCACTCCTTTGCTTGATGCCATCAAGAATAACAATCTACAGTAGAACCTCTATAAATTAATACTCGATAAATTAATAATCACTATAAATTAATAATTTTTGTCGGTTCCAAGTCGGGCCAATGTAAAAATTGACAAAATTCGATAAGATAATAAGATAATATTTTTTTTGAAAATTCGATGTCAAAATATAGTCTCAATAATAATATAAATTAATAATTATATATTTAGGTATATATTAATAATATAATATAGTAAACTATGATAATATTGATATTTTAAGTTTATAAAATTTGTTTAATTTATCTTCTAAATTCATTATTATGATATTTTTGAATAAATTTTACATTGTTAAAAATATTTATTTTGTTTTTTAGATAAATACTAAAAATTCAAACTAATAATATATTTATAAATTAATAAAATATTAATTTATCAATAAATTATTAATTAATTAATTTATCGATTAATTAATAACTTTATAAATTAATAAAATTTGAGAGATCCAATATTATTAATTTATAGAAGTTTTACTGTATTTGTTGATGTTCTACTTGGATATGGTGCAAATCTTACACATCTGTAACTCTCCACACTATTTGTAATGACTATCTATCAATCTCTTGTTAAGACCCCAACTAGAATCACCACGCTCAGGGATCATCGTATCAAAATTTCAGGGTTCTTACTTTATAAACACAACACAATGGGCCTGGGCTTAGAGCTTTGTTTGCTTGCTTGCTGCCATTGGATGGATATACAAAGAGGAAACAACTTTACCAATGCCCTTGGAGAAGCAGAGTAGCTTAAATCAGTTAGTCACCAAACAGATCGTCGTTATCATCCTCTTCTTTTTCATCAACCACTCCGCGTTTAGTTTCTTCTTTGTCTTTAGCTGCTGGTTCACTCACAGAAGCCCATGAAGTACCAACGGCCTTGGCAAGTGAATCACCACCGTAAAGATCATCATATATCCCTCCTTTTGGACCTCCTCTTACCTTCTTCATTGCTTCCTGTAGTCTATCTGTCACACCTCTGTTTCCTGTAAAAGCTTTCTCTGCTTTCCCTTTGCCTTTCGGTATCAGTGTCACTTGCACCATTGATTCATATTTCCCAACAAGGCTCCCTTCTTTGACACCTATCGGACCAGGCTCTGTCTCCACGTCTGCTCCATCAGACATCCCAACAACCTCGGCAAGCTCTCCTCCTAGTTGATCCCTGAAGCTCACTCGTACTTTCTTCATCCTCTTCTTACTCAACCCACCTTCTGATCCAGCCTTCTCTTTCCTTTTGCCTAACACAGAACCAGATTCTCCATTGCTTAAACCATATCGATTGAGCAATGTGTTGTACGCAACAACGGCGTCCTCGTCAGAAGGATCAGGAGGCGGAGGAAGCTTAATCTCAGCTGGAGGAGGAGGGCGAGTGAATAGAGCCTCACTGTTCTTTCTCAGAATGTAGATTCTTGTGGAGGCAGCAAATCGTAACGACTGTCCTACTTCTAGCTCTACAGGAGTATCTTTCGTCAATCTCTCATTTGCAACAAATGTACCATGAGCTGATCCCAAGTCAATCACAAAGATGCTACAAGAAAAAGAAAAAAACAAAGACTTCTTACACATGTTTATAGATACAAGAGCGGCTGAAAGAGAAGAGAAGCCACCACAAACCTGCCGTTCTTGTGGGGAACGACGGCGGCGTGCTGGCGGGAAACAGACTGATGATCGAGCACGAAATCACAAGTCTGCTGCTGCCTCCCGAAGATATGTCTCCGTCTATCGAGATGAATCCGATCAATGATCTGGCCGTCTTTCACAACTTCCAGAGAGTAGACACCGGCACGAGGCTCAATAGCCCAATCTGGGGGATGCCAACTTGACTGACTCGCTCCAATCTGAGTTTGCGCCGCCGGTGGCAATGGGGCCGCCTCCGGGGAAAAGTGTTGAACCACTGGCTTAGCTGGAGGGTTTGCAGACACCGAGAAGGGTTCCGGAGTTTGAGACTTCTTAAACCTGTCAAGACCTGATCTTCCGGACATTCTCTTTCTCTGCAATTCGAATCTAAAGCAAGCACTGTTCAACTCCTTCACATGATCCCCAAATACAACAGACTAGGGTTTCTCTCTTCTCTGTCCTAACGATACTCAGAAAATATATTTGTCAACTCAGTCCCTACACTTTTTGTACTCCCCAAAATACGAGCGGCAGTTTCTTAATTTTATTAAGGGTCGTTTGAGACATTTTTTAGACACAGACATATTTTGGCAAGTTTCTGACAAAGTTGTTGTATTTTTGAAATTACAACTTCTTCTTACACATCCCTAATTCTCCACACTATTTTTGGCAAGTTTCTGGAGTTCTCTTTCAAAAATTTAAAAATAGTCTAATACTTTTAAAATGAGACGAAAAAATTAGAAATAAATGAAAGAGAAAATGATAACACTTGGTTTAAGAAAATGAGAAGCACTTAACAAAATTACACAAATCACCAACGAAGAATCAAAGGCATTACAGGAGGAAATTGGGAGGGCTTAAACTACTTCTGTCTCTTGTAGATCTTTGCCAAGAAGGATTTCAGCACTGCTTGGATTGCTTTGCTTTGGTGAGCCTCAATCACTCCCGTCAGCTTCTCGTAGCTTTTGCTCTCATACTCCTTGAACACCCCCTATCATGTTCACACATCAAACCAGATCCAGTTAGCAGAGCACAATCACATCACATGTTACTTGTGTATTACAAAATCATATCTTTTGAGATTCCACTAGTCTCAAACCTCAAGGTCAAGCTCTTTGTAGAGATCCTTCACTTTAGCAACGTTTGATGGGTCGGATTTACCGTAGTTCTCCTAGGATATCAGAACAAAACCTTCTTTCAGATTCCAAACATACAAACCCTTTGACAAAAGAATATAAGATTCTTACATATAATATCTCAGTTTGTTCTTTGCTGCACCGTTCCAATGCCTTAACCACTAACCAGGAGCATTTGAAATCTTCTATATCCGTTCCTATCTGCATTATAAAACGTTACAATATGCATCAAGTGAACACAGTGATACATTCAGATCAGTCTGAAAAACCAAATGTTTGCAAGAGTGAAAACCTTGCCAAGTGTCTCGGGATCAGCAAAACAATCCAGATAATCATCCTACACAGATAACACAACGAATATCAACTTCCTGACATTAGCCTATAAAAAAGCTCTCATGAATAATACTTAGCAGCAACCTACCTGCACTTGGAAGTAGATTCCCATGTCAACAAGAACATCCTTCACATCAATATGGTTTTCCAAATTTTCACCCGCCATGAGCAACGCACAAGCAACCTGAGTAGAAAGAAACACACCTCGTTAAAGAAGATCTAAAATATTTATCATCTATTGTTTGTTGCAATGATAGAAATGTGTAGCACAATGAAAAGCGAAAAGTTGCTCTTTACTGTGAACCCAAGTACGAGTAGGGAGGGAGCAAATCCATACTCACAGGTAAATAAAATGAGTAGTAAGCGGTTTTGTACTGGACAATACGCCGGTGGCTGCATGTGGAAAATCATTTCATCAGTCAGAAAATGTAATACCCTTTAATTTATCATCCAATTTGAACAGACGACTTTTTATTATTTTTAAATGACCACACTTTGACTCACATAGGCAATGAGTACTTGGCCAAATCTTTTTCACCATCGAAGGTGGTGATCAGATCTATCATCTGGCCGCAAGCTGTTTGCAACTCTACCTAAACAGAGCAAAAGGAAAAATACTATATTTCCAGTTTGCTTCGGTTGTGGAAAGAGAGTAGATCTGCCAAAAAAAAAATAGATTACCTCATTAAAGAGATCGACGAGGTCAACATAGTAAGGCTTTCCCCGGAAGTGCTTTTTGAGAATCCTGTGGATGTGATTGCGAAGTAGAATCCCGTCGTTGATGGCAACCATACCAACCTGAAACATTTGTGTTAAAAGAGGTTAAGAGGACTCTCTAGTGGTCTTTAATCTTTGCAGCGTTGAGAGAATATGATAAGAGAGAGAAACCTGAGGAACTCTGAACCAGCAAGGTTGGCCACGGCGGGTGACAGAGTTATCCATAATGTCATCAAGCACAAGGAAATAAGCTTGAAGCTGCAGAGAAGACAAATATAGAAAGAGAAACAATGACACATGAGGGAGAGAGAGAGAGAGAGAGAGGAGGGTATCTATAATCTATATAGCTATTCAGAAAGGTGGAGTCTTTGCATACCCATTCGATGCACCAACCGAGAGCACACGAGAGGAAAACCTCTTCCTCAGTCAAATCTTTGCCCTCCTTCAAAAGTTTGAAGCTGTCCACGACGGAGAGACCTCGATTCAGCTTCCCTGGAGAAGAGAAACCAATAAATGTCAGAATTGTAGAAAGGAGATTATTAGGATTGATGAAATGCGAGAGAGAGGGAAAGGCTCTCACCTCCAGGTACATTGTAATCCAGCATCTGCGAAGAAAGAGAGAATCAGCATTGTGATACCAATAAGATAGAAGGAGAATCGAGAAATGATATCGATCGGGATAGGATCTGAGATTCTAAGTGACTGGGAAAAAGGGAGGAGTACCCGTTCGACCCAGAGACGGGATTCATCGGTGAATTCGAAGGAAGGGTCGTGAAGGAGGTCGGACTTAAGGATGGAGTAAACGTTGAGAAAGGTTGACTTGAGATCCGCCATTGAAAGGTGATGAGGAGAGGAGGAGGAGGAAAGCTGCCTACTTTGGATACGACGATAGAGACTACCCACACGCCTCAGATGCAAATGCACAGCCTTTATTGCGATTCCCAGATTCCTACAACAACTCACACTCATTCCGCTTTCTTCCCCAAAACACCCTTTCCTCTTTCTCCTTATTTACCACTTCTGCCATCTACTCCCCCAAGACACTCGGAGTTTTCTCTCTCCCTCTCCCAACTTTAACACTTGTCAAGGCAAAACAATGCAGCCAATTAAAAAAACATTGTTTTTTATGTATGGGGCCGAGAGAAGCCCAAACAATAATGGGCCTTTCTCGATGAAACGACTTCGTTTCAGTACCTGCCAATTGTGCTCTGCCAGAATCATCATCATCATCACCATCAGTCGGATTCCTGAATTCTGGTAAAAACAAAAATTCTCTGAGAAGACACTCTAATGGCGCCTCAGCTTCTCTCCTCCAGTAACTTCAAATCTCTGTTTGACTCTGTCGACACTTTCCTCTTTGACTGCGATGGTATTTTGCTTTTATTTTCTTTTTCTCTTTTCCATTCGAGATCCCCTTGATGGTGTTCCATGGAATGTGGCTTTGATGATGATGATGATGATGATGATTCAGGTGTTATATGGAAGGGTGATACGCTCATCGATGGCGTCTCTCACACTCTCGACTTACTCCGCTCTAAGGTGCTTTCCCTTTTTCACTCTTTTTTCCATTCAATCTCACCCTTTTCCCTTCTCTGATTTTTTTATTTGCGCGTTTTTTCAGGGTAAAAATGTGGTGTTTGTGACCAACAATTCGATGAAATCAAGGAGGCAATACGCTGAAAAATTCCAATCCCTGGGTCTCGTTTCTGTTACTCAGGTAGTAAATACTTAATTTTCCCGACTTCTGTTTGGATCGCATTTCATGCGCTTATATAAAATTGTGATTCTTTGGAAAAGGATGAGATCTTCTCTTCATCATTTGCGGCAGCTATGTACCTCAAAGTTAACAATTTCCCCAAGGACAAGAAGGTTCGTCTTAGACTGTGCACATTGCTTTGCGTATCTGTGCCGTGATCTTTTTCTCACTTTTTTCTTTCGTGTTTGCTTTTGTAGGTTTATGTAATTGGCGGAGAGGGTGTTCTTGAGGAGCTGCAGATTGCTGGTTTTACAGGTCTTGGTGGTCCTGTAAGTAGTCTAATTTTCCAGCCGTCTTCATGAACTGATATGCTTTTCATGAATACGTTTGGATCATGTTTTGTTTTGGTCACTTCGTAAGCTTATAGAAAGATGTTAGATCCTTATTGTCCCTGTGTCTTAAAAGCAGTACTTGCTTCATGCAGGAAGACAATGAAAAGAAGGCACAATGGAAATCAAACACTCTCTTTGAACATGATAAAAGCGTAATGTGCCATAAGACTTTGCGCCTCTCTCCAGAATCTTCTTGCTCGATTTTATGACGATGTGTATATCTTCCGTGTTCCAGGTGGGAGCAGTTGTGGTTGGACTAGACCCTAGCATAAACTACTATAAGCTTCAGTAAGATGGATAACTATTGCATGCAATAGTCGGTTTGTCAAAATCGAGTTTCTCTGAGATTAGGCTTAACACAACGACGGAATTGGCAGGTATGGGACACTCTGCGTACGCGAGAATCCTGGATGTCTTTTCATTGCGACCAATCGTGATGCAGTAGGACATATGACGGATTTGCAAGAGTGGCCTGGTATTGTAACTAAGACTCTTCTAAGGCTACAGTGTCCTAAATAGCCAGCTTTAGTTGTTCGCATCATCTTTATATTTGTACTCGTTGATTCTAGGTGCTGGTTGTATGGTTTCTGCGATGTGTGGTTCAACTGATAGAGAACCAATAGTGGTCGGGAAACCAGCTACTTTCATGATGGACTTTCTGATACAGAAGTATGTTGACATGAAAGCGAACTCTGTCTCAGTTTCACAGTTGTGCAATATATAGAATTGTGTGATAAAGAAATGTCTTCCCTTGTACTGCAGATTTGGGACAGAGACGTCAAGAATGTGCATGGTGGGTGATAGGCTAGATACTGATATCTTGTTTGGTCAGAACGCTGGCTGCAAAACTCTCCTTGTCCTATCAGGTCATTACGTTTTGAGTGAATGATTCTCTTTTGAGTTCTCGAAGCCAATGCAAATCAATGGCGATATGTGGACAATGTTTTAGTGAACTGACAATGATTTGGCTTGTATTTTCTGAAAACAGGGGTGACAAGTGAATCGAATCTACTAGACAAGGGGAACAAGATTGAGCCAGACTATTACACAAGCACGGTCTCTGATATCATCAAACTGATATAGTCCCCCTAGAAAGTAAGGGCATCATCATCTTGCTTCACCCTGAAACAGTAATTTATATCCGCAAGATGAAATTTCTGATTTTTGTTTTGGCTCTCTCTGTTAATGATCAATGTGGTGATCCATCCATCATCAGAAAACATGGCCTGCTAGTTTTAATGAAAGGCTGAGTTGTTGAATACATTTGTTATTGTTTCTGAATAAAGAATCTGAAATATTTGAATGATTGAATAACAACAAATACGGTTTTCATGGAAAGTATAAAAGTGCCCTCATGCCTCCAAAAGCACAGCCTGGTTTCATATCATAGGCGTTATTTCTTTTATAATTATATAGGCTTTTTAGCCTGTTTGGTCCAGAAACATGTGATGCGTATTGATAATAGAAAAAAAAAATGTAAATGGGTCATATCGAGGAACACAGGTCTCTTGAGTTTGAGATTTGTTTAAAAAAGGTTCCAATCCAAACGGCATGTGATGTGATTGTCAGCGAATATTCCGTTACTTGCAAAGTTAAACTAATGATAATGAACATCTTCCTCATTTTGTCTGTTTCTGATGTGTGCTTCAGTGTCTGTAAGTAGGAGTACAATAGGTGTAAATGGTGTCACGTGATATGAGTTTCTCTAATAAGTTGCAAAAGAGCATAGGAGGAACATAATGAAGGAAGATAGTACAAAATCCTAATGTGCTTTTAGCATGCCTTGTTCTTTTTTTTTTTCCTTCTCATTTTCAAAGTCATTAATTCTTACAAGACCTACTAAGCAGACCTCTAATTGTCTGCATAAACATAATCTATCATCATTTTAAGTCTGTTGAAGAAATTAAGGAATTGTGTATATGTAGACACAAACATTTGTGATCATCATTCAACTTTCTTTTTCTTTCTTTCGGCCATTAAATTCTTTCTCTCTCTGTTTTTTGGTCACACTGCCTTTACTTCCTTTTTTGTATTCAATACGGGTATTGAAAATGATGTAATTAAAGTCTCTTATTTTTTTTTTATATTATTTATAGAGAAACAAAAGCGAAAGGTACTTGTAATTTAGCTTTTATTGTATTTAGAGTCTTCTTTTAATTTATCAAGTCTTGGCTGTGACTGGATCGTACCTCCGGGTTCTTGTCGTGAGTATCCGGCGAAATGAGCAACACTAGTGAAGGTGAAGTGATCCAGTGCATGTAATTGTAGAAGCAAAAGCCAATACTTTTTCTTCTCTCTTCTTCGAATCTTCTCTGCGTCAGTCCTCACCCAAGGTATCTCCTTCCTTCCCCTTCCCTCTCTTTCTAGGGTTTCTTTTCCTAAAGTTCCTCCTTTTCTTTGTTTCCAGATCTCCCTTATTCTTCTCATTTTTGGTTTTTCTGTTTTCTCTCTGGATCTTGATTCATCTTCTTCAACCTGCAATCACGTATCTCCCATTTGGGATCTGCTTTGTTTTCGTTCATAAAAGAAAAAACTTTTTGTGCTATTTGATCTCTGTGCCGTGGGACTCTGTTCTTCTTCTAACTGATTATCATGATCCGTTTAGGGTTTGAAGAGAGAACTCCATTAAGGAAGATGTGCCTTTCCCGTTCGGTATAGAGAATCTAGTTTGTCTCCGATGTCGTCCATTCGAAAACCCAGTGGTCATGGAGCTGAGGTCGAAGCTCAGAAGCGACCTTCTTCAAATAGTAATACTAAATCAGCCAAAGCCCAGATAGCAGAGCCGCTGCAGTTACACAGATCAGTCACAAATCCGGCGGCTTCTGTAGGAGTTCCGGAGAGTAAACGGTTGCCGGAGTCGTTTAGGAAGCGATCTGGCGATCCCAAACCAGATTTTAGCTCCTTATCCACCGTTCTTGAGCATGTAGATTCATTGACCATTGATAGCAAGGACCAGGAAAAGAAAACATCAGGCTTTGGCAGCGTCAAAACCAGCTCTGCCTCTGCGAAAGTGAGTGATGGCACGAGCAGCCTTGGCAAGACAAGTGGAAGTGCCAAGCTTAGTGGCCGACTTGATTTCATGGAGAGTGGCAAGAGCAGTATCTGCAGAGGAAGCACGAGCAGCGATGTCAGCGATGAGAGTAGTTGCAGCAGCTTTAGCAGCACTGTCAACAAACCCCACAAGGCCAACGACATGAGATGGGAAGCGATCCAGGCGGTTAGGGCTCGGGATGGGGTCTTGGGACTGAGCCATTTCAGGCTCCTTAAAAGGCTTGGCTGTGGGGACATCGGGAGTGTTTATCTCTCTGAGCTGAGCGGGACAAAGTGTTACTTTGCAATGAAGGTTATGGACAAGACATCTCTTGCGAGTCGCAAGAAGCTTCTCCGGGCTCAGACGGAAAGAGAGATTCTCCAGTCATTGGATCACCCGTTTCTCCCTACCCTCTACACTCACTTTGAGACTGAGAAATTCTCGTGCTTGGTGATGGAGTTCTGTCCCGGCGGAGACTTGCATACTCTCAGGCAACGCCAGCCCGGGAAGCATTTTTCCGAGCAAGCGGTAAAGTGAGTCATCCTTTCTTTAGCTTTTTTTCCTTTGATTTGGATCTGTGACTATAGAAAACATTTAGGGATCATCGAACCATTTATTATATCTCTTATTCTCTGCTGACAAAAGGTTATGTTTTTCGATGTGTGTCAGATTTTACATAGCAGAGTCATTGCTAGCTATTGAATACCTGCACATGCTGGGGATTGTGTATCGTGACCTTAAGCCTGAAAACGTTCTCGTTCGAGAAGACGGACATATAATGCTCTCTGATTTCGACCTCTCGCTCCGGTGTCTTGTCAGCCCGACTCTAGTGAAATCTGCCGCCATCGAGTCAGATCCATTACGCAAAAACGTCTACTGTGTGCAGCCTGCTTGCATTGAGCCCTCTTGCATCCAACCTTCTTGCACCGTCCCCACCACTTGCTTCTCCCCACGTTTGTTCTCGAGCAAATCTAAAAAGGACCGTAAATCCAAGAACGACACCGCGAATCAAGTTAGGCCGTTGCCTGAGCTGGTGGCTGAGCCAACCGATGCGAGGTCCATGTCATTTGTAGGCACGCATGAGTACTTGGCCCCTGAGATCATCAAGGGCGAAGGGCATGGGAGTGCAGTGGATTGGTGGACTTTTGGGATATTCCTGTACGAGCTTCTCTTTGGGAGAACGCCTTTCAAGGGCTCGGGAAACCGACAAACACTGTTCAATGTGGTGGGTCAGCCTCTGCGGTTCCCGGAATCACCCGTGGTGAGTTTTGCAGCGAGAGACCTCATCCGGGGCCTGCTCATGAAGGAGCCGCAGCAGCGGTTGGGGTTCAAACGAGGAGCCACTGAGGTTAAGCAGCATCCTTTCTTCGAAGGTGTGAACTGGGCTTTGATTCGGTGCGCGACTCCACCGGAAATCCCAAAGCCGGTTGAGCTGGAGAAAGGACCTGTGGGTGTTGCAGAGTCACCAGCGAGCCAGAAGACAGCAGCAGGTTTGGTTCTGAATGCTCAGAAAGGGTCTGACAACTATTTGGAATTTGATTTCTTCTAGCGTTAAGGTTAGACATATGGTACTACTCTATTCTTCCTTGAAAGACCAAGCGGTGAAAAATGATCTCAGTGTTGTTTGTTATGGTATTTATAGATTGCTATGAATTGTATGTTTGTTTTCTCTATGCATAAGCTGCTGTAGTTTATAAACTGTTGTAACCTTATTAGCTTTTTTATAATTAGAGTTCGTCTTTACTCTTTCTATCCAAACACAAAACATAACAACAAATGTAGTCTCTCTTCATCTTTCTCTTGGTCTCTCGTTCTGTTTACTGTTAGTTTTGGGCTTACTGATGAAGCAAATGCAAGCAAAAGGGCCAATGGGATGATCTTTCTTCGGCCGGTGTGTTATTGGGGACTTGGAGGGACTGCTCTCCGTAGCAGCCTCATCTATCTTTATCTCTTTTCCTTGGCATATGACTTTGACATCACACATGTCTGATGCAGAGCTCCTCATTATCTGTTCAGGAACACTGTTTCCTTTTATTGACTTTGTTTTCCTTCGAGAATGAGAGATAGATAGATAAGGCTGATGTACTGTCATCTAACAACTAAAACAATTGTGGAAATCATCTTGTGTATATATATATACCTTGCGTTGGACTTGTCGATCCCAAGAACAAGCTTCTTAATGTTAAGAATGGTAATGAGGTCTTGTAAAGCCTTAGCCACCGAGTCACTCTCAACCAGTATCGTCTCCACCTTCACCTGTTTCTCACTTACTCTATCATTTGGTATCTTGATCCACTCTTAATCAATACCAAGAGAGAGAGAGAGAGAGAGGGAGAGAGATGGGACCTTAGAAGCAGAGCAGGCTTGAAGAAACTTTTGCAACAGAGTTCTTCTCTTCTCCCTTTCCTTGGACATAAAAGTTTCCAGTTGTTCTCTACTCGCTTGCTCCCTCGTCAGCCTCCCCACTACACGGATCATCATATATACAGACACTTGACTTGAGTTCCGACACACAATTGGTCTTTAATCAAAGATAATTAGTGATAAGCAAAGGGCATATATACTGATGTACAGACAAGGGTAAGGAATGAAGCGAGTCTCAGGGAAGACATGGATGAGGAAGAGAAGAGTAGAAGAAGAAGTGATGGTATTGTCAATAGCCCAACGCAATGCCTCCATGCTTGAATCTCCTTTCCCAACACCAACATACACGTTGTCCTCTCCGTTCATCGACACTGTTCCTCCACTGCTTCTACCTTCCAACTGACTCTCTCGCACGCTCTCAAGTCCTCTCCTTCCATCTTCTTCTTCTTCAATCTCATTGCTCATCCGTTGCATTTTCTTCTCGTTGACTTTTTGCCTCTTCTTTTGCCCTCTGCCCCCATCAAATCCTTCTTACTTTCCTTTAATATATATATGCAATCTATAACTTTCTTAGTACTTGTATGATTTGATTACGGTGTTTTTTGCGTGTGAGTTTTGTGAAAGACTGAACTTTTCTAGACATTGAACCTTTTACATTATCATGACGATTTCCACATATGTACAAGGTTTATCCACCCACGTATGTGTGTCAATTTAGAATTCAATAAAACAAATATGAGCATAATAAAAGAACAAAGGTTATTATACACACACATTACAATAAAAAAGGTGTTTGAAACATATTTCGTTAACTGAATTTGCATCATCCAACTTATAGAAAATTAGTTTTTCTTTGTCAAAACTCAAAATTTTCAAACTCTAGATGGGTCAGCGTGATTTCCTCGTTGTTTATTGGCAACTGTTTGCTCGAATATCCGAATCCAAAGTAGGAATCTTTATATTTAATAATCGAAAGTCAAAACACATAACTTTCTTAGCAATTGCAGACAAAGAAGTACTATTGAACTTTGATGCATTCTCTCTGACGTTTAGGAATCCTTCCATGTTTAATGTTAGGCTTGGAAGATTTCAAGCTATAATCATTTTGACCCAAAAAAAGAAAGCTGAAATCTTTAGGCTTTTGGGTAAAGTTTGACTAATTTTGTGCTGCACTTAGTTTAAGGCCCAACTTAAAATCTCGAGGAAATTGACCCACCTAATTTTGTTAGTCTCAGTCCATGATTCAACGTCCAACTAGCACAAAGACCGATGAAAAAAGCAAAGCAAAGAGCCAAAAGACCAAAGCTTTTGTGTCTTTATATTCTTGGCTTTTTGGTTTGCAAATCACAAGAAAGACTTTTTTGTGTGATGGGTATGTTCTGCCATACAAAGGAGAAATTGACCTTTGAATAATACATAAAGCAACCATATTCATGCTAATCTCCGCCCCCTAAACCTTCTAATACGACACAATTTGTGCTCTTCTTTATTGCAATTAACCAAATTGAAAAGTAATAAAAACGTTTCTAAAAAAGACAACTTTGAATAGTTGACGCAAAAAGAGGTAAAAAAAAGAGACCTACTTTGAATAGCATTATCCCGTCTTTTGATCTTTCTTTTTCCCAACAAAGGACAAGTCTCACCGAATTCGCTACGAGTTCATCATACTTTTAGTGATGACATGCTACAAAACCACCTTTAAACACTTATTTTATTTCACCCCCTAACAAAGTTTGAATCTTACTCTTCTCTCTCGTTAGTTCGTTTCCACAATAATTGAGAAAAATTCAGACTTTAAACTTGTGCCATTGACATTGACCAAGATAAATCACAAGAGGTTGAGATCAAATGGGATTTGGGAGTTGGGTTGATTGAAGAAATCGGAAGCTGCTTTAGTTTTTGTTTTAGAGTAAGAAAAAATTAGTTCTATACGATCCGTCTTTATCAAAGTAGTTCCTTCTCTTAAGAAGACGAGTAAATACTTTGTTTTTAAAAAGTGTATATTTCTGTTGGGGGGTTTTCTGTCTCCTACCACCCTCTTTGACCTTTAATGATGATGGACTCATTTGGTGCCAAGTGACAAAAGGAGGAAACGAAAAAAGTCGATCTTGTAGATTTTTTTTTTACTTTTTTTCTGGACAATTCTTTGTCTGGTTGGAGAGGAAGTGAGAGAAAGCAATGGGGATCGTTTCAGATGAAGCCATTGATGAATTCCAGGAGCTGATAGATCAAGGTCTGACCTTTTCCTCTTTACCTCTTCTGGTTTCTGCTTTGATTTTCTGACTAGTAATTACTAAATTGGGTAAAATTTTCTGCCAGTTGAGGAGCCATTGAAGAAAACATTTGAGGTATGCTTTCTCTGTTCTTTGAAATGGGTCAAACCTCATTCAACAGATTCGATGAATCAGATCACAGATGCATTAGATTTTCCACAAAGTTCTCATTTTTTTAAAGTTTAGGTGGTCTTACAAAGTCTTGACTCATAAGGGTATTGACATATTTGATCTGGGTTTGAATCTATGACTGGTCTTTTTCTATTAGAGTGGTTAAAATCGAATCCATTGAACAGAGTAAAGTAAATCCTTGAGATTTTCCATCTCTAGGTGTGAGCTTGAGAGAGAATTGTTTTCTTTCATGCTCCACGCTTCTTGTTCTTATTGTTTCTGAAACTGAAATCAAGAAGAGTAAACGTGTTTGTGAAAATCTGCAGAATGTGCATCAGGGGTACATGAGGGAGAATTTGAGTCGTTTTCTGAAAGCACGAGACTGGAACGTATGCAAAGCTCATTCAATGGTATGTCTCCCAAATACTTCATTATCTGATTTGAGTGATTACTCCATACTCTGTCTGATTTCACCGTTTTTAACTCACTTTCAGCTTGTTGAATGTTTGCGTTGGAGGATGGATAATGGAATCGACACTATTCTTTCCGTGAGTTATCAGCTTCCTCTTTTCTTGGTCTGTGATATTAAGCTCTGTGTTGTGTGACATTACATCATGTTTTTTTTTTTGTTTCCGCAGAAACCCATTGTTCCTAGTGAGTTGTACAGGGACGTACGAGATTCTCAACTCATAGGAATGTCAGGTTACACAAAAGAGGTAACGCATGATTCCACCATTGCCTTTCTCTGATCAAAAACGTATTTCTTCTTCATTACTTCTGCCTTGATGTTTTAGGGCTTGCCTGTCTTTGCTATTGGCGTTGGTCTCAGCACATTCGACAAAGCTTCTGTAAGTTGTTGCTTCATTGTTTTGTCGTGGTTTCCGCAAGTTTCACAATCAAATGAGAAACAGAAGATGAATGTGTCTCTTCTTTGACATACAGGTTCACTACTATGTCCAGTCTCACATCCAAATCAATGAATACAGAGACCGTGTATTACTGGTGAGTACATGGCAGATGGCTACACTTTTTTTTATCCGGTTTCTTTTCTTGTTGTAATGAGAGTTAAACACTGTTACAGCCTTCTATGTCTAAGAAGAATGGTCGGCCAATCACCACCTGCGTGAAGGTTCTGGACATGACAGGGTTGAGACTTTCAGCGCTAAGTCAAATCAAGGTATGAAATGATAGTCCATGTCTGTATACAAAGTTTTGATACCGCAAGATATAATAAGTTCTTGTATTCATTTTCATACTTTTATTTATAACTTTTTGTGTCAAACATTTTGATGCAGTTAGTGACTATCATATCGACCATCGATGATCTGAACTATCCAGAGAAGACAAACACATACTATGTTGTAAACGCTCCATATATATTTTCAGCCTGTTGGAAGGTAAGCCTTTTTCTCTGTTGAAATATAAGCAGCTACTTAGCATGTATGCGTGTGTTTCATTGACAAACCTTGGATTCATATTAGGTTGTAAAACCTCTTTTACAAGAGAGGACGAGGAAAAAAGTTCATGTGTTATCTGGTTGCGGAAAGGATGAATTATTGAAGGTATATATATATATATATGTGTGTTTATATGCATTTGCTTCCTGAGGATCTTGGTGTGAAAATATGCAAAGTTGTCTAAATTATTGTGGTTCTTGTAGATTATGGACTTCACATCACTCCCACATTTCTGTAGAAGAGGAAGCCCTGGGTCATCTCACCACACTCAGAGTGAAGATTGTTTTTCTATTGATCATCCCTTCCATCAACAGCTATACAACTATGTGAAGCACCATTATGAAACCCAGGGACAAGCAGAACCTGCAAAGCAAGGATCATTCCACGTTGGTTTTCCTGAGCCTGAAGCTGAACGTGTTGAGATAGCCAGAACCATAGAATCTGAACTGCACAAGTTCGAGAACTGCAACGGTCTGAGCAAGCCCGTGGATGACAGAAAAGCCAGTCCATGAAAAGACTTGGAAGATGATGAAACTCTGAATGCTTCTGAGGGAATTCCTTTCATTGCCTTCACAGTTAAGACTTAAGATGTATTTTACAGGTGAGCTAGCGATTCAAATGAGTGAGTACTGAGCTATGTCCGCTCCCTAGCCATGCAAATGTAAAGTGAAGAAAAGAGAATAAATCTTGAACTGAATGTATAGTCTTTATTTGATCCTCTGCATAGACATGTGTAGCAAATTTATTTGTAAAACCGAAGCTGAAGAAATCTACCTCTCAATTCCCTAAGCATCATGAGTGTTGTTGTCCCATGAAAATTAGTTTGATTTCTAACACACTTTTATTGCATCTCTCTCAAGTACAAAATTAATACACACGCTTTGCGTTATAAAACATCTATTGGCTTCAGAGTGCCGAATATCCGATTGTCTTCTCCGACCTGTCAACAAGTTGGAGTTCAAAATATTGTATCTGGAAGCACTAATTGACATGTAAACAATGTCTTGCTTGTGCTAAAAGCTATGCTTACCAGAGTTAAAAAAGGGAGCTTACATGAACTCAAGAACAAGTGCTGATGCTCCTCCTCCTCCGTTGCATACTGACGCCACTCCGTACTTTCCCTTCTTTGCTCTCAACACCTGTATTAGAATGATTCAACCACATTGTTCAGGGTGGATTCAGTTCAATTCAACACCATTGTTGCATGCTCCACGGACTTACCCCTAATAACGTGACCAAAATACGAGCACCACTGCATCCCAGTGGATGTCCCAGAGAAACAGCACCTCCATGCGCATTAAGCCGCTCCTGTTTTTACATACATTATCAGAGACATTGAGATTATAAGACTGAAACATTAGTAACAGTACTTGTTCCATGACTCACAGGATCTAATCCCAGTAGTTTCTGATTGGCCAGAGCTACAACCTGTGGAGGAAACAAGTCAAAACAGTTATTACCTCACAATGCACACCCAACAACTTTAAAACACTGGGAGCTCAGTTAAATGCATTACAGAAAAGGCTTCGTTGATTTCATAGTAATCCACTTGAGATGCATCTAAGCCAGCACGCATTATAGCTTTAGGAATAGCAAGAGCCGGCGTGGTTGTGAACAACTCAGGTGCCTGAGCAGCATCAGCGTATCCTCTAATCTTAGCTATAACATGCAGTCCAAGCTCAAGAGCCTTCTCTCCACTCACCAGCACTAACGCCGCCGCACCATCACTGTCCACCAAACATAAAGCAGAACCAATAAGTGGCTGCTGGAAGTAAGCAATTGAGAGATGCATAATAAGTAAAAGAGACAAGAGGACCTTATACTTGATGCATTTCCAGCGGTGACTGTTCCACCATCCTCCTTGAAGCTTGGTCTAAGCTTCTTTAACTTGGCAGCATCAAACTGGTTCATCCCAAACAAAGTTAAAAACCCAATAAATGCTATCCTAAGAGAAGCAGCGGTTCCTAAACCAATTACCTTCCCCAGTGCTTCATCCTTGTCAACAACTACCGAAGGCCTCCCTCTTCCAGTGGAAACTTCGACCTAATCAATATGAGTGTATGAGAAATATACCATCACCATGCCACAAAGTGAAGTACAGGAATGCAGGGAAAAGGAGATGTGTACCGGGACAATTTCCCAAGCGAACAACCGAGCGTTTTGTGCAGCAATACCACGCTCAAAGCTCTGGATAGCATATGCATCCTACAAAATATCAGCTTTGTACGTCAGGAAAACACAGTCTCATAATCACATTAGTAGTATTAAGTCCACGGTAACAAACTGGAAATACGACAGATCAATGATAAAGATGAGTGACCTGTTCTTCTCTTGTAATGCGGTACTGATCAGCACATATTTCTCCACAAACTCCCATTCCAAAGTCATTGTACACATCCCAAAGTCCGTCTTTCATCATACCGTCAACAATAGTATCATGGCCAAATCGAGAACCCTTTCTGCATCAAGAATAAACGAGAAAGCTTTCTGAGATGAGAAAACAAAACCAAACTGCATCTCTTTGTGTTTCTTTCTCAAGTTTGCAAAAAAAAAAGCACCTTGCGTCCGGGAGGTACTTAGGTACGTTTGACATGCTCTCCATTCCACCAGCCACAACAACATCATTCAAGCCAAGCTGGATACTTTGAGCCGCTAACATTGTAGCTGAGGTTACAGGTGAAGTGAAAGCTGAGGTTTCAATGATATATATCTGGAGTAGAAGAAGAGAGTAATTAATCAGTGATCAAACGTACCTTTCATTCCTGCAGCACAGACTTTGTTGACAGTGGTGCAGATCACTGAATAGGGAATCCCAGCACCAAGTGCAGCCTGTCTTGCTGGTGCTTGCCCAAGATTGGCGGTTAAGACATTGCCAAAGAAGACCTCTTCCACAAGTGCCGGATCAACGTTTGCTCTTTTAAGTGCGGCTGCGAGTGGAGTGTGAAAGCAATAAGAAGAATGAAAATCTGGCTGAATCAAAGAGAGTGAGTGTCATGATACTACCTTCAATGGCTATGGACCCAAGTCTTGGAGCAGTCAAAGAAGAGAGGGAGCCAAGGAAGTCTCCTATAGGCGTTCGCGCCACTCCCACAACACAAACATCTGAGACCAACCGAAATTCAATTTGTAAGTTAGCCAAATCCTGTTGATCCAACCAGAAACAGAAACTGGCGCCTTGGGAACAGAACACAGGGAACGAACCTCGAGGATGTACGGATACATCAGAGGCAGGGGGAGCCATGGAAGTCACCCAAGATATTATGACGAGCCTGGGATATCAAAGAAAACCAGAGACGAGAATCAAAAGAGCAGCATATAAAAATCACAACTTTGGTTTTTCTAGATGAAAAACGCATCAACCTATTGGTTTGGTGGCAGATAAGGACGATCAGGCTTGTGTTAAGATGTTTTTACGAGGAAACGTGAGAGAGAGGAAGATCATAAGTGATAAAAAAAGAAAAAAAAAGGTGGCAAAAGAGATAAAGAACAAGTGTTACACGTCAGATACCAATATCAATGTCGGTTCTACCACCACCTTGCAATGATTGATTGTTGGCAGATTTTATCCCATACTTGCAAGTTTTTATTAGGAAGATTTTTATCATCTAGTTTCCATTCAAACACACTGAAGATGTACAGTGTATTCAACAGATTCCTAAACATGGTGACAATATTTTATAAACTGGTGACTAGTCACAAGGCACAAAGGGCAAAGCTTTAAAGCCTTAAAAGCCGTTTCACATTCATTTGGAAACAAGGTCCATACATGTTGCAGATCATAAACTAGACAAACGGGTTGCTTGCTACAAACTACATACCACACATCTGCATTCATAAAAAAGAACCTAATGCTACTACAGTACTACACCTTTGTTCCAGGAGGATCAATCAGCTTGATCTTCAACTCAATCTCACCGGATTCAACAGCGCACAGCTTCAGCCACACGCTCTGCACCACCTCTCCGTCTATGCAACTGATTGTGCTCTCCCGAGATACGCAGTTATCTGAGTCCGGCAACACTTTCCTTAGCGTTGTCTCGCCCGAGGACACGCGCACTACATGCCTTAGCCTGGCTACTGAGATGAGCGGTTGGAGGCTGAGAGTGGCATGACCCATCTTGTCATCTGACTTGAACCTATCTTTATCAAACACTTCCTGCAATCCCACCATCAAACAATCTCAGCATCGTCATGAATGGTCACAGAAGGTGAATAATGAAAGATTAAAAGCATACCAATGCGAGAACTGCTGCAGGATCTTTGAGTGTAAAGCTCAGTTCCTCATCCCACACAGGGTTCAGGCAATTGTTGATCACTTTGGTCTTGGCTGACTGGTTTTTCAAGACAGTAAATCATCACATCAGCCAATGGAAGCATCCTCAAAACCATTTTAGCCACAACATAAATAAGGACAGTGAACACTGACTCTGGTTATCACCGGACTTACCTCATTTCCCAATTTGACTATCACGTACGGATCACTAGACTTGAAGTCTCGGATCACCAGCTTCTTTCCTCGAATAACAGTCACTTGGAGCAGTCCTAGTGGCTCGCCCATCTCAGATCTTACCAACACAAGCTACCTGCATTAGAAGAAACCAGTCATCTAAGCAACTTCACACACTTCTGTACCATACTCCTCGTGAGTAACAGAGACAAAGCAACTTTGTTAGACAATCAATTGCTTATGTCAGCTAAAAACACAGGGAAAGAGAGAAGAATCACGAGTAGCCCGAGAGAAAACATAGAACCACATATAGCAAGTGATTATCATCCGGTTAATTAAGCTTCTTGATACACAGAGCAAAATTCTGGGAAAGAAAGAGAAAGATTCAGACTTGATCTAGAAACAATAGCTGATTTCAAGCAACCCAGAGAGATCAAATGGCGCCAAACAAGAGACACATGTATCTAGTGAGTATGCTAGAGGAAGATACCTAAATCGCAATCAGAGCTTGATCAAGAAACACAGAGGACTCTGTAGATGCTACAAATGGATGAGGCTTTTTTACCAACAAAGGCTCAAACTTTGTGGATTGAAACAGAAACTCCAGTCTACCAAACCAAAAGAAAAGAACAAAAAATGAAACCCTAAAGAACGAGTAAAGCAGCGAAGAATGGTACTAACTGAAAAAGAAGTTTCACTGAGAAATTTGCCAACTTTAGGGGGAAAAAAAAACAATATACAAGAAACGGTAATAGGACAGCGACACAGCTTTTTAACAGCCGAGTAACAGAAGATTACGAAACAACTTTACCAGTTTAGAAACAAAAAGAAAATACAAATCGTCCTCGTGGCCGTGAGAATGAGCAAAACAAAACAAGGTCCCTTCCTCTTCCCTGAGATTTAACGCACCTCTACTTGCTTCGTAGATATGAGCTGAGAGGAGAGCGAGGATGCAAACTACAGAGTATCATTTGTTTTTTAATTTAAACAAATGTTGTCATAAAGACAAATTCGATGGTCTCGACTCTCGAGTTTGCAAAAGAATGTTTGACCAAAAAGGTTGTGTGGTTTTGGGAGAAGCGTAGCTGCAACGGTAATCAATTAATTACTGCAAAAATTAGGTGAACCTAATCCTCATTGTAAATCCTAAACCATTTGTATTCAACGTACATGGTATTGGTAAAACCAGAGAAATTGTTTATCTGCTTGAAATATGAGATTGCCTCTGACACGCTTTGACTCGGTCTAATCTGTAAAGCTCTAATACCCATTTAAATTGAGGGCCCATTTCACCATTACTTTCTTTTTTTTTTTTTCTTGCTTTTCCTTTTTCCCCAGAATGTTTTTAACTGCAAAAGGAAGTTTTTTAAACGTGAAGATTAACTTATAAAATATATAAATCGTCAGAAAAGAAAACAAGATAGCGCCAAAAGCAATGGTCTCTCTCACACGCACGTTAAAACAACGTCCAGGGAATTCTTATACACGGGCCACAGGGTGCGCGTACGCTTGTTTTCGATTCATGGCTGTTTTCGCCACGCGTTTGCTTATTCGTCTTTTATTTTAAACGCGCCAGCAAATATTTTGGATTATTTTATTCCATTCTCATTCAAACATACATTTTCACTTGAAAGATTATTGGGTCATGTCATGTGTTATTATCCCTCACAGAACATTTCTTTGGGGTAATCTCAGCCATCAATGTGCATTATCAATATGCAATGCACTTTGCACAACAGACATGTAGAAGTAGTCAAATGAAGATATGTCACAGTTTTAAAACGATAAATCAGAGTAAACACAAAGGTGATCTAGGACCAACAAACAATGTTGCTATTCGTAAGCATACATTTAAAAAGTAGTTGAGTTCAAAAGAGGAGAGCACTTTGGGTTAAGTTGTAAAATATTACAGAATAAAGCATGAATGACTACAAATAAACACACACACAGACTACAATACATGAGCGCATAAGTGTCTGAAGAAGCTTCTTTTGCCTATTATTCATTCATTCCATCATGGTGGTTAGAACAAGTATGTATCACTAACCCTACAAATCTCACATTTTTACCACATATACACCACACGACTCCAGAGACCACCAATACCTGAGGACAAAACACCGCAATTTCTTTGCCCTGTATTTCCCTTCTACATTATGGCATACGACACACCTATGCTGCTTTCTTCGAGCTTGACCTGGCCACTTTACTTCTCCACGCTCCCTGCACATACATTAAAGACCATACACATATCAGAACCCAGACACTCTCTACTCATCTCTCTGATATGCTACTTGTAAGTTTTAAGAGAAAGGTAGGATAAGTACAAGAGTCTCATTGTCAGAAATCTCCGCATCCCCGGCATCGTCAGAGGTCACGTCGGCATCCCCGGCATCGTCTTCAGCTTCTGTCTCCATATCATTGTTTTCTTGCTTCACCTCAGAATCTGAGTTGTCACCATCAGTTTCTTTCACCTCAGGGTCCCCACTCGACTCTGCTTTTGCCTCCTGTAAATCAATTTCCATGCCTTCTTTCCCTTGCTCTCCTTCGGACTCTGATTTCTCTGCGTCAGCTTCCCCACCATATTTCGGTTCCGGGTCCTCTGGCATCTCCTCTGTAGTTGATTCCATTTTCTTATCATTTGCTTTTTCAGCAACTTCGCCAACTGAATTATTTCAAAATATAATACATCAGAAAAAAAAAACATTGCATTGTACAATAAGATAATCTAGTACTGTTTCTGTAGTTATACGTGCATGAAAGTACATGAGTTTACCTAGAGTGGCAGAAGATCGCTTTTTCTTGTTTCCTCTCGCTAGTTTCTCATATTCAGAGAGACTTTCTGGTGTGCTTTCCTGGTGTTTATGTTTAAGGTATATCTTTGGAGTTCTTTTCCCTTTTGGCCTACATAAGACAACAGTCGGTACAAAACAAATGAATGCAGAAGATACGCAATAATATAACCAGAAAGCAGAAGAATAAGTTCGTATCCGGACTTCTATTGACAGAATTTCACTTACGTAGTAGCAATTGGGACTTCCTCCCTTTGTAAGCCATCTGAACTCTTATGCTTACTTCCAGAAGATCTACAAGAAACAAATCAATGGAACAAAAAAAACATGATTGCTGTGTCAAATAAAGACTTGAGAACAAAACGAGACCGAATGGACTATATAAAGTTACATCATCTTAAGATGAAGAGAATATGTATTACCCTTTCTTTTTAGAACTTCGCTTTGATGCATTGGCCTTCTGCAGAAGGTAGAAATAGTGTAAGGACATTTATTAACCTAGCAGGAACAAACTCGGCAGATGGATAGAAGTAATGAAGATGGATTGGCAACACAACTCAAAAAGCAGAAAATCTCAGAACCTTTGTGGGTTTTGCACCCGTGTCTATGAGCTCCCACCGTTCTTTATCTAAGCGAAGTACTTCGACATCTCCATCCTCATAAAGTATCTGCGATATCACAAGGAGAGAGTACAGAGTCGGATGGACCAACTAACCCCAAAATAAAAAAAAATACAAGAATCAAAGTGCTGAAAGCTTACCACATGTTTATGTTTTGTGGAATCATAAGATTTTACTGTGCCTTCATAAAACCTATTGATTTCACCAAGATGCAAATTCTGGTGAGAGAATATAATACGACATTTCCATAATGTGGAAACAAATTAATTCCTTCAGTGTGCAGTTTTGCATTGCTGCCAGAGTAACATAGCTCATAAGGACTTCAAATTATTAAAAAAAAACTTCAAAGGAAATACTAAAATGAGATCACTTTTTCACTATCAATCCAACGTAATTCACTCAAAAAAATCTTACCGCTTATCCATAGGCCACCAAACTTCTATTCTGCATCCGATTAGTTCATCAGTTACCATTTTCTTTTCTGCTGTGGAACACTGGACAAGAAATCAGGTCAGACTATAAATATTTGTTATCATAATGTCAATTAATACAAAAGTGACACTGATAAACACATCAATGGAAGGTAAACCCTCCGCACCTTAGCCAGTCCTGTGATGCTTTTTCTTTTTCGGTTCTTCAATGATCCCGAGGCAGACTTCAATCTATCACCACTTTCTGCTGACCTACTCTGCTTTCGTTTAAAAGAAAAATTTGCATATCAATAAAGTGAACTAGAGTACAACGAAATAAGCGGTTCGATGCTTTTGGTGATTTTTACCCTCTCACTGCAGTTGCCATCTTCTCTTTGATTTCCCAAATCAGTGACACCCCAATCCGATTCTGTGTTCTTTGATTTTGATGAGAAGCTTTTCTTTTTCTTTCGGGAAGAGCTGCTTTCTATTTTTTTTTCCCGGTTTGAGTTTTCCCCGTTCGAGTCCGAGGAGACAATCGTGTCCATATCTCTCTCTTCATGCAACTCTTCTTTAAAATCTTTTAGTGGAACTTTAGGACCATTATTTGAGAACTTGAAGGGACTATGGCCAGAAGATGATCTCCGGCGTTTAGGGACTGAAACTACTGATGTTGCATTACCAGCACTCCTTTTGTCAGCCTTCGGATCCCTTTGAGAATCTGCTTTCTCGCCAGAGGAATGTTTGTGTCCATTACTGGATTCAAATTTATCCAGCATTTTGTGATCCAGATTTATCTCCCTCACCATTTTCAAAACGTCGACATCATTTTTACCATTCTCCTCATCTTCAGCTGGAACAGATTTATTCTTTTTCCCCTTTCTACTTTTGGTTCCCTGAGCTCTCAAACGCTCTACAATTTGACCCAGAGGAATTTCATTCCCATCACTTTCCTCATCATTCATACCTTCATTCTCTGAAGTTTGGTGTATCACCTGAAAGAAGGACAAATATCAATATATACAGAAATCACTGGAAATTGCAACTCAGATTTTAAAGTTGGATAACATACAGATGAATCAGCATGACTCTCCAACATGAGAGAACTGAAGTGTGCCAAGACAGTTTCATCAGCTAGCCACAATTTCTCTTCATCAACCTGTTGAAACAAAATGCCATGAGTTAGCAAACACAAACCAGTTATAAAATATGAGGCTAAACAGGTCAGATTGCCAAAGATTACTCGAAGCAAGCTCATCATGAAAATTTGAACCCTGAACCATGAACAAGTTCTGGCTTCTTACCTGAGACTTGTCATCCACATTTTTCTCAGAAGGTATGTAGAGCGATGGAGGAAGCGATACAGGCGTGATCGCCGCTTGTACATCGGGCTCTTTCTGAGTTAAGTGTTTGATCACTGACAGCCCAAGCTCACAGATTGCATGTGAGTTCTGTCAATATAGATTATGAGAATGTCAGCTCCACACCACGATGATAGGGGCAAGTAGAGTAGTACATAAATCAGCATGCATACAATGATTATCAAAAACAGTCATCGCATGGCTATTGTCAACACAGAACAAGCTCAAAAATATGTATTACTAACCTTTGACTTTGTTGCGTCAGTGACATCTTCCGACTGTTTTATACTAAGGAAGATGGAGATAATCGTGGGAATGCAGTCATGTTCCTTATCAATATCTTCAGCCTTCCCGTCTTCTTCTTTATGAAGTAACATAGAACTGATCAAATATAATTGTCTGAAATAAACGATGGAAAATAGTAAGTATACAATATCAACGCAAGCAGACCTACTGAAATCGCTTATTTCACAGTTATAGAAAAGATAAAAGTGGTAAGTGAACTGAAAAAAACTTTACCGATATATCATTTCATATTTCTTCACATCTTTGCACTTCTCCACGTCAGGACAAGAATGATGCGCAAGGGCGTGAACCAGATAAGTAAGGATGTGTTGAGGGTAGAGAGAAACTGAATTTGCATCAGTCTGAGCAGAGACTTTCCGCACTTTTGTTTGGTAAGAATGTTGAATGATATCAGCTAGGTTCTGTTTCTCCTGTCATGCCAATCCAGACGCATATTTCAGCTAAATTGTCAACATTCTCAACTCCGAAACATCGTATGTGTTTTCAAGTAAAAGGAGATGACATACCTCCTCGGATACAAGAACATTTGATCCAGTGATATCAAATAAGAATGAACAGGCGTACTTTGTCTCCAAAACCCGATCCTTTATATACTTATGAACTTTCCCAAGGAATATTTTCTTAGCTTCGGGAAATGATATCTACATGAGAGGTAAATGTTAGAACAGAACCCAGATCAGACGTAAACCCAGATCAGACGTAAACCCAGATCAGACGTAGTATTGTCTGGGAAGGTGCGAATGGAAAACCAAATAGAAAGAAGGTACCTCAGGGGTTTTTAGAGTTAAATGGAAGATATCAATTGGTATCTTATCATCCCAGTGCCGAGAAAGGCGGAGGACTGCCTTTGCAGCAGCAAGTTTCAAATGGGCCTTGTCAACAGAACTGTGGATAGGTTGAGCATTAGTGCCTTCAATATTTTTACAGAAAAAGAACCTCTTAGCATGTTTAGCACTAATGTCTACCAACCTCGATTCTAGATCTTTAGATACTTCCCCAAAGGAAAGAATGTTTTTTAGTAACTGAAGAAGGTCATCAACACCCATACGAAGATGAGCATCCTTTAAAGGTAAGTAGCTCTTCACCAACGTCTTGATTCCATATATCTATTTAAATAAAAATTTGAAAAAAAGTTTTGAACTTTAACTGGACAAGCGAGAAATTATATCAAGTTTAATATACGGTCCAACAAATATTTGCATATTAATAAAGATCAGCTATTAAAAAACTTTATACCAACCTTCAATTGACAAATTTCACTTTTGTCATCCCAGGATAACCTCTTGTCATCTACAGCTTCCTGCAAAGGGGTTCAAGAGTTTTCCAATAAAAAATTAAAAGAAAACTTGGAAAGCAGTGAAAGACAGATAGTAAAGTTTTGCAGATAACAAAACATTAGTAATACATACACTTCCACAATTGAGAATTTTGCTTCTAATAAACTCAACGACTTCGGTTTCTCTAGTCTCAAAGACAGGCATCGCAATCTGCGCTATACATCCAAGACTCTGAAGAACAGCTGGCTGATGTCTCTTGTCCTCCAGCATGTCCACGAGTCCCTACAATCAAGTATTAAACCAGAATGCTAATTTATTAACTATATCTTAGTGTTATATTTAAGCAAAAGATCAATGAGAAAACAGAACTACCACCTTGTATAGAACAGAGAGCGACTTCAAGCCATCATCCTTTGTTATTGATGCTAGTGCATGCACAGCATACTTAGCCTGCTTACGGTTACCTTCTACACAGATCCTCTCCAGTAACAGGTCCACAGAACTTTAAATAGAAATAACATTGTAAATCAGAAAAAGCAGGAAACTAACAAATGACGTGAACTCATGCTTGATGACGTATGTATATGTATTAAAGGGGTTGAGACTTTCACCTCGCTAAAACAATGAGATTCTCCCGGATAGTACCACCCGCCTTTGCTAGAATTTTAAGAGTACCTTCCTTTATCATTTCATCATCATCTTTAAGGAAAGCTATCAGTTCCTCTTCAGTCCCATCAAACAGTGATGGACAGAAACTTGCGAGAAGCTAAAATCAACAAAGCATAAGCATCACTATGGTGGATTTGATAATTAGTAAAAGAAAAAACAAGTAAATGAGCATGGGATGCAATCGGCTATAATAAATGCTAGCAACAAATTTATGATGGAAGCTAGTGGATTTTATACGATATGCCAGGTAAGTAATTACCCCTAAGAAGTCCATGCAAGATTGAATGCCCAAAATATTACTCGAAGACTTTCTAACAGACACTTCCGATAATATCTCTTTCACAAATTCCTTGCTGAATAGCAGATAAGAGCACTTTATGGAGAGAGTGCCGAGAAATTCATAGAGAGAATGCTTTTCAGAAAGAATTTTAAGCATATCCTCCTGCACACAGATTAAAACCACAAATCAGTTATAAGGTTATCAAAAAAGTTTATATAAATGTACATACAAACTTCTCGTTATTCTCACCCGAATCTTGGATGCTTGAATTATGCTAGTGTTGGGATCGAGCAGATTATTCAAAATCTTCCAGATATTAGCATCTTTCAGTTGATCAAGAATCAAAAAGTTCTGCTCAGTCTTTGAAGGATCTGAAAATGCACGAGACATTACTCTGAATCCAAATAGAATCTTTTTCTGCATCTCAGGAGCATCAGTACTCTGCGTTCAGAAAGAACATAAGATTACTGCCAGAGGAAATAATAAGAAGCAAAAACCATAAAACCAAAAAATGGAGGAAAAAAACTATTAACTACGTTTAGTCGAACCTGTTGCGTCTGCTTGAATGACAAATATCTTTGCATTTCTTGTTGTATCCTAAAGATCAAGAAGAAAATTTTCCAAGATCAATCTTCAATACCAAAGAGGAAAGGGCGGTATGATATAAAGTGCTAAGAAATATCATCATATACACCTTTGTCTTTGCTCCATTATCTTCTCAAAAGCTTTTGTCTCTGCGTTGTCAAACCCAGAAAAGATTTCTATCCAACGCTTAACTTTATCTCTAACAGAGAAATCACTTGGAAACAATGAACTGCATATAATGTATTCAATTGTATCTGATCTGCAACACAATTCACATATTTAGAATACATTTTCTGAAGGTAGTGATCATATCCAACCAGAAAGAAGTGGACAACGTAAAATACAAAAGGGAGTTTCAGAGAAATGTCCTACCTGAAATCTTTGTCATAAAGACATCTCAAAATTTTTCCAGGAATCCAATCAAAGTCGCCAGTGCCTACCTTCCCTTCAGCACACCGTAAGCAATATACCCGGAACAATTCACTCAACCTTTCCATTGTGTACGTTTTTACGAGTATCTGATTTAGGAAAAACAACTATGAGTTCCAATATCTGTAAACGTTAGCATGCAACTATCTGAGACATCAAGACTGAATACATAAAACGTACAGCTTTGTCTCGAAGCCGTTCGGCAACTAACTTAATGGTATCAACTGGAATCGACGTCAGTTCATTCACAGCCACGTCACAAATAACAGCAACGACTTGTTTGCGGACATTCTCATCATAATCCAAGAGCCGGTCACGGAGAGCAGCTACAAAAGGATTAATACTATAAGACTAGTCAATTCTAAATGTATACTAATGGCGTGATAAAGAAAGACTTACATATAATTTGAGAAGCCTCAGCTCTCGAAGGATCTGAGAGCAAACAGTTCTTAATGTGGTCAAGGATGACCATTCTAACTTCAACTACTCTATCAGTAAGCCTTTTCAGAAACTCTAAAAAGATTGAACTAAACTCTTCGGAGATGACACGTCCAGGCAAGGAAAACAACTCTCCAACCAATCCAACCACTTTCAAACGAGTTTCCAATTTGTCAGCCTGTAGATGTTCATAGTACGCATTATGTATTATTCAATACCAAATCTATTCGAAAAGATGAGTTGAAACAACAAAAGGCTAAAGGTGACTACTCAAACAAAATAAACAAAACTAGATTTATGATGCATGGTTGAAGAGCCATGATGGCGTTTGACATGCAGAATAGAGGCTAAAACCATAATAACAACATACCAAAAGTTCTCCAGTGAGATATGGTGCAACTCCGGATAGGGCCTGAGGAGCACAGCGGTACAAATCATAGATAACCTCATGGTAGTCAATTTGACTGCTGGAAAATTGGCTATCTCCAGACATTGAAGAGATAAGAAACTTCTTTATGTCAGATTCAACTTTAGGCGCACACTGCTCTATGACTTTCATAGCAAGTCTTCTTGCAGCATCACTAACGTCCTGCCATCATAAATCCAGAAATTAAGCGGTCTGCTATTCCATACAACAAATAATCCTAAATTAGGATAATATCAACCAGCAATGTCAGAAATGCTCACACTTCTATTTCTGCCCAATTTAGAAAGTAAAATTAGTAACAGATGCTCCTGCACATCTTCACTCTCTTCTAAGAGAACAATCATTATATTTTGCATTGATGAGCAAACAACCTCCGGATGGTCATCTCTGCATATAAAGAAATAAAACAATCTTTCAGTACGAGGCCCCAGAGAAGAAAACTCAAAAAGCATTCATAGCATAGACATGATGTAGCGCAGAAGCATTTTAACCAATCTGAAGAGGAAACTAGGTTGAAAGTTGAACCCACCTAGCAACATCAAGAAATGTAGTAAAGACTTCTTTCACCAGATCATTACATTCAAGATCCAACATCACTACACATGACCTGTACTTTGCAACAGTTTCTAAAATGACAACCCTCCTTCCAAATGATGGTCCACCAACATCATTCAACCCAGAAAAAGCGCTCACAATCAGTTGAAAAATATCCTGAAACAAGATCAAGAGACGGAATAAATCAGCGGCGGACTTGTCTGTGATCGCGGTTCCAGAGGAAAGTAAGGACAAGCAACCTTCATAATATTATCACTGTAAGGCGCTTCAGGTGCTGTAATACGAGTTATCTCAGAAACGCAACTCGCAACTAGAAGCTTGACATCCTTGTCTTGATGCTTGAGAATTTCAGGTTTAATAACTGCATCAAGAAAAGGCTGAATAGACTTCAGCACTGCTGCTGGTGGAGACTGCTCCAACTCAGAAAGACAAACAGCAGCTTCCTGCATGTAGCAACACACAAGTTAACGATACTGAGAAATTTTTTTAAAGATTAAGGCTCTAAATGAACACTAGCATTTAGTCACAGCATAAGACAGAAAATAGGATTACTTTTCAAGTTGAGAAGTATCTTACTAAACTAACCCAAACCAAGTCACCTCCAACTATACCACTCATCACATTCCACCAAGCGATTGATAAGTGGGTGAAAACACAAGCAAATTATACACATTGAATTGGTCTTCTAAGACAAACCTAGTAAGCAGAAAAGCCGTACAATTCAATTTCGAGACAAGTCCAAGTGGCTAATCATATGAATCCTGCATTCAGAACCGGAGTAAGACCCAAGTTCTGATGCGTGACCTAATTTTGCAAAATCAATCTATATGAAGGGGAAGCGAAGATTAAAAAAAAAAAAGAGATGTTACAAACAAACCCTAATGCAACTCCAAAGAACAAACACTAGCTCTGTTAACGAACATTATCCAGAAGGGAAGACCTACGAGGCTGAAAAGTCTCCAAGACGACCAAATTCGCAGAATTTAAACAGGGAACAAAGCTGAAAAATTCCCTCCAAACGAAAAATCGAAACTGGGTGAAATGAAGTCGCAAAGAGGATAAATTGCAGAAGAATCAGAGAGGGAAAATCACCTTGAAGAGTTTGAGCAATGAATCCTTGGACGCAGGAGGTGGGTCAAGCTTCGATCCAAACTCCTTCAACTGCTCCTCGGGCTTTTGAGCCATCACGAGAGTGAAACCGAGAGCTTTTTAACCGTCGATGTGCTCTTCTCTGTAGAAGAGCCTAACCACCATAAACGGAAGATGCAGAAGAAGAAGGAAAAAGGGTTTCTTTCTGTTTTTGGTTTATTTGCTGTTCAGAGTCACTCTTTCGAACACATCCGATCTGAGCGCTCCCTCGAAACAACAGGCTGATTTGTGCTGACTTACGGGTTTGTGTCTCTCATCGCTTCCGCATTTTTCCTTGTTTTTATTATTATGCCCCCCACTTTCTTTACTATTTACCCTTTCCCCCCATCTAAAGCCCTTTTTTAATGGGCCGAGAAAGGAGGGCCTTTCTACTAGACGACGTCGTTTTCTTGTTGCGAATACCGTTTCCCTCTTCCCTTAGACCCTCTTGCCCTCTTGCGTCTCGCGGTAATGGCGGCGGCGACGGAAAATGACGACACCGGCCTCGATAATCAGCTTAATCAAGGCTCAGAACCGGCACCGGTTGACCTTTCGCCTCCGGAAGAACAGAAACCTTTGTCGAAGAATGCACAGAAGAAGCAACTGAAGCAGCAAAGATACGAAGCGAAGAAAGCTGAGAAGAAGGCACAGGAGAAGGAGCACAAGAGGAAGGAAGGTGAGAGAAAGCACAAGGAGTGGGAAGAAACGCTAGCGAACGCGACGGAGGAAGAGAGGCTGAAGCTGATAGAGTCTAGGAAGAATCTTCGGAAGGAGAGAATGGAGAAGAGGTCGGAGGAGAAAGAGAAGAAGAAGGAGCGGCTCACTCGAGCCAAAGAGATCGGTCAAAATGTCGTCATAGATGTTGATTTTGCTCATCTCATGTCCGAGTCCGAGATCTCCAGCCTCGTTCAGCAGGTGAATCTCTCTGTCTGTTTAACAAATGATATGCAAAGCTTCAAACTTTCCCAAATTTTTCTACTCTTTGAATGGTCACTGATCGGTGAAGTTCGTTTGTTGCTTTAATATTCAGATAATGTATTGCTATGCGGTGAATGGGAGAAGCACTTCCCCTTGTCATCTATGGCTTACAGGAGTCCAAGGGGAGATGAGTACTCAGCTTGACAAGCTTCCAGGTTTTGAGAAATGGTTCATAGAGAAGGAAAGTCGGTGTTACATTGAGGCAATGGCTGATCGGAAAGAGGATTTGGTCTACCTTACTGCGGATTCCGAAACTGTTTTGGATGACCTTGACCCCAAGAGTATCTACATTATTGGTGGCTTAGTGGATCGAAACCGGTTCAAAGGGATCACCATGACCAAGGCACAAGAACAAGGCATTCAAACAGCTAAACTTCCCATAGGAGAGTATATGAAAATGTCAAGTTCTCAGGTGTGTACCCAACTTCCGTAAAGAACTAATAGGTTTTATAATCTCTAAGTCATTTCAGTTCTCTCATTGGGCACTAAAGTCCTCTCCTTTGAACACATTGAGTACCAATGCGTTTGCTGCTTCCTTGCCTACACTTTCTTAAGCAAGACCCTGTTGTGATATTTGGTTTTTATTGATATAGGTTCTCACTGTGAACCAAGTTGTGGAGATACTCGTGAAGTTTCTGGAAACGAGGGACTGGAAAACATCGTTCTTCACTGTGATTCCTCAGAGGAAAAGAACCGGAGTTGATCTTGTTGACTGTTCGAAATTGGAACCTCTTTCTGAAGAGCATCAAGAGAAAGAGGGTGATGCGGACGAGAGTACGGAGAAACATGAACTTCTGGAGAGGAAAAAGGTATGCATTGAAGTTCCTCTGGAAAGTGGTAGCTAGATGAAGACTATGCGTATGAGAGCTGTTTTTGTTTCCATTGAACACTGATTTCTGGAGCTGAGAATTGGAATATGGAATGCTTAAGTCCCTTTATAATGAAAATGAAATTTTCACTGTCGTTTCCTAATATTAAAGATCGCACGCATGCTGTTTGGAAACCTAATGCTTTATTAACATAACTTTTCCACAAGAAAGATCAGATGAAAACACCAGGTTCGTTCAAGGAGAAGATAATAAACAGATACAAAGCATCATTTTTTTTTCTTTGCTTAACTTGAACTCAAAAACTATAAGTTGCCCCTACTAACAGTTATGAGTTATGACTCTCCCTCTGTCAGCTGTCAACTTAATTAGCCATTGTTCTCAGTACTTATGTTGCTGAGTAGGAAATACTTCAACTCTGGCGCCACTTGTTGCCGATGATGAACCACCCATTTTAGAATTAGGTTCGTTCCCACTGAAAACAAACCCGTTCTGATGACGATAATGGTACTGCGCCATGTGAATCCCTGGCACAGCCCCGTAGGCTCCATACTCGGCCATGGTACCATTAGGCCTCTTGACCACCAAGCTGCTGGTCATACTAACCGATCCAGCACCGCAGCTAACCCCTCTGTCACCTTCCAACTCTCTGTAGCGGTGGAGGTACAATGTGAGTGGCTCGATGTAATCATCAAAACCAAGCTTGCTCATTGCCCACAAGACATCCTCAGCAGTGATGGTCTTGCGCTGTTCCCGCTGGCAACGCTCGTTGGCCTCCCCTGTTATGAAGCTGATGTACTCCGAGACACACTCTTGGATCGTCTCCTTGGAGTCGTCTGAAATCTTGGCGTGAGCAGGCAAGATCCTCCGCATGATCCGAATCACGTTGGCAATAGGCATGAACCTGTCTTGCTCTCTCACCGTGCACTCCTCTTCGCCGCCATTAGCGGTTTTGCTAGGCTGGTTGAATTCTGTGAGATGCATGCTGCCCTCTGCCATCAAAAACTTCGCTGGGTAAACGCAACAAAAAACAAAGAAAATTGAGTTTTAGTGCATAATCGATTTGTAAACTGTTTTAAGTTGCGAAAGTTTGAGCTTTTATGACGTCTGCATGCGCCATTAGCACACCGGATTCTAAGACTGACAAAAGCTTCAATTGCAAACATGACAATGGAGTAATTGCAGAGAATGGTTTCGCATGCAACTGAAAATGGCAGTTACCTGGTTCAGAAGGAGTGGAGTTGTTGAGGGAGAACTTTTGGTAGCCATGGAAGCCTCCGCGTTCCATATCCTTCTTTCAAGTTGGCGACTTTGGGTTTGTGAATATATAATTTAATCAATGCTCGAAATTTAGAAGCATTTGAAGAAAAAGAAGAAGGTGCGAGAGAGAGAGAAAAGAGTACATGGAATTAAACTATAGGTGTGGCAAGTGTCGGCATTTATAACTGTAGACCTCACAACCTCCACAACGTGGCAGCCACAGTCGATGTGACCGAGGATCCTTCTCGTCTCCCATAGCCGTTACAAGATCCCAATCACCAACGTTTTTGTCTTTTATTTCGAACCTTCTAAACTCAAAACATCATACAAATACAAAGTCGTGAAGTTTTACTACTACACCAAAATCAAATTTAAACTCAGAGAAATAATCTACAAGCTTCCGTTTCGCGTGCGAACCAAAAAAAAACACTAATCTTAATCTTTGACTAGAACCTTCACTCATCCTTCTCTTCGGACTGGTCTGCACTAGCTGAGTTGGTCTTGTGCAAATTTCCTAGTTTCTCAAAGTATAAGCGAGTCTTGCTGTGATCAGGCTGTTTCTTCCCACCTTCCGTCACTCTTCTGTAGTACTTGTTCATGTTCTCCCACTTCTCCTTACACTTCTTAGCAGATCGGTCGTAACCTCTCTCCTTCATCTTCGCTGATATCTCATCCCATATCGCACCTTTGTGGATCCCTGTCTTCTCTTCCACCTGGCTTCTGCTAGCTATCAACGCCTGCACTTCCTCTTGTGGCCACCTTCTTCCGCTTGGATACGCAAACTTTACAAGGCTGTGTATCAGAGAGGATTCACCTCTCTCGTCTCTACAATGTTCGAGAAGCTTCTGAGGTGGTTGAGGGGGATCAGGGATCTCGATCTCGTCGCCAATAACACTTTTGATGAAAGCGATGAGAGAATGGCTGCGTGACATCTCCTGCTTCCTCGCCTCCTCGTTCTGTTTCGTCCTCTCAATTTCCTGCTGCCTCCAAGCTTCCTCACGGCGTATCCTCTCGCGCTCCATCTTCTCCATCACCTTAATCAACTGGTTATGCATCTTTTCTTGCCGCTTCATCATACTCCCCACCAGCTTATCCAAGAAATGCTCCAGCTTGTCCCGCGTCTCCCGCTTTCTTTTACCCGTTACGGTCTTGCGAACGCCTGAGGAAGAGTCGCTATCGCTATCAACAGACGAACTACAAAACCAAAAAAAATTGTTCATCAATTCACAGAGCTTGTCATAGCTCAAAGAGTCCAACACGACTTCATTATCTAAATAGTCGTAGAATGTTCTCAGCATCTAAACAAATCTTTGCTGCATCTTTTGAACATAGTGTCCCCAGAATCCAAGAATAATGCTTACAAGTGGTATAAACAACACTCGGAACGAAATAAACAAACACTTTAAAAGGTTGTAATGACGCCATATCAATCAGTTTGCTATCTGCGAAGTTGAATGCTTTTAGCTGAGATGATCAACCAATCTAGAGTCAAATGATACCGCAAGCAGAAGTGAATGGAGCAACATCAAGAGAGAGCAGGAATGTTTTTAGTTCTACCAAACAAGCTCCCTAAGTAAACGTGAAAAGTAATAAACTTTTCACAGTGACAGATCCAGACTTCAACAAAAACAGCAGTGTGTGACCAAATCAACATGCACGAATCTCTTATATTTTTTATTTTAAAAAAAAACAATTCTGCTGATTACCTCAGAGACACACCGTCCCAAGATGTGCGATGTCGGGAGGAGACACGACCTTGAAACTCCATTTCGACCTCTTCATTTGCAAACCCACGCGTCAATTGACCGCTTTCCTCCACGTCAGCAATCCTCGACCCCAAAGGAGCCTCGAAGCAGCCGTCGTCGAGAAACCCCATCTCCGGCAGCCTGTCTAGGGTTCCGGCGAGGATATCCAGAGGATGTCGATCCTCCGACGGAGGCTTCACGACGCACCTGATGGGTTTCAGTTTCTGAGGAGGCGGCGCCAAGTCTGCGAGCGTGGCTAAAGCGTCGTCGTTTCCTAGAGGTCTCAGCGACCCCGATTGGCGGCTACCGTACATCCAATCGCAACCACCTTCTGAGCCATCGAACGGGTCAACATCATCGGCATAGTCATCGCCGACTCGTTTCCGACAGTCGCCGGCGAGAAGTTCCATAAGCAAGGTAAAAAAAGATAGGGAAAATGTGCGGCGTGAAAGGAGAAAGACCGGCCAAGTAAAAGCAGTTCAAAGGGTAAAAAACTTTTGTGCGGCTCTATATTTACCTTTATGCCCTCAAACGAGCAAGTTAACCTCCATTGTACCCTCACTCCAGTCATTTTCTTGCCCGTTGTAAACCCGACCCGACCCGACCCGAATATTTTTTATGTAATTTGTAAACCAGTTTTCGTGGAAAGACAAAACACTTTTGGCGTGTGGCTCAGCGTAGCCCGCGGAGATACCGACATTATTTTCTTCCATTTACATCAAAATCTAATACACTTGCGAGAAATCGAGAAGCATTAGATTATTAAGATGGAAAAGACAATTGTGTCATTGATCTGAGGAAAGTGAGGAGAAATTCGTGTTTACAAACCGTGTCATACAATCCGCATGTCAAATGACTTTTGACCTTAGCCTTAAAACATTAAAAGGTTTCGAACTTTCATGTTTAGACGTCAAAAATATTCTTGTTTTCCTCTTGAAAGATGATAGTATAAAAATAGATTTCAGCCAGAAAGTTGGTTCCTTTTTTTATTGATTTCATACTTTGTGGCAAGGGAAGTGCGCTTCGTTAGTGCTAAACAGGTTTTGTACGGTCGATCCTTCAAACAAGTTATCCATTTAGTAAAACTCTTTAAATACTTTCGGATTAGTTTCTCATTTTTCTGTTACATTTACATTTGAGGTTTGAGAATTGAGAAAACAGAGGCAAATCTTGTGTAATTGAGTTTAAAGTTGTAATCTTTTCTCCGTTGAGTAAACGAATTATGAGTTGTCGTTTGGCGAAAAGCTATGGTTTAATCAAATTGTTGATGAAACCGGCTAATGGGCGTCTACGTTGTTTTCCCCAATTTATGCGTTTCCCGGCTGATGGGTTCTCTGCGTTTCACAGTTTCTCCACGACGAGGAACAGATCCATGTCCGCTTCTTCCTCGGCAAACCCGATGGCCGGCGTGGAGCCAAACGGCGTCACACTGCTTCCGGCTGTTGAAGACAAGTACGGTGGCGTGGTGACGGAAATGAGTCATCCCATGGATCCTTCTGCCTTCTCTTCACTTCTCCGATCCTCTCTCTCTAACTGGACTCTTCAGGTGCTCTTCCTTCTTCTTCTTCTGCTTTTTCCGGTTGATTGATGATGGATCATAGGATGAACAATAGAAAAATCCGTTACCATTTCACCGCAGTTATATTTAATCTCAATGACTAGATGGAAAATCAGGTTATGTGGGTAAGGAATACGCGAATCATTGAAAAACGTTGGGGTGACAAAAGTGTGGGATGTCACCGTCTTCTTGGAGAAACTATTGTATTCTAATGCGGGCCATAGACTTTGTGCTACTTTTGCTGCAAAGAAAGTGTATTCTCTTTTCCCGGAAAAGAGAAAGGAGAAAGTGAATTCAACTTTCCCACTACAGTAACCCATGTGTACAAACATTTGTGTGTACGCAGGGTAAGAAAGGAGTGTGGATCAAATTGCCGAGGCAGCTTATTGGTCTTGCTGAAACTGCTGTTAAGGTGTTGTTACCTGCAATCAGATTTCTTGCAACCACCTTTTTGTTAATTGTTTGGAGTATTCTTAGTACATTACAAGACAGTGGTTGTGTTTTTTTATGAGTAGGAGGGGTTTTGGTTTCATCACGCGGAGAAAGACTACTTGATGCTTGTGTATTGGATTCCCAAAGAAGACCATACTCTTCCTGCCAATGCATCTCACCGTGTTGGCATAGGTGCATTTGTCATTAACAACAACAACGAGGTGTGTGTTGTGTGATGAGATTTTGAGTGTCTTTTTGGAACATCTCACAAGACTGATCACATCTCTGTTTCTGTAATTGAATCCGAAGGTGCTGGTGGTTCAAGAAAAGACAGGGAGGTTTAAAGGACAAGGTATCTGGAAGTTCCCCACCGGAGTAGTCAATGAGGTGCTGCCTCTTATTAAATGCCATTAGATGGTTTTGGTTCAGCTCTCTGATGTGCTTTTTTTCCGTGTTGGCTCAGGGTGAAGACATCCATGATGGCTCGGTCAGAGAGGTGAAAGAAGAAACCGGAGTAAGCCATTCTTTATGCATCATCATCTTTACATTTCACATGAGACCTAAAGCTAATAGCACTCTTCTATGGATCATATGTTTTTAGGTGGATACAGAATTCGTCCAAATATTGGCGTTCAGGTTCCAACTCTAACTCCAACTCCATCTACATAATTTGCTTGTATTGCAACATAAATAACTCTTGATCTGTTTTTAAATTTCTGGCAGACAGACACACAAAGCTTTCTTTGAAAAGTCAGATTTGTTCTTCGTGTGCATGTTGAAGCCCCTTTCTCTGGAGATCAATGCACAGGAGTCAGAGATAGAGGCAGCTCAGGTAACATTTTCCCCCTATTCAATAACTCTCCAGTCTCCACCACCAAAAACACACTTACGAAACTCTTCTCTTTCTGAAAAATGCTGCAGTGGATGCCATGGGAGGAATACACGGAGCAACCATTCGTACAGAATCATGAGCTGTTGAGGTATATGAGAGACATTTGCTATGCTAAAACCAACGGAGACTACGAAGGCTTCACTCCTCTCCGCGTCTCTGCACCTGATCAACAAGGCAACTTGTACTTCAACACCCGCGACTTCCATTCCCGCCATTAACCTTCTTCCTCAACAAGCAACGCAAGCCCTCACAGTTTCCATCGAAGCTGGTTTCTTTGCTGCTTCTCTATGTAAGCATTTTGACACTTGAGTCTTCTCAACACTCACCAAAAACATCAAAACACCTTAAATAAAAAACATTTTGCATTCAATGCGATCCAAATTCAATAGTTAAATACATGATTAAACGGAGTAGATCCGTTTGCGAATCCTATTTGTTTCAAACACACTTGATCCTCTTTACACACAGCCGCAAAATCTAACCCCTTAATGCACATCTGATTTTACATAACCAACATGATGATACTTATATAGATTGATATTACGAATTTTTTTACGGGTAAGAATAGGCATGTGTGTATATATGTATCTATATACAGAGATCCACTTCACCAATCTTTTTAAGTCCTTGTCCTACCGGAGGCAGCTCCTCCTCCACTGTCGCCGCCACCGCCGCCTGTGGACCCATACATATGGTTCTGCTGGTGAAGAAACTGATGAGGCTGGTGATACTGCATCCCAGCACCGTAGTATCCACCTCCATCGCCGCCAACGGCATCTCTCTGATGCTCTCCGGCTTCACCGCCGGTTTGTGGCCTTCCGAGTCCAGTCCTCTCCCCTTCGATCTCCCTAAACCTCTGCAAGTAAACTTTCAATGGCTCAACATAATCCTCGAACCCAAGAGTGGTCATAGCCCAGAGCAAATCGTCGCCGTTGATGGTCTTCCTCTTCTCCTTCTGACACTTATCCGACGCCTCTCCGGTGACGAAACTTATGAACTCCGAGACACACTCCTGCATCGTCTCCTTGGCATCTTTGGAGATCTTGGCGTTTGCGGGCAAGGCCTTCTTCATGATCCGGCTCACGTTAGCAATCGGCAGGAACCTGTCTTGCTCTCTGGGAGACAACGAAGACTGTCCGTTCTGGTTGTTCCCGTTTTGCCCTCCACCGGAATCTCTATCGGAATCCCCCATTCTGAAAATTGAGACGAAATTTAAAAGATTGAAACTTTACTCTTTTTTCAAATATAGAGAGAAATCATCATGGCTTCCACCATTGATTCACGATTCAGTGGTGGTTGACTTGACTGGAGAGACTGAAGCGAAAAAATTAGGGTTTTAGAAAAGAAAATAAAAAAACGAATTGAAGTGTCGGCTGTGATTGTACACAGTGGTGAAGGAGTCGCCGGCGTTTATATAAAGCGAGGACGCACGACTTCTGTTCACTAGACACGTGAATTCATATTAACCGTCCATTTACTGATAAGGTTCTGACAACTGGATACGTGCTCAACCGTCGGATTGGAATGAGAGATAAACAGCCCTTTAAGGCTCTGCCACGTGTTGTGGACCGTTAGTGGACCCGGCCCACCTTTTGTCTGAAGGAGATCCCACCCCACGCGCAGAAGAGGAGTGTGGCCACAATAGATAACGAGTTAAATTGGCGCGTGGAAATCACGGAGGGGAAGAAGAAGGCGATAGGGAGACAGAGGGTAACTGCCACTCAACGACCTATCGGTCAATTTAAACTTTTTTGATTTAATGTCTTTACACTATTTTTTTTTTTTGATTTTGATGAATTTGGGGTTGGATGTGGGTGTGGTGGGGTTCACTGCCATAAAACTGAATCGACCAATCAGATCAGACAGCTATTATAAATAGTCGGGTCCATTTGTCCACAATTGACGGTCTCGATCTTCTTCGATAGGCCCGACCATTGTTTGCTTTTCTAAGCGCGTGATTAACTAACTATAATCACAACTTCCAGCTGTATTAAGCTCTTAATGACATAATTAGTGGTTGGGTCCTGCCCACCTGGAAATATAATGGGCCGTAAAGATATTCGATTCTTAAATTATAAAGGCCTACTAGATATGATGGATCTGTAACTAGCTAAGCTCCTTTTGGTCCATTTTAAAGGGAAACTAACAAAACCACCCAAGGAGGCATAGTGCTGACTCCATCGACTAGATGTTCCGACACGTGGCGACGACTAAAGTCACCAAACCCACAAAAGTGAATCTATGTTGAGTTTTGTTCAAAGCTGAAATGTGTTGGTGAGACTTGAGAGAGAGTATAGTTGGGGTTAGGCTTGATTCTTTGGTTCCCACTCCATCGCAAAATTGTTTGTAAGCTTATACAAAAACTAATTAAATAAAGAAAAGGAGGAACGTCACATTACATACAAAAACGTTGCACCAAATTTAATAAATACTTTATACGAAGAAGAAGATGAAGTTTGAATGAAAGAGTAGGCGAACCACTCAGTAATTGCTTCCAAGTGCCGTCTCTCTTTCTCTTTCAAAGACGGTTCATCGATTCATTTCAAAGATTAAAATCTAAATTAACACCTATCATCTAAGGTCAGCCATGAGTTTGGTTTTCTATATCTAAATAGAAAATTATATAATTAAACAAAAGACTGCTCTCTGAGAACTCAAGCCACGCAAAGGGTCTCTCCTCCTTAAATACCTCCTCTTCTTTAACTTCTTATATATGCAGTTATGCAAAAACATGCTTCTTCCATTTCTTAAACATAAAGTAAACATATTCATATTGAGATAAAAAGGAAAAAGAAACTTGTCTTTTGTTTTTTTTAAATGGGAAGCTTCTTCATCCTCCGTTGCTTCTTGTTCTTCTTCTTTTTCTTCTTCAATGGAGCATTTGCAGCTGAAGGGAAGATATGGACCAGAACAGAAATGGTGGAGATGGCTGGCTACGGTGAGCAGAAACTCTCTTCCGTGATCATTACTGGTTCTCTTCTCTGCAACACTTCACGTCCTCACCTTCCCTCTATAGCTATTCCAGGTATTGTTATCTCTACCTATTCTTGCGTGATCCCTATCCTTATTGTCTTCCATCGGAATACTTATGATCCTCACAGGTGCTACTGTTGCCATCAAGTGCCACACTGGATTCAAAAGGAGATCCAAATGGCATAAGGCTGTTACTGATGACTTGGGAGAGTTTGAAATCGATCTTCCTTCCCAACTCCACGCCATTCCAAACCTCGAAAACGCATGTTTCATCAAGCCAGTACATGTGCCTAAGCACTATAGATGCTATCACACTTCTACCAATATACACAAACGTATCAAACTTGTTTCCTCTACCAATGGCTTCCGCGTCTACACCTCAGGGAAGATCAGATTACAGGGCCGCAGTTCAAGATCATAGCAAGCTGCGTGGTGTAAACAGTTCGACAAAAGATTTAAACAGAAAAGGTAAATCTCTTGAAGATCCAAATTTGTGAAAAGCATTTGTTTTTATATGGTCCTCGCTTGTTTAGCTGGCGCTTCAGTCACATAACCGAGTTGAGTCTCTACATGGTTTTTCATGTTCCACACAGTGTAATTAAGAGTTTGCTTCATATGTGTAAAGATTCATGTATTTGGTACAATATTAGATGAAATGTAAGAGCACTGACCCAAATGAAATTTTCTGATAGAGAAAAAAGACACAAAGCATGTCTCCAGGATTGATTAACTGAATAACTGAACAGTGAAGACAAGAAAGAAAGCTTGAGAAAAGTCAGGACTCTGGCGCTTTGGGTTGAGTTTCAGAGATGATGTAGGTTGCAATATCACCACAAGAAGTAAGCTTATCTACTTTTTCTTCAGGGATCTCAATCGAAAACTCTTCTTCAATAGCCATCACTATCTCCACCCTGTCTAAGCTGTCCAGCGACAAATCCTTCTGGAAATCAGCTCTTTCAGTAACCTATAACTAAACAGTGTTACACAACTTCTTCACACAACAAAAACGCTATATTATCAGAGAAAAAGAAACAGCGGCAGTATTACTTTTACCTTAGAGGCATTGGTTTTGTCGTACTTCTTCACCAGTTCAATAACCTTACTCAAGATTTGATCTTGGCTTCCATCTCCTGATGTGAAATTCATTTTACCAATAACAACATTCTTGAAAACATTCTCCTTCTCAAGGAGCAAAACCGGTCTGGCAGAGACTCGAATTCTCAAGTGTTGCAGGATTGAGCTCCTAATGCAATGCATCTTTGACTAGAACCTGAGCAAACACGAAGAACTCGATTTCAGTTTAATTTTTTTTTCAGATTTGCCAGAAAATAATACAAACATTCCCTCCGTTGAAGTTCAAAGTTTCAAGCTTTACACATCGTTGAGACTTAACTGGGGAAACAAATTCATGTGTACAGAAATTGAGACTTAAGACAAATGGGAGACGCCTCATATATAAAATCTTCAAATTTCAAATAGAAAAACGCACAGATGAAGAAGCCTTACTCGAAAGCTCTGACTGAACATAGAAAGCCATACCTGCGACTGAGAATGTCTACTTTCTAGGTCTTCTTACTTCTCTGAAGCGGGAGATAGATAGAGAGCAGAGGAAGAGGAAGAGGAAGAGGAAGAGGATCTGCAGCCTACATCAAAACATATTTGGGCCGAAAAAGATGATTGCGATCTTATAATATGGCCCAATTAGACTTTTTGGGATGCGTAACCTAACTTTATTTAATGTGGGCCCATTATGGTTTTCGATCCTCCTCAACTTCTAAAATTGGCCATGTGATGATTTTCAAAGTTATAAATAAACCTTTTATTCCCGATTTAGTAAGACTCCTTAATCGTCCAACATGTGGGTATTAATTGAATAAACATTTTATACAAGAGATAGTTGGTAAAATAGGTCTATAAGCCTAAGTATTAAAGTTAGTGGAGGATATTATAATTCCATTTGTCAATTGTCATCCATTATATTAAACATTTGACGTCCCTTCTTTGATATAATCATAAATCAATAGACCTTAATGAAAAACTTAGTAGGTGTGTAATCCCAATTATTTAACTCGGGATAAAATGTTGGACGGGCCAGTAGATTAATTGATAATAAATAGACCAATGTGTTGAACAATATATTATATATGGTCTATGTGATGCAAATTCGTAATCATATTTGTGACTTGTGAAACATTACATACCAAGAAAGAGAATATAGACATTTATATTATTTCTTTAAATGTAAACGATAATTTTCTAAAAGAGAGTGGAATAACCAAATAATAATTGGACGGGGAGATTAGTGATTAATTTAATGAATAAAGATGTGAATATCAAAAAGTAAGCATATGAAAGTTGGTAATTATTTGGATGCACAAGGAATGCCTTCCGTCCTTGGAACATCTTCCACTTGGTGATGGATTATTTTACTATTTTCCATCACAAATTAATTTATTTGAAAGCAAATATAATGGACATTAAAATTGTGGGATTGCCAATCTTTATCGTCATCAACCATTCCCCATGTTCCTGCCCACTTTGATTCCCCAAAGCTTTTATAAAAAATATAAAATCATAACAATTTTCATTTTAATTAAGCTCATATATTTGCAATCATAATTATTGACTGTATAATCACATGTTGCATATTTTTCCTAAGATCCATGCCTTGCACTTTGTTGGAGTTGGACTAAAGATATGTATGAATTGAAGATATGTTCAATATGTATATACCGATGTGTCATCATCATCTACTGCGAAAAAAAAGAAAATCAAATTGATCTTTCATAATCATCGGAAACAAAAGAAAAATATACCAAAAATAAGTTTGGATGAATAAGTCTATAAGTAGGAAGAAATCAGGATAAACCCGTAATTAGCTCGGACAATTTTTATGATCAAAATAATAATGATCTTTTGAGTCGTCCCAATGTCTTATTCATGATAGATTTTGAAAATCAAAATTTGTCTAATTCTTAAAAGGGCCAAGATTTTTTAACTTATGGGTAAAAAGGTGCGCACACACATTGGTAATGGTACTACAAACAAACAAAGCGTCGGTTATTAATTATTAAAAAAAAAATTGTTATTATTATTACAGAGAGAGAGAGAGTTAAGAAAAAGACGAAAATGCCATCGTCTCTTTAAAATGAGAAGAAGAGAGGATAGCCAAACATTCCATATAAAAACAAAACGTAAGAAGGAGCTTCCCTTTTCTTTTAGCGAATCCCATTTTTCTGTTTTTTTCCATTCTCTCTTCTTCTGCTGCACAAACTCCATCATCCATTTTTCTCATTTCCAAACTAATAAATAAAAAAACAGTAATAATTATTATTGGACGAAAATCAAAAAAAAAAAGAGAGGAAAAAGAGGGCCTCTCGCTTCTCTTATTAAAGCTCTCCTCTCCAATCTTTAGATTTCAATCTCTTTTTTTTACTCTTCTGCGTTTTTCTTAAATTTCGGTAATACATAGATTCTCTCTCGAACTTGTCTTCTTCATTCTTCTTCCTTCTCTTCTGGGTTTTTGATTTGTTTTTTTTCAAAGTTACACGTTTTGATCGACCCATGTGTGTGTGTCTGTTTTTGTTTGCAGGAATCCAGGATCGTGGGTCGATCGGTTCACAGAATCCGATCAAGACCCAGCTGTTCTTATTCATATACACATCCTATTTCTTCGCATAAGGTTTGTTCGGATTCGATTCTCTCCCTATGAGATTCTGGGTTTGAATATAGATGATGTTTTTCAGTTAGATCGAGATGACTCAGGAGTAAACACCTTGTTTTTCTCTTCTTGTTTTTGCAGAATGGAAATGGAATCATGTAAGCTGTTCATCGGTGGGATTTCGTGGGAGACCAGCGAAGATTGTCTTCGCGAGTATTTTCAGAGTTTCGGCGAGGTTCTAGAGGCGGTGATCATGAAGGATCGAGCCACTGGTCGTGCTCGTGGCTTTGGCTTCGTTGTCTTCGCTGACCCCAATGTTGCTGAGAGAGTCGTTTTGCTCAGACATATTATTGATGGTAAAATTGTAAGTTTCATCAGAATCCCTTTTAAAACTAACATTGCTTCAATGTCAATCTGCTTCACTCTATGATTAGTTGCTTGATTTAGACGTTGCTCCTCCTTGAAGCAAAGCTGCTCTCTTTATTCATTCCTGTTTTAGTCTCTATAGTCTACATTGTCACAGTCAAGCGTAGGGAAGCACCAAACGCAAAAGAGAAAGAGCATGTCTCTCTCTCTATACCTGCTGATCTTGGTCAACAATTGTTTTAAGTAATAAGGAGAATTTTGGATCACTCTATGGTGCTTCTCTTGAAAATGAAATCTCATATTTCTGATTTATTCTCAAGGATGACAAAGCTCCATGATTTGCCAGCACGTTCATCAAGTAATGGTTGAAGAACCTGGTTGACAATGAATCACAAACTGCTTTATCTTTCTCAATCTTTGTCATCTTAAACTAGAATGCTACATTTCCTGCGCAGACATGTATATTCACTAAGCAAGAATCAAGCAACGATTGTGAGTTATAGTAGTGAAGGTTTTTATTTTATCCATGATCACAGGTTGAGGCGAAGAAGGCAGTTCCAAGAGACGATCACGCAGTATTCAACAAAAGTAACAGCAGCCCCCTCCAGGGATCACCTGGCCCAGCACGTAGCAAAAAGATCTTTGTGGGAGGTTTGGCTTCATCGGTGTCAGAGGCTGAGTTCAAGAAGTACTTTGCTCAGTTTGGGATGATCACGGATGTTGTGGTGATGTATGACCACAGGACCCAGCGACCGAGGGGCTTTGGGTTCATTTCTTACGACTCAGAGGACGCTGTAGACAGAGTGCTGCAGAGGACATTCCACGAACTCAACGGTAAGATGGTGGAGGTCAAACTGGCTGTTCCTAAGGAAATGGCTCTGAACCCAATCCGGAACCAGATGAATGTAAATAGCTTTGGCAGTAGTAGAATCAGTGCATTGCTGATGAACGAGTACACCCAAGGATTCAGCCCGAGTCCAATCTCCAGTTATGGAGTAAAGCCCGAAGTTAGGTACAGTCCAGCAGTAGGTAACAGGGGCGGGTTCTCACCGTTTGGACATGGATATGGAATCGAGCTGAATTTTGAGCCAGACCAGACTCAGAACTATGGATCTGGTTCCAGTGGAGGAGGCTTTGGACGTCCCTTTAGCCCAGGATATGCTGGTAGCCTTAGCAGGTACGGTAGCCAGATTGAGTCGGGAGGAGCTAGTGTCGGGAACGGCTCTGTGCTGAATACAGCAACAAAGAACCAGTTATGGGGAAATGGTGGTCTAGGTTACATGTCGAACTCTCCGATATCTAGAAGCAGCTTCAGTGGAAACTCTGGAATGTCTTCACTAGGCAGCATCGGAGACAACTGGGGAGCAGCTGCACGTGCACGTAATAGCTACCGCAGTGAGGGAGGAGGCGTAGGATTAGAAGCAATGAGAGGTGGTCCTATTGGTGGTTACAGCAGCGGCTCAAGCAGCTTGGAGACAGACTCTCTGTACAGTGACTCGGCGTGGCTTTCGCTGCCTGCAAAGGCGGAGGAAAGATTGGGAATGGGAGCATTTGACTTCATGTCTAGAGGACCAGCTGGATACATCAACAGGCAACCAAACGGAGGTATGAAAATAGTGAACAAAGAATTTGAACATTTGTGTTTTTGAGGGAAATCTGATGAATCAAGGATATGAAAATGGTGTTGTTGCAGGAATTGCAGCTTAGAGAAGTGGGAAAATCCATTCCATGGAGATCAGATGATGATTTGGCTATTTGCAGAAGAGTTTTTAGAAGAGGAAAAAGTTATAACATTATTTGTTTTAAAAAAAAAGCTTTAAAGCTTTTCTTTTACTTTCTTACTATTTTGATTGTTGTTATAGTTTATCTTTTACACCCTTTTTCTAATTTGGGGTTTTGTTTCTTTTTTATCTTAAAAGAAGAACCAAAAGAAAGATGTAAAACCAAATGATATAAAGAGACAAAGAAACAATGAAGTGTAATACGTTCTTGTCTTTCTCCCCTTTCCTATATAAATCCAAGATATTGACATATTCAAACATGAATACGAATTTAAAAAAAAAGAGAGGATCGCATTGCCTAGAATGTAGGCAATGTAGTGTGAAGGCGACATGTGGCAAACATGTGGATGATGATAAGCCAAGAGGACAAAGAGCAATCCATCATCAATAATCCATCATCCATCACAATAATATCCATTTATGTGAAGTGGACCAAAAGAGAGAGAAGCGAGTGTTACAGTCCTCAAAATAGAGACGAAACATCCTAATCCCTCAACTCTCTGAGAGCTTCAAGACTTCACTGGAATCGCCTCCATTGTCCCCACACTCCTCTATAAGGTTTACCAATCCCCCACGAGACAGACTCTCTCAAAGCAACACACAAAGATGCGTTTGCTAGTAGCTGAAGTAGCAGCTTCACCATTTTCTTCTGACACAGCATGTAACTCCCATAGTTGCATATGGAAGCCTTACTCCAACTCTACTGACTTCCAAGCAAGCGCATCCGTTCTTGTCATCCTTCTCTTCTCTGCCCTCATCTGTGCCCTCTCTCTCTACGCTGCGATCCGTTGCTTTCTCCGGCCAGCTCACGGCGCTGATGACGACGACGGCCACAAGCCTGATCCCGAGGCGGATGTTTCATCCACCATACCAACTCCTACGCTTGTCTACTCCTCCGACCTTGAGCTTGCAGGTGCTGAAGCAGAGTGCGCCATTTGCTTGTCTGAATTCGAACAAGGTGAGAGTATCCAAGTGCTGGAGAAATGTCATCATGGGTTCCATGTCAAGTGCATCCACAAGTGGCTCTCTTCCCGCTCCTCCTGTCCTACTTGCCGGACTTCTATCTTCTCACAGCAAACCTTAGACTCAACGGAAACTCCTTCAGGCCAGATCAATGCTTAGCTTTCCTCGATTCTTCTCCCACTTCCTCATCTTCTTTCCAAAACTTAGACTTTTTGTGCTTTTTCGTTAATTCCAAAGTTTAGACTTGTATCATGTTTTGCTTGAGATTACCCAGTTTCTGTTCTGTAATTAGGTTAAATAATAAAAAAAGACAGCCAACCAAAACAGTTATTACCACTCAGTGAATAAGCTCTAACGAATGCAAAATGGCATTTTACCACATAAAACATAAGGATCGAAGATTTTGCAAAATGTTCATATACAAGATACGAGTTTTCTATAAGATCGAAAGCAAACATTTTACAAGAACTAAGTTTACGAGCAGTGTGTTGAATAAGATACGAGCTTTCATCAGATGATTTTCCAGCAATAAACAAGAATCATAGGTCACTTAATTAAAAGTTGGAGGAGCTTAGCAATGGCATGTGGAGAATTGGAAGGTAATAAATGATGTACCTACTTTGATCACGATTTAGAATCTGCATCCATCATCCTTGATCAATAACATCTGCACCAAACTCTACAGCGACTCAGAAAACCTAACTTCCCCAAATCAAAAGCAGTTTCAATTTCTTGGGGATTCGATTAGTGTCGGATACTATAATTGTAGGGCTCGTTTGGACCTAAAACAACTGGGCCGATTTATGGGCCCATAATAGCTTAAGTCAGACCCTTTTCAACTGTATATAATAATAATTTACTCGGTCTGGTTATTTTTACAACAGCAAAACCAACCAGCGTCTGTCTTTTGAAGGATGATGAATCAGCAAACTCCTCCACGAAAGCAGACGATGCTTTAAAATTTTGTTGTAATGTGAAACCAAATAAATGGGATAGTTAAAACAAAAATGACAGCTTTTATAATCTTAAACATAGATGACCGCTGACGTCAGCGGCTAATTCAATGTTTCCTCAGTAAAATTTTGAAAATGAAGACAGAAGAGAGAGAGAAGTCACAACATTTCCGTTATTTTTTTGTCGTATGTGAACGATATGGAAGGAGAGCTAATAGGAGATGGACAGCTCAGCGTCTTCCCTGGCTTTTTTTTTTTTCACTTAAAATTATCTTTTAAAGAAATTTTAGAGTGACGAGGACCAGTCAAATTAGTTTTACTCTCCAGGAGGCAGAAAGAGTGTAAATGAAGGTGAAAAGAGAGGTAGAGACCAGCTGTAGAGTGCCACGTCAATAGCTCGTACCCTCGTTGTTCATCGTCTCTTTATAAGTATTAGTAGTGATCAAAAACGCCATTTTTAAGAGACGTTGAAAGAGAGAGAGAGGGAGAGAGAATACAGAGAAAGAAGAGAGATGGCTGACTATGCATACATGGACATAACGAGGTTCACGGCAAACCCAGGTTTCTTTCTTTCTCCCTGCTCTTCTTTTATCTCCCTTTACCTTCTTTCCCGCGATATCAGTTTCTCCCATCTAAAGACATGTTTTTTTTCTCCAAATCAAATGTTTTATTTTTGTTTTAAAAGTTTTTAGTTGAATCAAAGGAAGCGAGATGACAAATACTTTTTCTTTAACATGAAATCTGTACAAATATTTGATTTTTACTTCAATAATCCATGAAAATCAAGTTGAGTCTTTTTTAATGCACTTTGATAGTGTTTCTTCGGTACTGTAAGCTTTAAAATTTCCTTCACTGAAGTTCTTCTCACGTTTTTCCGTTTTTCCCATCTATGTTTTCGCCATTCAGATGGTTTTTACGCTACCAACAATCCGTTCCAAAAATCGGGTCCCAAGGGTTTCATCGAGGTGAAGGTTCTAGAGAACGACAAGCTCTACATCCGCGTCGACTTGCCCGGTGTTCCAGACGACGCCGTCCGCCACAGAGTCGACGCCGTGAGGCAAAAGGTTGTCTTTTTTTCGGGCAAGACTCTCGACGACGGCAGAAACAAGGGCAGCGTTCGTGAGTACTCTGGATCCGCCGGTCTGAGTTGTGACTGCTGCGAGATCACCGGCGTGGATGCCAAGATGAAAGATGGAGTCTTGAGGATGATTGTGTCGAGGGTCAAGGTGAAGGACCATGACAAGAAGTGTCCTCTCACTTTCCCTCCTTTCACAGGTTCGATCCCCATTCTTCTCACAATTAGTCACCGCCATATATATATATATATATGTCTTAGCACCATTGTTGTAACTTGTAAATGCTTCGTTTTTACGATAGGTAAATCTGGAAGACGCCAGGAGGATCATCCGTTTCTGGTGAAAGGTCCTCAGGGAGCATCATTCGCCGGAGGAGTAACACCTGATGGAGGTACTTACTTCGCCTTAGATGTGCCAGGTGCTTCTACTGCTGATCTCCAATGGGTTGCCATCGAGAATGGACTTAGGTTCATTGCTCAGAAGAAGAAGGTGTGTGAGCATGATAAGAGTGCTCGTCTTTACCTTGGAAGCTTCGGCACTTTGGATTCTTCCACTGCAATTTCACTCAACTCCATCACCGCTACTGTAAACTTTGGTGTTCTCAAGATCGTCAATGGACCTCTGCGCAACCAGTAATCACTCTCTATCCTTTTTGTTCTAAGAGAACTAAGATTGATTAGTCTCTTGAGTGTGTTTAAGTTGAGTCTTGAGACAAGTTATGTGTGAGTCCTGCTTTTGTGTGTTTTTGCTATGGTGTTTGAGGATTCATATTCATAATCTAAACTTTTTAAGCTAAGCTTGATCCATCAAATTGAAAACTGGCTGATATTAAAAATTACTTTCTTCATTCGGATATCAATTTGTATGTTGCGTGCTCAGTTCAAGCCATTGTAGTTAACCATATCAGATGTCCACACTCAGATTGGAATTCAAACCAATAAAGAGTGTAGAAACCTGAGGAAAGATGTTTTACTATAAACAAACGCTATAAAATTATTTGCTTGAGACTATTCTTTGTTGCTGTTCTGTATTAAGGTAAAATCATAGAAAGACAGACAACCAAAACAGTAATTACTAATTACCACTTGTATGAATCAAATTTATAATACGTCTCCACACAATGAATATGCTCTAACGAATGCAAAATGGCATCTTTACCACATAAAACAACACAAGGATCTTTACCATACGTCTCCACACAATTCAGGGATCGTTTGGAACTAAGATAACTGGGCCGATTTATGGGCCCATGATAGCTTAAATCAGGCCCTTTCCAAACCTATTAGCCTCCCTCGGCTATAAACAGTGAGTAGAGAGACTCTAGAGATACTAGAGTAAAATAATTTACTCAGCTCACGTGTATTACTTTTTTTACGCTCCACTTCCAAAACAGCAAAAACAATCCGTCTTCATCAGAAAACCCCAAACTCCTCAACGAAAGCAAACGGTGCTTCGAAAATTTACTTTATTGTAATTTAAAAATAAATAGAAAAATTGACAGCTCGTAATTTTAACATAGATGATCGCTGATGTCAGCGGTTAATTCAATGTTTCCTCTGTTAAAATTTGAAAATGAAGACAGAAAAGAGAGAGGTCATCATAACCCATAACATTTCAGCTTTTGTCGTGTGTGAACGATATGGAAGGAGAGCTAATTAGAGATGGACAGCTCAACGTCGTCTCTGATTATTATTTTTTCACGGGTAGAATTTTTTTTTAACGAAAATTAAGAGTGACGTAAGGAAGAGGACCAGTCAAAATAGTTTATCTCTTCAGCCTCTGAAGCAAAAAGAGTGTTAATGAAGGTGAAAAAAAAAGAGGTAGATGCCAGCTGTAGAGTGCCACGTCGATAGGGTCGTACCCTCGTTGTTCTTCGTTTATACTCCATTTTTAAGTGATTGACAACAAAATAAAAAACGCCATTTTTAAGCAACGTTGAGACAGAGAGAGAAAATACAGAGAACGATCGAAGAGAGAGATGGTTGGGGGGTATACGTGCATTGACATGTCGAGACTTCCTACTAATAGAGGTTTCTTTCTTTCTTTCTCCGTTTAGTTTGTTTCCTTTTTTATTTTTCCGCTATATCAGTTTCTCCAATCTAAAGACATGTTTTTTTTCTTCAAATCAAATGTTTTTTGTTTTGAAAAGTTTTCTTTTTTACAAAGTTGAATCAAAGGAAGCGAGATGACAAATCGTTTTTTTCTTTCAACATATAATCTGTACCAAATATTAGCTTTTTAGTTGAACAAATCCATGAAAATTCAAGTTTCGTTCATGAAAATAAGTTGAGTTATTTCTGTAATGCTGTTTGATAATGTCTTCTTCGGGTTCTGTGTGCTTCTTCTTTTTTTGGCAACTAATTACGCATTAAAGTTTATCTCACTCACGTTTTCTGTTTTTCCCCAAGCAGATGGCTTTTACGCGACGAACAAGCAGTTCCAGAAATCGGGTCCCAAGGGTTTCATCGAGGTGAAGGTCCTCGAGAACGACAAGCTCTACATCCGCGTCGACTTGCCCGGTGTTCCCGACGACGCCGTCCGCCACAGAGTCGACGCCGTGAGGCAAAAGGTTGTCTTTTTCTCCGCCGAAACATTCAACGACGGCTACGAGAAGGAGGGCGTGCGTGAATACTCTGGAACCGCCGGTCTAGGCTGTGACTGCTGCGAGATCACCGGCGTGGATGCCAAGATGAAAGATGGAGTCTTAAGGATGATTGTGTCAAGGGTCAAGGTGAAGGACCATGACAAGAAGTGTACTCTCACTGTGCCTCCTTTCACAGGTTTCGATCCCATTCCTTTCCCAATCATCATCATCATATACGTCTTTCCACCGTTATAGTTGTAAATGCTTCAAATTTTTCGATTAGGTAAATCGGGAAGACGCGTTGAGGATCATCCGTTTGTGGTGAAAGGTCGTAAGGGAGCATTCGTTGGAGAAGCAACACCTGATGGAGGTCTTTACTTCGCTGTGGATATGCCAGGAGCTTGTAATGATGATATTGAGTTGCTTGCAAACGACGATGAATTCAGATTCACTGCTCGGATCAAGAACTTCAGTGAGCATGATGAGAGTGGCCGTCTTTACCTTGGAAGCATCGACACTGAACTGTCTTCTTCCTCTGCACTTTCACTTAAGAGCCAACGCATCACAGCTACTGTGAACTTTGGTGTTCTCAAGGTTATCATTGGACCTACCAACAAGGAGTAATACTCACTCTCTCTACTGCTTTTTCATTTCACAAATCTATCCTTTTGTTTTTTGGAGAACTAAGATTGATTAGGCTCTTGTGTGTTTAAGCTGAGACTTGAGACAGGCATGTGTGAGTCCTGCTTTTGTGTTTGCTATTGAATTTAGGGGATTATATGCAATTTGGTTTCAAAATCTAAACTTTCTAAGCTAAGCTGTCTGAATTCAAGTCAATAATATATAAGCTGGATCCATCAAATGGTACTGAAAAATTATATTCTTCATTCGAATATCAATTTAGATGTATCAGTTCCCACTTACTCTCTTCAAGCCATCGCAGTTAACCACAAGTCTTACACTCATAACAAGATCCTCCATCCAAAACTCAGATAGAGAAAAAAGACTTTGATAACAAATGTCCAATATTACACGACCAAAGAAAGCTACACAAACTAAAGATTGTGAACTCAAACCAATAAAAGTTTGCTCCTGGAACAAAGGAATATACTTTGGGCCAAGTTTCTGGCAGGCCGAATCGAACATCAAATGCAGAGAAGTTCCATTAGAAGCAAAACAAGATAGATGATTTTAACAAAGATTGGAAGATGGAAATTACGTACATTAGAAGTCAGAAGGGGAATCATAAACCATTTTTCTACAACAACAAACATTGGAGAAATTCGATCAACGTTCGAGTCTCTCCTCCACTTAAGCGAATCATGAAGCATTTTCTCGGCCCATCTACAAGTAACCTACATGGGCTGATTACTTGGCCCATAGTAACCTACATGAAGCTCTTTTCCAAACCGTCCTTAAATAGTACGACGTATCACTCTCTTAACTTTTTCACACACAACTCCACTCTTCAAAACAAACAAAACAGCGACGTTTTAAGGATGAGTAAAGCAGGCAGCTCCGGCGTAAACAACCGCCAGAACTTTCCGCCTAACCGTACGTCTTCCTTCTTCGTTCACATTTTCTCTTTCAAAGATTGAATCTTTTTTTATATTTTGTTTGTTAAATCTCTCTATATGTTCATGAATGAGATCTCTCATGTATGTACTTGGGTGCGTTTTTATCTTTGGTGTTGTAGCGAATAACCGATTCCAGAAAAGTGGTAGCGAGGCGGTGTACGAGGTGAAGGAGACGAAGTCGTGCGTGATATACAGGGTAGACATGCCTGGTTGTCCCGTTTCGGACCTCGTCTACTGGGTCGACGGCAAAAACGTGCACTTCTTCGCCGACGAACCCGCCATGCCCGAGTACGACCACGAAGGACGCAAATACGGAGGCACGATGGTTTTCAACACAGAGTTTTACGAGGTGAAGGGGGCTAAGGCTAAGATTCTCAATGGTGTGCTCTGGATCACCGTCCCTAAGATCCCAGGCAAACACATCAAGCTTAATGTCATTGAGAAGATGGTGAATGTCAAGATAACAAGAGATGACGTGGTTTGAGTCCGTCGTACGTACGCCTCTTGTCTTTATCCGTCTCGTCTCTCTTTGCCTCGTTTATGGTGTCTCTTGGGTTTATGGTCTTTTGTCTCTTTTTCTTTTCTGGTTTTTAATAAAAGGGTCGACTTTGTTGCAAACTGGTTTATGTTTATCTTTTCTATGGTTGAGTGCTTTTCATTTCTTCTAGTAATAACTGATTAATGTCATCAAAACGTTTGCTTGAGAGCGTATTATGATATGTTTAATTAAGGGTGTTTAAAAAAAAGTAACTTTTGGAAGAGAAATTAACTGGATAAACATTTGAAAAGGCGGTTGTAAACTTTAGAAGAGAAAGTTGGTACAAATTTTAAAAAGGAAATGTTGCATTGTACATTTTTCTTGTCGTCTGTGAAAATAAGTTGAAGGAGTAAAAGCCATACAGCTCATAATTTTATTACACTAAAGCATCGCTGACGTCAGCGTCTTCCATGCTTAATTAATTCTCCTGTAAAAAGTTGAAATGAAGACATTGCATGATAATCCGTCCACCAATCTTGTCGCATTGTGAAAGCACAGGAAAGGAGAGCTCGTAAGAGATTGACAGCTCATAATTTGATTCTGTAGTATAGCTGACCTCAGCCTACTCACGGTAACAATTCAAAAGGGAAAGCAGTTTTTTAACAGCGAGGCTAAGGTAAAAATGTTTAAAAAGAGTTTTAATACAATTCCGTAGTTTCAAACATTTTTACCTCAGCCTCACAATCATAACATATCCTCCTTCAAAAACTCAGATAAAAGACATATTAGAATATCCGGTTAATCAAAGAGAAAATCAGTTTACACATTGAACCAATTCTAATTACCCGGTTAAATAAACCGAATATTCTAATAGGAGTATAGGACATTCAAAGCTAATCAGATTGTAAAAAAGCTGTAATACACCTAAAACTGAGGCATACTTTAGGCCAATATTCTAGCATACCGAAAATGGCCAAAATTTTACATCGCATTGCCACATTATGATATAAGGTGTAACGAATAAAAATAGTTACTGTAAATTCAGAAACACCCAAGACTAATAAAAAGGTTTTGCAACAAGTCTAAAACAAGAAACGGATTTTTTTTGTAAGATAAAGAAAACATTGTCCGAGAATAAAGTTTCTTTCAAACAGTGTTGAATCAATTTCTGGTTTCATACTTTCATCAGATGACTCGATGGCCTTTGAATAAGAATCAAGAATCACAAAGCTCAATAAAACGATTTGGAAATAAACTAAATGGGCCGATTATTAGGCCCATAATAGGTTACTCAAAGCAAACATCTATAATCTCAATTTCTTGGATCGACGACCTATTTCCCCTTCGGAACTTTTATATAGCACCAATTTCACCCAAAGTTTGACTCTCATTCCAATTCCACCTAATGTGAAAGTTAAATATCAGATTCCACATGTTTGTCGGTTGTGTAGAATTGATATCGGTTTTCACGGTTTTATATCCACTTAAATCCGAAACCCATAACCAAACCAATTAAATCCGAAACAAATCTGAGAAAAAACCCGACCCGAAGTAAAATCCGACTCGTAAACCCGCGAAAAATTTCTGTAAATCCAGAAATCTCCAAATCGATTTTCTAAATTTTATGAACCCTAAAATTCAAGTGCTCTGAAATCAAAGTTCAAAATCGCCATTATCTTCAACGAGTGCAAGTGTATCGTTAAATTAGAGTTTCTTTGATCTCTTATTTGATATTTCTCTCTAAAATGCTGATCCTATAGCTCTAGAATCTCTTTTACGGAGAATGATGAACTATTTTTTTCCAGGTTAAAATTCAACTGTGAAGAAGATGAGCAATGTATCTGGAGGAACGAGTGAAACAACAACTGCAAGAGCTCGAGGAACAACTCGAGTGATAGTCCATGGTGTACCGAGAAGATGTTGGTGTGGAGATCTAATTATTGAAAAGATCTCCAAATCTGATGTGAATCCGTACCGTCGATACTATCGGTGTGCTTATGCAGTAGCACGCAAGGTAAGAAGCTTTGTGTTTTGATTCTCATTGCTGAAAACAAGTATAATCATAATTTTGATTTTGATTCACATTCATATTTGTAGCTTGTTAATGATAATCATAACTTCAAGTGGGTTGACGAGGCATTGTTGGACGAGATACAGACATTGGCGTCTCGAACTGATAGACTTGAAGAAGAGATGAAACAGATTTCAAGAGAGCGCCTTGAGCTTGAGAAGATGATGTTTGAAAAGATGCAGATGAAGCTAGAGAAAGAGATCTTTGAGAGAGTGGAAGAAGTATTGGTTGAAAGCAAATCGAACATGAAGAAATTGATGATTCTAGTTTGTTTTGGATGTATGGTCATAGTTGGTTGTGGTAAGCTACTAGTTTGAGTCTATTGGTCGTTATGAGATTGTGTTGAGTATGGTTGTTAGAAGTCATGTGTTTTGAATCACAATGTTGAGTATGGTTGTTATAACTCTTGTGTGTCATGTGTTTGTTCAATATAATCAGACTTCCCTTTGTTTCGTTCATTAAGATTTCAAGAAACAGTTTGCATTTTGGTCGATTTTAACAACAATCAGAAATCAGACACAACCAAAATATAATTTTAAACTAGTAGGCTGAATACATAATATATAAAGAAAAAACTGATTGTCATACAAAACATAAAACAAGATACATTTTGGTCGATTACAACAACAAAAACAGACATAACCAATTGTCTCTAAGAAGCACTCACATAGTTTAAGCTTCTTATACCAAAAAGCAGACCAACAACCGATTCTAAAACCAGAAAACAACAAAAACAGACAAGGTTCTTCAGCCAAAAGCAGACAATTCTAAAACCAATTCCCACATCAATTTTCAATCTGAGTGAGAGTGCCTTGTGAAGACTCAACTTTAGAAGATTCACCAACAGCCGAATCACTTTCAGAAGCCTATAATAACCACAAAACCAAAGAGACATAAATTTCAGTAGCCATTAACTTGACCAGAGAGATAAAACAAAGAGACAAACCTTTTTCTTTTTATAGAACCTTGAGTTGTGATTAGCTTCACCACAAATTTTACAATGCATTACCCTCTTCAAGTGTTTTGGTTTCTTCTTCACGGGAGATTCATTTATCCCTTTCTTCCGTTTCTTATCCTTTTTATCCTTCTTAGCTTGAACATCAACATCAGTTTCTCCTTACTTTCGGCCAGTCTGTGGTGGCGACGGAGGTTGATGCACGCGTGGTTCATCTCCTACTGGCCAAAACCTTGCGCCTCTCGTTGGAACTAAACCTTCTTTATATGTTCTTCTCCACATTGTTGTCTTAAACCAATGGCATACATACTCCTCAGCCACTTCTTTCTTGTGCATAATCACTGCATATGCATGCTCACAATAAATTCCTGTGATCTCCCATTGTTTACAAGTACAAGTTCTATCGACCAAGCTAACACGATACGAACAACCACTAACATGAACATCAAACGTGTTATTCGTGCTTCTATAAACCTTACAATCTGATGCTTTTTCGTGCTCCTCTGCAAGATACTCAGTTACATATGGTGTGCACACAGTTTTGCAATCCATAGATTTAGCATTTCTCTTCGCAATACGTACCATAGCAAGTCGAGCAATAGTCTCTAGCATCGGCACAAATGGTTTCTCTCTGGCTTTGACTACCGTGTGTTGTTCCAAGACTCGGTTGAGTTATTCTCCACATCTTCACATGCATTTCCAATTTTGTAGAATGCTCTGCACCAGGTCTCAGGTTTTGTCTTCAACACATCTGCATGCACAAGTTAGTCGTAGTCGAGTATCTTCTTCAAATTCTCTCTAAACTCTGCTTCATTATAGCTCCAAGCAAGAGTCCAAATCATTGGTTTCAACTCCGGCATCCTTCCATGCCTAGCCTTCAAGTTCGAATAAATGTGTCTGACACACATTCGATGCTCGATGTTTGGTAACTCTACCGTAACAGCATTGATCAATCCTTGAAGAACAAAATGTAAAGACATTAAAGCATAAACAAAGAAAATAAAGCATAAACAAACACAATTAAGCATAACCAAAGATAATAAACATCACAACTCTATATTAACAATATTTATCATTACCTTTTGTCTATCTGAAATCAGAATATAGCCATCTCCATCATTCATTCCCAAATCATTTTTTATCTTCCTCACAAACCACAACCAATTTTCTTTGTTTTCCACTTGCACAATAGCCCACGCTATAGGATATATAGCATTATCCGAATCTCGACCCATTGCTACCAGTAACTGCCCTTTCATCTTCGATTTTAAGAAACATCCATCAACTCCTATCAGCTTCCTACAAGTATCTTTCCAGGTTCTTCGAAGAATGTCAAAACAGACATAGAATCTGTTGAAGAGATCCAAACCTTCATCGTTTGTTACACAGTCAACCTCCACAGAGGAATTCGGATTCGATACTAGTATCTCAGCTCCATAATCACGAATCCGTGAAAACTGCTCATCATACTCTCTCTCAATCCATTGTAATGCTTTATTCCTTGCAGTTTGGCATTGAGGTCTTGATACATTGATCTTCCATATTTGCATAACCAGCTCTTCTATCTTCATTGACATAAAGTACTCCGGTTCTTCTCGGATTTTATCAACAAATAAGCGTGCGATCACAGGGACTTCATCATCTCACATGATCCATTAGGAACACAACTATGCACATCATTGTAGATTTTAACATGCCACCTCCCTACAGACATTTTCGTGGTTGAACAATATATACGCCATGAACAACCTTCAGCAGCGCAATCAAAGCCGAGTTTCTCCTTATCATATCTGTACTACTTGATATTTCGGCATGTCTTCAGAGCGTAATCGAGGACAGCCTCTTTAAACGCTATTCCATTGATAAAAAGCTGACCTTCATACAAATTCCCATCACCTCTTTTGATATTGTTGCGCCTCTTAGCGGTTCGTAAAATTTCTTGCTCCTCATCTTCACTATCCGTATCAGGATATACATTGTGCCGAATAGGCTCTTCATCTTCAAACGCTGCCACAGCTACATCGATGTTGAAATCTTCTCGTTCTCGTCGATCTTCACCATCGGGATCCTCTCCGGAAAATACAGGAACATTAGACCATTCAACTACCGCCATTGTAGTGGAGACTGCAATGAAACACGAACGAATTAATCTTCAGCTAACCACTTTGATTTTACAGATTTGGAGAAATTTTTCGATTTTAGGGTTCGTCACGATGATTTAGAGATTTTCGGATTTGGGGATTTTTTTGCGATTTAGGAATTTAGAAGTTTGTTTCGGGTGGGTGTGGATTATTTTGGTTAAGCAGGTTTTAAATCGGGTTGGAATAGCTAAATTGGGTTCTAATCAGGTTTAGGTTTGGTTTTGATTTGGGTTTATTTGGTTAAGAGTCGATGCGGATACAATAAACCAAATCTAATTATGGTTCATGGGTGAATTAATTTTCAACTTTTATATCATGGATATATACATTTTCAATTTTGTTATTAGGTAAAATCTGGTATTTAACTTTCACATTGGGTGGAATTGGAATGAGAATCAAACTTTAGGTGAAATTAGTGCTATATGAAAGTTCCGAGGAGGAAATAGGTCGTCGATCCCAATTTCTTAGATAGATAAAACATCGTACAAGAATAAAATTACAATTTTCTAGTTTCATTATATAACTCGATGATTTTCACTTTTCAGTAAGAATCAAGAAGCATGGAAAACGGAAAGGAACGAGTCATCTGGAAATAAACAAAATGGGCTAAATACAGGCCCATAATAGATTACTCGAAGCCTTTTTTCAAACCTAGACCCTCCCGCTATGAAGAGAGAAGTTGGTGCAAAAATTAAAAAGCAGACGTTGCATTGTAATTACAGGGAGTAAAGTCCAACAGCTCTCATATCAAATTTACCATAAAACATCGCTGACGTCAGCGTCTTCCATGCTTAATTAATTAAGCTGTAAAAAAGATTAATCTTGTCGCATTGTGAAAGAATATGGAAGGAGGGCGAGAGCTAGTAATTTGATTCTGTAGTATTGCTGACCTCAGCCTACTCACGGTAACAATTCAAAAGAGAAAGCAATTTTTTTAACAGTGAGATGGAGGTTAAAGTAAAATGATGACATAAGCAAGCAAAGACCAGTCAAATTTTGGTTTTGCTCTTCACGCCTGAAAGAGTTTTATCACTGGGAAAAGAAGCCAGCGAGAGAAATCAAAACGCCATTTTTAGACAAGAGAGAGAAAAGCAGAGAAAGAAAGAGAGATGGGTGAGCCTGAGCCAATATGCATTGACTTGCGGAGAGTTCATTTCGTCTACGGTCTCCTTTCTCCCTTCTCTATTATTTGTTTTCGTTTTAGATTTCTCAGAGATATATATCGTTTTCTTCCGAAAGCCGTGTTTTTTTTTTCCAAATCAATGTTTTTTTTTCAAGTTGCGATTAAAGGAAACTTTTTTTTCATCCCCGGATGATTATTTCCCATGAACAAATCTCTTTAAGACCATCTCCAATGTGTTCCTCTAATTTTTTCTCTATAATAGAGGAACTCTAAAATAGAGGTGCACTTCTCTCCAATGTGTTCCTCTATTTTTTCCTCTAAAAAAGAATATTTTAACAATATTCTCTGTATAATTTGTTATTAACACATTCTTTTCATAAAATTCATAAATTAACCTCATTTATATTATTGTTTACAAAAATTTCCATAAATAATAAAAATATATTAAAATTAAACATTTATTTCATAAAACAAAATCCAAAATGAAAATAAAACTTGTTGATCTAACAACAACAGTTATCAACACCTTAGAAGAAGGAAATAAGTAATTTTTGGAGCAATTAAAGAAGTCAAGCACACAAAGACAAGATCATTTGGAGATTCAAAAAAAGAATTATGCTTTAAAAGAACTGAAAGAAGAAAACAAAATTTTATTTTGTGATTTGAGTTCCATACAAAATCCAAATATCCGCTCATACATTCAAGCTGAACAAGCACGCATTTTTCAAAAGCAAAGTGATCAACATCAAGATCAATAAGATCCTCCTCCATCTACTCCGTTGGATCAATATTTGCATGATCTCAGTGGATCCGGAAGCAAATTCTCAGAATATTAAATCAATATATTATTTATCATTTTCTATAATTTTCTGTATTTTTAAAAAAATAATTTATCATTTTATTTATAATTTAGTTTGAAATGAATGAGAATTTTCTAATTTAGTTATATTATATGTTCACAAAATTTTCTCAAACCATAACAAAAATTATTAAATTTATTTATTTATTAGGTTTTTGTATTTAATAACATACAAAAACTGTATAATGTAACTTTATTGACGTATTATTGTACATGTGTATACTATATTGTTATTCATGTATACTATATTACTATTCATGTTCATTTTTTATCGTAGATTAATCACTATTATTTATAAATTATATAGTTAATTAAAGTAAATAATATTTTTTGTTTTTCTATAATAGTTATTGTCTGAAATAATGTTGATTTTATTAAACTTTATTAAAGTTATTTAACATTATATAGTTTAATTAAATTTATATGTTAGATATATAGCTATTTATTGGATATATACAAACTAGATTATGCAAATATTTAATTTAACTTTTATATTTGTTATATAAATAAAAATAAAAAGATGTAAAAGTTAAGGGACTAGTTTATAAATGAAAAAGTTCATCTCTATTATAGAGGAACAAATAGAGTTCCTCCAAATATAGAGGGAAAAATAGCAACCTCTATTTTAGAGGTAAAAATAGAGGTGGATTGGAGAGAAATTTCCTCTAAACTCTATTTTTTCCTCTAAAATTGAGGTAGATTGGAGATGCTCTAACATCATGAACTTAACTTAATGCAAAGATTTACATACGAAATAAAGTTTCCTTCTTTAGCTCTTTGTTGGTCTTCGGTAGCCTATTCCTTGGTTCTGTTTCTTTTTCTAGCAAATATACACACTATTTCTTTCTGTCATTTTTGTTCTCTCCATTGCTCTGAAACAGGGAGGCTCCACACGACCAACAATCCGTACCAGAGAGTAGGTCCAAGGGGTTTCATCCATGTGAAGATTCTTAAGAAAAACAAACTCTACATCCGCATCGATTTGCCCGGCGTTCCAGACGACGCCGTCCACTACAGAGTCGACTCCGTGAGGCAAAAGATTGTCTTTTTCTCCGGCGAGACTCTCGACGACGGATACGAGAAGAAGGACGGCGTGCGTGAGTACTTCGGAACCGCCGGTCTAGGCTGCGACTGCTGCAAGATCACCGGCGTGGATGCCACAATGAAAGATGGGGTCTTACGGATGATTGTCTCAAGAGTCGAAGTGAAGGACTTTAAGAAGAAGTGTACTCTCACCGTGCCTCCTTTCACAGGTTCGATCCCATTCCTCTCCAGGAAATCCACCATATATGGTTTGCGTACACATACATTGTTGTAAATGCTCTGTTTTTTTTGCTGGATGCGTGACAGGTAGATCTGGAACATACGAGGAGAAGGAGGATCATCCGTTTATGGTGAAAGGTCGTAAGGGAGTGATAAACTCTGGTGATCGAACAGCTGATGGAGGTACTTACTATTCAATAGATCTGCCAGGGGTCTGTAGTGATGATATAACAGTGTTTCCTGGTGAGAATGAAGTTAGATTCTATGTTGAGATCAGGAATGTGTATGAGCACGACGAGGGTGGCCGTATTTACATGGGAGCCATGAAGGGTACTACTCCTCCCCACGCACCTTCGTATTTGACCCATGACATCACTTGGGATGCAGAGTATGGTGTTCTCTACTGAGGGTGTACATAATCATATAAGGAAAGAATCAAAGTGTACTTAATTATAACCTAGAGCACTCTGTATATTCTTGTATAAATATGTTCACAATAGTATTGTAATACATAAGATTCAATCTCTATATGGTATCAGAGCCTATACGGTCTAAAACCTAAAAATTTTCTTCCCTTCAAATCAGCCGCTATGACAACCGAATCTCAAAACCCAACCATCGACACTATCAATCTAAACACAACCACTCTTCTTCATGTTAACATGACCAATGTATCCAAACTCACAAACACCAATTACCTGATGTGGAGCCTCCAAGTCCATGCCCTCCTTGACGGACACGCCCTGGCCAGCCACCTTGATGAATCCGTTGAAATACCATCTATGACATTGGTGGTTGCTGGCAATGCTCCTACTCCTAATCCTGCGTACACGATGTGGAAGCGCCAGGATCAGCTGATCTACAGTGCTCTCCTAGGTGCGATATCACCCACGCTACAACCACTTGTGTCTCGTGCAACTGTTGCTTCCATGATCTGATCTACACTCGCGGTTACATACGCCAAACCCAGCCGGGGACACATCAAGCAGCTGAAAACCCAACTCAAAAAATGGGTTAAGGGAGACAAAACAATCGATGAGTATCTACAAGGGCTTACCACAAGGCTAGACCAACTCGCCATCCTCGGGAAACCAATGGATCATGAAGATCAACTTGAGATCATTCTTGAGGGTCTTCCTGAAGAGTACAAGTCGATTGTTGATCAGATCGAAGGCAAAGACATCCCTCCGCTGATAACCGAAGTCCATGAGCGCCTACTCAATCATGAAGCCAAAATTTTATCCTCTTCTGCTACTGCATCCTTGGTTGTGCCCGCCTCTGCCAATGCTGTCCAACACAGAACACACAACAACAGCAACAATTACAACTCTAATCGTCAGTTCAACAACACCTACAAGAGGAACAATAATCATTGGCAGTCTCAGCACTACAACAACAAGCACGACATGTCTCCTAGACCATACCTTGGGAAGTGTCAAATATGTGGTGTCCAAGGATATAATGCCCGTCGTTGCTCTCAGCTACAGGCGATGCATCCCTCGATGAACCAGTAGTCGCCCTTCACACCTTGGCAGCCCCAAGCCAACCTCGCTGTTGGATCTCCTTATAATGCCAACACTTGGCTTCTTGACAGTGGGGCGACGCATCATATCACCTCTGATTTGAGCAACCTTGCACTACATCAACCTTACAATAGTGGTGAAGATGTGATGACAGCCGATGGATCGAAACTCTCCATCACTCACACGGGTTCCTTTCACTTTCCCTCATCTACTAGCTCACTATTACTCAATAAAATACTATGTATTCCTGATATAAGAAAAAACCTGGTCTCTGTGTATCGGTTGTGCCACACTAATAATGTTTCTGTTGAATTCTTTCCTGCTTCCGTCCAGGTGAAGGATCTGAGCACGGGGGTCCCATTACTCCAAGACAGAACTAAAGATGAACTATATGAATGGCTAGTCTCTCAAACACAAGCTGTCTATTTGTTTGCTTCATCAAACTCCAAAACCTTTCTCAAAATATGGCATTCGAGACTTGGTCATCCATCCTCCTCTATCCTAAACACTACTGTTTCAAAGTTTTCATTACCTATTTCGAATTCTTCCAAATATCTACATTGTTCGGATTGTCTTATTAATAAGAGTCACAAACTCCTTTTTTCCCAATCCCCAATTACATCTCAAACACCCCTACAATATATCTTCACTGACGTATGGTCATCACCAATTCTGTCCACCGAAAACTACAAATATTACCTTGTTCTTGTCGACCACTTCACCCGCTACACCTGGATGTATCCACTAAAACGGAAGTCTGATGTCAAGCAAGTGTTCATTGCGTTCAAATCTCTGGTGGAGAACCAATTTCAACATCGAATACGCACACTATATTCAGATAATGGTGGTGAGTTTCTAGTCCTGCAAGAATTTCTGGCAACAAATGGGATCAGTCACCTCACATCACCACCATATACTCCGGAGCACAACGGGATGTCAGAGAGAAAACACCGCCACATCGTTGAAACAGGATTAACACTTCTCTCAACGGCGTCGATCCCGAAAGCATACTGGCTCTATGCGTTCTCCACGACGGTGTACTTGATCAATCGACTTCCGACACCACTCTTATCGCTGACATCACCGTTCCAACAGTTGTTTGGGGTTGCTCCGAATTACCTGAAACTTCGAACATTCGGGTCTCTTTGCTTCCCCTGTCTTCGGCCATACAGTCGTCATAAACTGGAGGATCGCTTCGCCCCATGTGTATTTGTGGGATATTCGCTGACCCAAAGCGCCTATCATTGCCTCCACTTACAGTTCGGCCGGTTATATACATCCCGCCATGTTCAATTTGTCTAGCATGTTTTCCCATTCTCCACAAAATCACCACTGAGTTCAGATGACGACGCTACATCAGAAACACCGCCAACAATTAAAGTTCCGCTTACTCTGGTGACCCCCCCGTGCTCGGCTCCTCACCAACCACAAACACTTGCCCCGCCGTCTCCGCCGCAGAACAACACTCAGGTATTATCTTCTCAACCTCGACAACTAGAACAACACTCCGAGCCCACTGCTCAAAACGAAAATGGGCTGCAATCCACAGCCTAGACACAACCCACTTCGAATGAGCCCACTGCTCTACCACAAAATGGGCCTTATCCCAGGGCCCAGATACCCAACCCTATTCCACGACCCATAAACCAAAACCCATCGAAAACTCTCATCACCTACCAACGCCGACAAAACAAAACCTAATCAAACCTCCTCCGGCCAAATCCCCATCCGATGAAGACCAGACAAAAACCACTACGGCTAAATACCCATAAAATGAACACCCGAGCCAAAAACAATATCGCCAAACCCATTGACAGACTGACTCTAACAGTCTCCACTGCCAAATCTCAACCCCGCGAACCATTAACTGTTTCTCAAGCTTTGCAGGATGAACTTTGGCGTCGGGCAATGTCATCGAAATACAATGCTCAAATCGGCAACTTCTCATGGAACCTTGTTCTTCCGTCGCCTCATCAGAACGTTGTTGGATGCAAATGGGTTTTCACACTCAAATATCATCCGAATGGCAGCCTCGAAAGACATAAGGCTCGGCTGGTAGCCAAAGGATTTAACCAATGGTATGGTGTCGATTACGCTGAAACATTCAGCCCCGTGATAAAGTCTACAACGATACGCCTTGTACTTGAAGTTGCGGTCACAAAGACATGGAAGATCAAACAGCTGGACGTCAATAATGCATTCCTTCAAGGCGAACTCACTGAAGAAGTATATATGCAACAGCCGCCTGGATTTATCGACAAAGACAGACCAGATTACGTCTGTCGATTACGGAAGCCAATCTACGGCCTTAAGCAAGCCCCACGGGCGTGGTACACTGCTCTCAAGCAACATCTGCTCAACAACGGATTCACGAACTCTCGGGCCGATACTTCATTGTTCATCCGAAACAGAGGTACATTAATAACATATGTACTCGTGTATATCGATGATATCATCGTTACTGGGAGCAACTCCAACGTGATCTCTCAGGTACTTCAGGCTTTCTCGGAACGATTCTCTATAAAAGATTCTGTTGATCTTCATTACTTTCTTGGTATAGAAGCCACCAGGGCCTCCAAAGGCTTACATCTAATGCAACGCAAATACATTGTGGATCTCTTGGCCAAGAACAACATGACTGAAGCGAAGCCTGTGACAACTCCTCTTCCAACAACTTCAAAACTCATGCTCAATGGAGGTGATCCGCTTCCAGATCCAGCTCAGTATCGATCTGTAGTTGGCAGCCTCCAATATCTCGCATTCACCAGGCCAGATATCTCTTACACCGTCAATAGACTATCTCAGTTTATGCACAAATCCACACATGAACATTGGCAAGGAGCAAAGCGTGTACTTCGCTATCTGGCGGGAACTCAAACCCATGGTATATTTCTCCACGCTTCAACACCTCTAACACTACATGCGTTCTCCGATGCAGATTGGGCAGGAGATATCGATGACTACGTCTCCACAAATGCCTACATCGTACACATTGGTGGCAATCCAATCTCTTGGTCGTCAAAGAAACAACGAGGGGTTGCCCGTTCTTCAACCGAAGCAGAATATCGCTCCGTCGCCAACACCTCTGCTGAAATACGCTGGATATGTTCTCTTCTGACAGTGCTTGGTGTTCGTTTACCATCACCACCAACAATCTACTGTGATAATATCGGCTCCACATACCTATGTGCGAATCCTGTCTTCCATTCAAGGATGAAGCACATTGCCATTGATTACCACTTCATTCGGAACCATATACAAACAGGTGTTCTTCGTGTCTCTCACGTCTCCACAAAAGATCAGCTCGCTGACGCACTAACAAAGCCTCTACCACAACAACAATATCAGTTAGCTTGCTCCAAGATTGGAGTCACGAGAGTCCCTCCATCTTGAACGGCGTATTGAGGGTGTACAGAATCATATAAGGAAAGGATCAAAGTGTACTTAACTATAACCTAGAGCACTCTGTATATTCTTGTATAAATATGTTCACAACAGTAATATAATACATAAGATTCAATCTCTATATTCTCAAGGTTATTATTACACCTCCTAAGGAAACCAACAGCGAGTAATCAGTTTCACTCTCTCTGGTCTCTACTACGTTTTCGTTTGGACATGTCTATCTTTTGATTTTGGGAGAACTTGCATTGGCTACTATGTCTTGTGTGTGTTTATGTTGAGACGATTATGTGTGTGCCCTACTTTTGTGTGTTGCTATGGAATCTAGTGATGGATGTCATTTGTTTTCACAATCTTTACACTTTGTTTCCTAAGATGATTAAAAACCAAATTGGATCCATCAAATCACCTGATTGGTGACGATAGCTCAGAACTACTCATATGGAAATTTGTCTCTTCTTTTGAATGTCTACATTGTATATTATATGCATCACTTAACTTAAAACCGAGAATCAATTACAGACCACAACAGTTTCACTAATTAGTTCAAAATTACAAGATGTTATGCATCGCTTCCGCTTTCTCTTTAACAGTATTGATCTTCAAGCCAATGTATAGTCAACCACAAGCATCACAATCATAACGATATCCTTTCCTAAAAAACTCAGATTCAGAGGAAATATCCGTTCAGACACTCAAAGCTACACCAACTGGATCAGATTGGAATTCAAATCAATAAAAGTGTACAAATCTGTCAAAAGATGTTATATTAGGAAGGTGGTCTTTGCGTAAGCCACTGTAATTGTCGAGTTTGCCACTGCATACAAGAAAGGATGAACATCTAGTGCAGAGAAGTTCAGCGAAAGATGACAGATGATTCCATAAAGATAGGAAGTTGGAGGAGGGTAAGCTATAGGAAGTAGGAACCTTTGAAATGAAACTTGAAGCATTACTTACCATTTCTGTTAACAAATTTTTTACATCGCATTGCCACAGTAGGAAATAAGGTGTAACGAATCCAAATTAGCAATAGTAAATTCAGAAACACACAAGAATATTCAAAGGTTTTGCAACATGTCGAAAAGCAAGAAACATTTTTTTTTTGCAAAATAAAGAAAACATTGTCCGAAAATAATGTTTCGGAGAACGGTGTTGAAATTGAATCAATTTTTGGTTGTCATCAGATGACTTGACGATAACATTTCAGTATGAATCAAAAATCATATAAAAGGGAATAAATAATTTGGAAATAAACTAAATGGGCCGATTATTAGGCCCATAATAGATTACTCAAAGTCTTTTACAAACATCTATAATCTCAATTTCTTATATGATTTACAAATATCTGTAATCTCAATTTCTGGTTTCAACCAATGATTCGATGGTTTTTCCCTTTTCACTTTTCACTTTTCACTTTTCATCAGTAAGAATCAAGAATCATAATAGCTCACCAATTAACAAAATGGGCTGATTACTAAGCCCATACCAGGTTACTCGAAGCCTTTCCCAAACCTACACCCTCCGCTATATATAGTAAGTAGGGAGAACACTATCCTAAATCTCACTCTCACTCGCTTACTTTTACACACTCCACTTTCCAAAACAACAAAAAAAAAACAGCGTCGTTTGAAGGATGAGTAAAGCAGGCAGGTCCGCCGTGAACGACCGTGACAGGCCGAAGCATTTTCCGCCTATCCGTACGTCTTCTTTCTCCGTTCGCATTTTCTCTTTCAAAATCTGATTTTTTGTTTTGTTTATCGTTTGTTAAATCTCTCTGTTAACTAATCTCGCATGTTGGTGCGCTTCTTTTCTGTGTTGTAGCGAGGAACCGATTCCAGAAAACTGGGAACCCGGCAGCTTACGAATGGAAGGAGACGAAGAACGCGTTCGTGATGAGGGTGGACATGCCTGGGTCCTCAGATTCAGACCTCGTCTACGGGGTCGAAGGCAGCAACGTCTACTTCTTCGCCAACGATCCCGCCTTGCCCGGATACAAGCACGACGGACGCAAATTCGGTGGCGCCGTGGCCATCAACCGTGAGTTATACGATGTGAACCAAGCCAAGGCCAAGCTTCTCAACGGTGTGCTCTGGATCAGCGTTCCGAAGATCCCAGCAGGCAAAAAGGCCGAGCTTCATGTCGTTGAGAAGATGGTCGATTTGAAGATAACAAGAGCGGACGCGGTCTGAGCCAGCCGTACCGTACGTCGTCTTGTCTTTATCCGTCCAGTCTCGTTCTATCAGCTTGCCTCGAAACGGTGTCTAGGGTTTTATGGTCTTCTCTTCTCTTATGACTTTTTTCTTTTTCTTTTTCTGTTTTTGAATAAAAGTGTCGACTTTGTTTTTCATGTTTTATGGTTAAGGTCTGATGTTAGTTTCTTCTATATCACCTAATCAATGTCATCAGAAACCGTATGTTCATGTTTAATGGTGAAGTACTGCTTTTAATTTCTTCTATAATTATTAATGTCATTAAAAACCGTTTCTTTGAGGTAATAGCGAGATTTAAGAGTGTTTGAAGAAAGGTGCAAATTTTTAAATTGTACCCAAAAAAAAATCCCATGAAAAAAGAAAGCCTGATAAACTTAATTAATACGAGAGAAGTTGGTGCAAAACTAAAAAGTAGACCTTGCATTGTAATTTTTTTTTGTCGTGTATGAATCTAATTTTAGAGGGAGAGTATACAAAAAGCAGATCATAATTTTACCGGAAAGCATCACTGACGTCAGTCTCTAATTAATTATTATGTAAATTTATTTTGAAATGATGCACTGCCTCATTTAACCTAATTTGTCGCATTGTGAAAGGATATGGATCGTAGAGCTAGCTAGCTAGTGAGAGATGGACAGCTCAAATTTTTGATTCGGTTAGTACTGCTGACGTTAGCGTTCCCATTCCTACTTTTTCCACGGTAACAATTCATAAGGGAAACCAATTTTTTAACAGTGAGAAGGAGGTTAAAAAAAAAAATGAGTAAAGTGACTTGGGCAAGTAAAGGAAGTATTGGTGCCACGTCACAGACGGTTTTATATCTCATACCTCGCCTTGCTTTCTCGTTTGTTAACGAAATCAGTAGTCCATTTTTACGAGAACGAGAGAGAGAGAGGAAAGGCAGAGAAAGAAGAAAGATGGCTGGGGGATATTGCATTGACTTTTCGAGATTCTCTGCCTACCCAGGTCTCCTTCTTCCACACTAATTTCGTTTTGTAGATTTTCTAAGAAAATCGTTTTCTTCTGAAAGACATTTTTTTTCCTCCAAATCAATGCTTTTTTTTTGTGATCAAACGAAACTTCTTTTCTTCTGCTGGATAACAAAATTTCTCTAACATCATGAGCTTGGTGCAAAGATTTACATTTGTTTTTCTTAGTCCAGGAAAAAATTAATTAGTTTCCTTCTTTAAGAAAATGAGCTGAGTTAGCTCTTTATAGTCTCTGTATTGATCCTTGATCGTCTCTTCTTTTGGTCTCCATTGTGATGAAACAGATGGTTTCTACGCGATCAACAATCAGTTCCAGGCAGCAGGTCCCAAGGGTTTCATCGAGGTGAAGGTCCTCCAGAACGACAAGCTCTACATCCGCGTCGACTTGCCCGGCGTTCCCGACGACGCCGTCCGCCACCGAGTCGACGCCGTGAGGCAGAAGGTTGTCTTTTTTTACGGCGAGACTCTCGATGACGGCAACAAGGACGTCGTTCGTGAGTACTCAGGAATCGCCGGTCTGTGCTGTGACTGCTGCGAGATCACCGGCGTGGAGGCCAAAATGAAAGATGGGGTTTTGAGGATGATCGTGTCGAGGGTCAAGGTCAAGGACCACGATAAGAAGTGTACTCGCACTTTCCCTGCTTTCACAGGTTCGTAAACCCATTCTTCTCAAAGGATGATTGTGTCTCTCTTATGCATGATTCGTTGTTGTAACACGATCTGTGTTTTTGCTGGATGCGTACGTGACAGGTAGATCTGGAGATAACGTGGAGGATCATCCGTTTCTGGTGAAAGGTCGTAAGGGAGTACTATTTGCAGAACCAACAGCTGGAGGAGGTGTTTACTTTACGGTGGATATGCCAGGCGTTTGTAAAAGTGATGATATCGAGGTTTTTGCTCTTGAGGAAGAAATTAGATTCTTTGCTGAGCTCAAGAAGGTGTGTGAGCACGATGAGAGTGGCCGTGTTTACATGGGAAGCGTCATAAGCCGTACTCCTTCCAGTTTACCTTCACTGTTGAGCTACTCCATCACTTACGATGTAAACTTCGGTGTCCTCAAGGTTCGTGTTACACCTCCTCCTAAGAGAACCAATAAGAAAACCAGCAAGAAGTGATCATCACTCTCTCGTTCTATCACGTTTTCGTTTGGATATGTCTTATCTTTTAATTTTGGGAGAACTTGTCTTGCATTTGGCTACTTGATTACTAGTCTTGTGTGTTTTTAAGTTGAGACAATTAAATTATGTGTGTGTGTGTGTGCTGCTTTTGTGTTTGCTATGGAATCCACTGATTCATGTCGTTTGTTTTTACAAATCTTACCTTCTTTTCGCTAAGCTGATTGCTAATCAATTGAATCAATTACGGACCGGGGAGTAACATCACCAACATAGTTCAAAACTTGTATCACTTACACTTACTCTCTCACTGTATTAATCTTTCAAGCCAGGCCATTGTAGTTAACCACAAGATCACACTCATAACAACATTACACTTACACCAACTAAATCAGATTCGAATTTAAACCGATAAAAGCGTACAAATCTTTCAAAAGATGTTATACTATCTATGAACAGAGGAAGGATGGACATGTAATGCAGAGAAGTTGCAGTATAAAGATTGGAAGATGGATATTTAGAATCATACAAAGCTACAATGCACTTACTAGTTACAAGAAACGAAATTCATAACTGGTTGAGTTTCATTGTCCAAGATCCAGTTGCAACAAGCTCATTAAGTTGGGAGATGAATCGGAAATCTATCATTTTGTAGAAAGTAAAATCTCTTCTTTGGTGACCGTGTCCAGTCCAATTTGTGGAAGACTCAAACCACTATATTCAATATTATCCGTTAATGGAAGAAAATCCAATTTGCAGACCTAATGAAGAACATTCATGTTATGAAAAGATGGTAAAGGATAGCACGAGACATGAATGTGGCCTCTCACAGCTTCATTGACAAAGTGTTGATGAAGAGTGGATTTAGAAATGTTGCCAAAGAAACCATGGATTATATCATTTGATCCATTGTAAAAATGGAACACATAGAACTCCGGATTTGCAAAAGGCAAAGCTCTCTACATGCGTCGAAGAATTACAACTTGAGCCACATTGATAGTTACATATTTCATCAAAACTATATCTTTTGGGTTTGTTATAAAGTTTAAAAGATTACATAATACGGAGACATTTACGACGTCGTTTCCGTTTTTGATCAGTACTGCCGTCTATCTAAAATCGATTGATTCGGATCTCCTGAGAGAAGAAGAGAAACCTGAAACAAAGAAAGAGCATCGAATAAGGAAAATGGCAGGAAGATTGAGCGGTGTGGCCTCACGGATCATGGGTGGAAACGGCGTTGTTTCCCGATCCGTCGCCTCTTCTCTCCGGCAACGCGCCGGGATGGGTCTCCCCGTCGGAAAACACATCGTCCCCGATAAGCCGGTGAGTCAAATTTCTGTAATTTCTTCTGAGATTCTCCGAATTTTGTTTCGATTTTGAGCCTCTTTCCCTAATTGCGTCTCAGCTTTCGGTTAACGACGAGCTGATGTGGGACAACGGGACTGCGTTTCCAGAACCTTGCATAGATCGAATTGCTGATACCGTCGGGAAGGTTGGTTAGGTTTTCTTACGGTTTCTAGTGAAATTAGGAGTAAATAGATTGCTTTTCTGATTGATTTTGGATTACTGGACAGTATGAAGCATTGGGATGGTTGTGTGGCGGTCTAGGGTTCTTTGCGACTCTGGGTATGCTCGCTGTTTTGAACGATAAAGCGTCAAAGGTTCCATTTGTAAGTGAAAATCTTAAAACTTCTTTTGTGTTCGCATTCGCACTATACAAATGCTTTCTTACTGTAATCCATTGTGATGTCCTGAGTGTGTTTCACGGGTTTAAATTCAGCAAAAATACGCAGCACATAGTCATGATTTTGCTACAAAATCTTACTTTCTGCTACTATGTTAATATACTCTGAATTTGAACTATCAATCGCAGTTAACGATTAGACTGTACCTGATATGAAACATATTCTTAGCATAGGCTTATTTATGAGAAAAGGGTTATTGCTGGAATCTTCAGAGACCCCATCAGCGAAATGTGGAAAGAAAACATAGGATTCATCAAAAAAAATACTCGCATAACAGAATGTTCATAGTGTTCTTTTCTTCATCTTCTGAATGCCGCAATTTTTTAACTTTCAGCTATTGCATTTTGCCTGTTTATGAACATAAACAATCAGTCGTTGCTGTTTGCTAGTGCTTCTGACCAGATTCATAGATCAGATGGATCTTTTATCCACATTGTTTTCATCATCCTTGATTAATTGATTGAGCCTGTGCATAGTTATTAGGGAACACTTGAAAGAAACACCCACATTGTTCTTGGGAACTCGGTACATGCTTAAGCTCATAGCTAGAGGTGTATCAGCAGCTAAAATCTATGAGTTAGTTCTCTTAGTAGCCACTGGCCAAGCATCATAGACTTTGTATCAAAGGCTATACTATGATTAGTCTTGTTTTGAAGGATTTCGAGTTATATAAGTTGAACAGCACACTAGGGCTAAGAAGATGCTCTCTGGCTTCTTGTCTGTACACGAAATGAATTGCTGCTCTTCCTTTCCTGTAGAAGTTGTTCTCTGACATCTCATCTCATCTCTGCTTTTGTGTCATATTCTTGTGATTGTGGTGTTTGTTTTTCCATTTCATGATCACTTCTTACTGTGTTGCTGCAGACACCGAGAGTCTATCCATATGACAACCTGAGAGTGGAGCTTGGAGGAGAGCCATAGAGACCCATCAAGTGATGTGCTCAACAAACTCAAAGCGTGTTTTCTTCACTGCTTTGTTCTTCAAAATGTTTTTATTTTCCTGCTCAGAACTTGAAGACAAAATAATAAAAATGACTGTTGTTTTATCACTTGCTGTCTCTCGACCATTTGGGTATTTATAAGAGAAGACATGCAACATTTGGGTATTCATAAGAGAGAGACATTTGTTTCAGCAAATCCCAAATTGTGCTCAGTTGTGGTTTACGGAATTGAATAGAAAACAGTAGCGACATGTGTCCCGTCTAAAGTTTAGCCTCGTACGACTCCAAAACATAGGCTAAAGGAAAGAGACAGAAATGCAATTTACTGAATATGGCATGTGAGTGGGCCATTGATAGAGAAACTTGAACTTCTTCGTCTCCGTTTTAAATTTCACAATTACGTATTCGGTTATTTCTTTCCTCTTTTGTACAATTTCATTATCTTATACGCATTTCGTTCTTTGATATGTACCCCATCTATCAAAATTCGTCACGACAAGTATAGGTTAGGAAAGACAATTTGTATGGCGCCTGAGTCATATACAAACAGATAACTTGAAGAGTAAAAAATACATTTCGTGAAAGACTGCTGTGACAGTTTTTTAACATTTTTATACTAAGAAAGAGACTTTGAGAAACAAATTAAAATTTGATTAGTGGGATTATGAGATTGGATTTGACTTGAACAAGTACGAGTTTAGCGTAGACTCGTAACAAGAGACCACATAGGCTCCACCTCAGCTGATTAAAACTAGTTGATGATAATCATTCATATCTACTGACTAAGTGGTGGAATCAAAGACAGCCACATGAGTAGTCACGAGATTTGATTACTTTCAATCTTTCATATATATATTCCTTAAAGTAGCTGTTTCATGAATAAAAGATCATCAATGTGATCTACGTACGTGTCATCTTCCTTATGGCTCTTCTTCTCCCTGATTGTTTGGACCCCGTCAAACCTAAATTATTATTCGTACCACTCCTCTCTCATTATTATTTGTGTATATCTTGAATGCAATTATTTAAAGGAATCATTCTTAGTCTTCCTTTTTAATATAGCAAAACTCATCGTACGTATATATATACATGCAGCATGTGTATGTGCTTATCTTTAGACCAAGTAAATTAACATCTCTTAGAGAGATTCAATAGACAATGAAGAAGATTTGTTACCCTTCTAATTACATGAATATTTTTCTTCGCCGTTTTGAACAAAAATGAAAATAATATCTCTTCACGGTTTTGTATGATTGTGTATATATATAACAATAATAGTATAATTATTGGAGGGAAAAAGGACAAAAAAGAGGAAGGTATGAACCAGGGAAGTTGGGCTCTGGAGGAGTGCCAAAGGCTGCACTTATAACGTGTCTCACTCTCTCTCTTTACTCCTGCCAACTGTTTGGCTTTCCTTCTTTCTCTACTCTCTTCGTGAGTTTTTTAAAAAAAATTATTTCAACATTTTTGCAAGATCTTAATTCTCAACCGACGTCCAAAATAAATCTCAACCATAATTTTTTTTTATAATATGCCTTAAATTATTGTCATTAGTGAACCCCATTTAATACAGATACTTCTTTTTAAAAAAAATATTAAAAAGGCAGATTGTTGATCATTATAAAACGAGACTATGTTAAAATTAATAAAGAAGCAAAAAATTAAGTTTATCCATAACTCTTGGAGTTCAAATATAATTAATGAACTTTTCTAGCAATTAATGATTACTTGTCATCTTAATCTCAAATGTCATTACGGGTTATCAGATTCCAGAGTTTGAAAGTCATCACAACTTAGCCACTTGTAACATGTAAATTTGTTAGAGGCCCCATCATTTTCTCAGGGGTCCATTATATGTGTATAGTATAAAATAAAATAAATAGAAACACTCTAACTTCCTTAGATAACTTGAAAAGTCATCAATCATATTCACTGTGAAATGACCTTTGTTTATATCTCTACCCATTATCCGGTAATGTGATTTTGTCTTCCGAGAAAAAACACCGTCTTTTTTTTCTTAATGTGACCTCCATACATTATTAATAAAATCGAGTATCAGCAAATATTTGTGATACACGTTGAATAAGACAATACAAATCTAAACGGGATAAGTCCATTTTACAGGGGAAAAACAACTCTACTAAAATAGAGCGCCTTTGCATATTTTAATAAACCGAATATCATGTTATATGACCGCACCAATCAGTTATATATAATATAAAACGTATTCAGAGTAAGCTTTTTTTTTTTTTTTTTTTGCCGAACACATTATAATAATAAAATAAATTGATTTATAAAAAGGGTCCTTTCCCTTCTTTACATTTCGTACGTTTCTCTATTTCTTTTTTTCTCCTCCCACTATAAACGGAATTAACAGAATGGACGGTGGTCATGTCTCCGCCGCCGAAACCGATGATCTGAAATCTCCGCTCTTACCGGTCGTCCATAATGACGAGCCATTCGAAAAACAATCGGTGGGGCAACATCTCCGGACAATATTCACGCCGAAGAATTGTTACATCGCGCTTGGTCCTCTTCTTTGCGCCGTCGTGTGTCTATGCGTACGCCTCGGCGAAGATGATACGACGTCAGCGAGGAACATGTTGGGCGTTCTGGTTTGGATGTTTGCGTGGTGGCTGACGGAGGCTGTTCCGATGCCGATCACCTCCATGTCGCCGCTTTTCCTATTCCCTCTCTTCGGAATCTCGGCGGCGGATGACGTGGCAAGTTCTTACATGGATGACGTAATCTCCCTCGTCCTCGGCAGCTTCATCCTCGCTCTCGCCGTCGAACACTACAACATCCATCGCCGACTCGCCCTTAACGTGAGTCATTTTACCTCTCTTATTTCATCGAGTTTTTTTTTCCTCATATTTATTTTAACATTTTTTAAAAATGGTACTTTCACTTTCATGTTTTACAAAAAAATACGATGTTTTTACATTTTTATTATTTTTATTTTGTGGTGTAAACTGGATGAGTCATGTAGGGACCGTGGTTCTAGGAAATATTGAAGTTCTCAGATGATTTTGTCTGGGGTCCACGGATGAGTTAATTAAAAATATAATCATTAACTATGTGGAAACCTTCAATTGAATCCCCACTTATTAAATTACAACATAACAACGGATAGTGGTCCAGGTGTATAATAAGTAGAGGGATGCATTCTACAAAGTAATAAACTGAACATATGTATAAATTCTAATGTTAAGGTGGCAGAAAATTATAAATTGAAAAAATATAAAGAGTTCTCTATTTAATCACAAACAAGAAAATTAAAATATTTATTTTATATCTTTGTTTAGTTTGTATACTGCGTAGCGCGTACAGCCTTGATTCATGGCATAGGGCCAGCCAATCCATCTATCATATCTATAGTAGTGTCTAGTAAGACAGACACGTATACATGATCTATTTCTTGGTACTATTCAAAGAGTATGCTCCACGTATGAGATCATCAGGTTACAAGTTACAACATACAAATATGATTATCAACGCTCAACAGTTTCACTGTATGAGATATCATAATTAATTAAGTGGAGCTTAATAAATAAGTAAAAAGCCATTGCGCATCTAACTATGATAAGTTTTTTTAATGTTTTTAAAAGATCTAATTATGATAAATCTAATTCGTGAAGATAACGTTGGTGTTCTGCGTGGAGCCGCTAAACGCACCGCTGCTTCTGCTTGGCATCTGCGCCACGACGGCGTTCGTGAGCATGTGGATGCACAACGTGGCAGCTGCAGTCATGATGATGCCAGTCGCTACAGGGATACTTCAGCGACTCCCATCGTCTTCTTCTTCTTCGTCGGAAGTGGTACCTCCGGCGGTTGGGAAGTTTTGCCGAGCGGTGGTCCTCGGTGTGATATACTCCGCGGCAGTAGGTGGAATGAGCACACTGACAGGAACAGGTGTGAATCTGATACTTGTCGGAATGTGGAAAAGCTATTTCCCGGAGGCTGATCCAATCAGTTTCAGCCAATGGTTCTTCTTCGGTTTCCCATTGGCTTTGTGCATATTCGTAGTGCTTTGGGGTATTCTTTGTGTACTTTATTGTCCTAAAGGATCAGGGAAAGCTCTCTCTCCCTATCTCCATAAATCTCATCTTCGTAGAGAGCTTGAGACGTTAGGACCAATGAGTTTCGCTGAGAAGATGGTCTTATCTGTGTTTGGTGGGTTAGTTGTGTTGTGGATGACAAGAAACATAACCGATGATATTCCCGGCTGGGGTCTGATCTTCAACGGTCGGGCCGGGGATGGAACGGTGAGTGTGATGATGGCTACATTGCTGTTTATAATCCCCAACAACATAAAAAAGGGAGAGAAGCTAATGGATTGGGGCAAATGCAAGAAACTCCCATGGAACATAGTCTTGTTATTAGGAGCTGGATTCGCTATAGCGGATGGGGTACGCACCAGTGGCTTAGCTGAAGTCTTGTCCAAAGGATTGGTCTTTCTTGAAACAGCTCCTTATTGGGCCATCGCTCCAACAGTTTGTCTCATCGCTGCAACCATCACTGAGTTCACGTCAAACAACGCAACCACTACGTTGTTGGTTCCTTTGCTCATAGAGATTGCAAAGACAATGAAAATCCATCCTCTGCTCCTGATGGTACCAGGTGCCATCGGGTCTCAGTTCGCTTTCTTGCTTCCCACGGGAACACCATCTAACGTCGTAGGGTTCACAACAGGGCATATCGAGATCAAAGACATGATCAAGACAGGCTTGCCTCTCAAGATCGCCGGAACCGCCTTTCTCTCTGTCTTGATGCCCACTCTCGGTATACTTACGATCATAACTACCTTCTTTTATCATTTTCATTCGTGATTCAGTACGAACATATAGTAGCTTATCTATATAAAAATTACATGGCAGGGGCTTACGTTTTTGCATCAAAGGGAGGAGTTTAGTTCGATGGGATGAAGCACAAGACCATCGACACTATCGATTCATTGTATTATATTTTTACAACGGGCTGAAGCACAAGACCAGTGACATATATTGTAGATATGTACTGTTAGTCACAGGTGGAACGGGAAATGTAGATGTGGTGAAACTTTACAAACCGGCCCATTTTTGTATCCCGCCCTATTATAGTTTCCGGTACGATTGCTTTCTTTTGTGCTTTCAACGTACCGGTAAGTTTGGTCTTTTTTTGTTTCCTGTGTATGTATGTATATAAGAAAATCTGTATCGAGAACAAATATTTAGATACAAAATATGTGTGTATTCTTCGGCAATTGGGAGGGATCAGTGTACTAGTGTCAATCCAGCGGTCCTACTTGGCCATACAATATCTCAATCTCTTTCAAGATTCCAACACGTCATTGTCCACTGTGTCTTCCTTCTGTTTTCGGGTTTTTACGAACACAAAAAAAAAAAAAAAACGTTCATGCCTTTGTTATCAATAATGTCTTATTGTCTTGCTTTTATTACATTTTTGTCCGTTACTCATTTATGTTTTTTCTTTGTCCTTTGCTATAGCTGTGTATTCATTATGACGGCCATATACATAGTTGTGTCTTGGTTTTATTAACAAATAATGTTATTTGTCAGTCGTAAACTCGTTATGAATGGTGGATATATTTATAGTCAATCCTTTTGGGTATCAATTTTCGTAGCCAGTAGTTTTGGCCAAAGCAAAATGCATAATAATTCAATCTAAATAATACGAGTGGTGGTGCTTCCATACCCCTCAATTTATTTGTCTATATTAGGACAACATAAGCTGTATATCAAAAAGGATTATAATATGTATATGTTTACTATAGTTTTTTTTTTGTTTCCTTTCTTTTTCGGTCTGTATATGTTACATAGGCTATAGTTATTGGATAGATATAATATCTTAATTTGTTAAGAAATCAACAAGGTTTATTGTAAATTCCGATATGAAAAAAATACGCTAGTTATTTTAGATCGTAGATACAAAATTAATTTTATAAACTCTCATATGAATCTATGATGTAAGAGCTCTATTTTTATCGTTTTTCTTTACCAACACTTATAGCTTTGTTTTTAAATAAAAAATATACTTCTAGCTTTGTTATGAATAGTCAAATCACTACCGAATGGTAAACCATTAATTAATGTGATTTTCAATATTTAGTGATATGATTTAATTGATTAAAAGGTAAAAGGTAAATCTGTTGACAAAAATTAGGGTTGAAAGACCAATGTTATATGTATAAGTAGATACCATAATAAATTTAATTTGACTTTTAATACATTTTCACGAATGTTATTAAATAGTTCAATAGATTTCCTAACTTCTTTTTGGTCAAAAATGCTTTGATATCTTTTCTAATTTTATGCCATGTATATCTTTGTTTTTCTATTCCAACACTTTATGAATTGTCAAACCATCACTCCCAAATGGCAAACCATTAAGTAATGTGATTTTTTTAATAAATTTAATGATATGATTATGATTTAATTGACTGAAAAATAATTATGTTAGCAAAAATTAGGATTGAAAGATAAAAGCTTAAAAGGAAGGTATGTAAAAATTAGATACCAAAATAAATTAAATTTGTTTTTAGTCAATAACCACGAATGTTAAGTAGTTCAATATATTTCCTAACTTCTTTTTTTGACCAAAAGTTTTAATATCTTTACTAATTTATGTCATGTATCATTGAAATTGACTAGAAAAATTATAAGTATCTGCCACGTCACGGGGCAAGACTACTACTATAAAAACAAGTCTCTGAAAACCTTTGTCATCATCATCAATTCGAAAGAAAACAAACAGTCTTTTATAAAAAAAAAAAAAAAAGAAAAAAAGAGAAAACAAACAATTACTTACACAGAAAAAAATGAATAACAAGGCAATCTTCCTTCTTCTCATCTCTCTCGTCCTCCTTCCTCTATACGCATCTGCGGACCGTGTTGGTGGCTGGGCTCCCATCACCAACCTTACAGATCCTTATGTGGTAAAGGTCGGTGAATTTGCAGTCTCTGAGCACAACAAGCAGAGCAAATCGGAACTCAAGTTCGAATCGGTTGTTAAGGGTGAGTCTCAAGTAGTTTCCGGGACGAATTACCGTCTTGTGGTGGCGGCCAATGACAAGGGCATGAGTAATAACTACGAAGCGATTGTATGGGACCAACCATGGCTGAAATCGATGAATCTCACTTCTTTCAAATCACTCTACAAGGGTCGTTTTCTCTAAATTTTTTATGTAATCGATCTATTTATAGTTGAATAAAGAAAAATGAATTAATGTCAAGTTCTGTATTATCTGGTTTTCAAAGTTTCGTGTTGTTGGGGTTAATAAAATATGATACAGTTGAAGAAATGGTATTTGTTTGACATCAATGAAGAAACGGTATTTGATTGAAAAAAAAAAAAGTGTCGATACGTCCGCTAATTAAGCCGTATAATCTGCTATATAAGAGTATGGGCCTTATGGGTCACGAGACCGTTGAACGAGATGCATCATTGAAATTAATTAGTTAATTACGATATTAATTTTTTTTAAAAAATTATAACGAGACACGAGAGAAGAACATGTGAGGGGAAAAATGTGAAGGTGTAAAGTGAACATGTCATTTGTCTTGGTCCACATAGCTCAATACATGTGATGTGACTAGTTTTCACATTTTTCATTATATCATTTGTAGGTATTGAGAGAACTTTTCTTTTTGTTTTTTTTTTTCTGTGAAATAATAATGTACAGTGCCTTAATACAGTATTTCATTGATTCGTAATTAACGATTCGATTTTCCGGTGACCATTTCAATTGAAGAAGCTGGTAGAATTAAAGAGCAATTGATTCATCTCAACTCAAAAGCTTTTATTGAAGGACATTGTCATTTATTGGGACATTTTCACTCGCCCAAGACAAAACATTAACAATCAATATTTTATCTGTTTAATTTTTTTTTTTTAATCAGAGGGAAGGAAGAAAGCATGAGATAGGAGAAAATAGCCTTCTCTCTCTCTCCTTCACCCGAGAACAAACGCTAAAAATGGAGGCCGAGAGGAAGTGAGAGAAGAGAGAAACATGGTGAGACAGGAGGAGATATAGGGAGGGGCAAATCCAGAGACAAAAAGAGAGCTTTAGTTTTGGAATTGTGTGTTTTTTTCTTTCTTTTTGTTGTTTTTAATTTGTCTAATTTTTTTTTAAAAAAGGGAAGAGGGATTCGAGGTAAGGATAGGGTCGTGCGTGTCAAAGAGAGGTGCTGGACGGGAAGCCGCCGCTACGGCGGCGAGGAGGCTCCCGTCGCAGCACCTAAGCGGAAGCCTAAGCTCTTCAGCCGCCGGCTACGGCGGTGAACCGTCGGATCAATCCGATATCGGCGGTGCGAAGATGAAGGGGCTTTTCAAGTCCAAGCCTCGAACTCCCGCTGACCTCGTCCGACAGACGCGCGATCTCCTCCTCTACGCCGATCGATCCACCTCTTTGCCTGACCTTCGTGAATCCAAGCGCGAAGAAAAGGTAATGCTGCGATTTGAGATTTTTCCTTCATGAATCTTCGAATCTAATTGATCGAAATTAAAAGCAGAGATTGCAATTCAGGAAAAAACTAAATACACTTTTAATGTTGATTTTGCTTTTTTCTTGGTTTCTTTTATTCAAACAATGTGGGTTGCTCTGTATAGCATTTGCGCAATTTCTTGAATAAATTGTTGATTTTATTGGTCGCAGATGGCGGAGCTAAGCCGGAACATCCGTGATATGAAGTCGATCCTCTACGGGAACAGCGAGGCCGAGCCTGTCGCTGAAGCTTGTGCCCAGTTGACTCAAGAGTTCTTCAAAGACGACACACTACGCCTCTTGATCACATGTCTCCCCAATCTCAACTTGGAGGTAAACAATTCACTCTCCAGATTTTTTGTTTTGAGGTATATAGTCGAAGATGATTGCGAAATCTGTCTTTTTATTTATTTATTTAGACGAGGAAAGATGCTACACAAGTTGTTGCAAATCTACAGAGGCAACAAGTCAATTCACGGTTGATTGCTTCTGATTATCTAGAAGCTAACATCGATCTCATGGATGTTCTGATAGATGGGTAAGTGTTTACCTTTAAGTGTTGAAGACCTCATATAGGCATCCGTATGTAGTTTCCGGATTAAGAGATTACTCGTATTACCATTTATATAGCTTTCCATGTTTTGTGTCACAGCTTTGAGAACACGGACATGGCTTTACACTACGGTGCTATGTTTAGGGAGTGCATTCGCCATCAGATTGTTGCCAAGTGAGCTATATTTACAAACCTTGTCAAGTAAACTATCCTATACGTTCAAAGATATTAACGACGAATGGGTTTACTAACATGATTTCATTGGATTTTAGGTATGTTTTGGAGTCTGAGCATGTGAAGAAGTTCTTCGATTACATACAGCTTCCTAACTTCGACATTGCTGCCGATGCAGCTGCGACTTTTAAGGTTCCAAAAAAACTTGCAATTTCGACTTTGAATCTTTCCCTTTTGGCGCTATCTAGTGTCAAGCATACAATCATAAACTCCAACCCTGTAATAATTTGTTTTCGCAGGAACTTCTGACAAGGCATAAGTCTACTGTTGCCGAGTTTCTCACCAAGAATGAAAACTGGGTGAGTTTTCTTACAACGTTATGATTCATACACTGAAGGTCCTGCGTTTGACTAGTGTAATTATGAAACTTTTGGGTTTGCAGTTTTTCGCTGACTACAACTCAAAGCTTCTTGAATCAACTAATTATATAACCAGACGGCAAGCTATTAAGGTAGGGGTAAATTTTACGAGAGTCCAAAACATTAAAACAATATTAGTGGTTGATCAATCTGATGTACTGTATTGCGTAAACGTTAAACAGTTGTTGGGTGATATATTGCTGGATCGATCAAATTCAGCTGTGATGACGAGATATGTGAGCTCAAGGGAAAACTTGAGGATTCTTATGAATCTTCTGAGAGTATGACGCTTTACCCGAATACCTTTCCTCAAATCTTTTGTTCTTGATCTATAATTTAGTTTTGGAAATAAACTCAATCTCTTTGGATTTCAGGAGTCAAGCAAGAGCATCCAGATAGAAGCATTCCATGTTTTCAAGGTATATTTCTTAGATCTTAAAGAAGTGGAACATAATCTTTTATTTGCGATGCTGATTGTCCTGCTTGTTTAAATGTCGGTCCTACGTACAGCTGTTTGCAGCGAACCAAAACAAGCCTGCAGATATAATCAACATTCTTGTGGCAAACAGAAGCAAGCTTCTGAGATTGTTGGCTGATTTGAAACCAGACAAAGGTATGAGAGTTCTGTTAAGTCTTCTGAGATCACCGCTTTGTATTTGATCCTTCTTTTCCTTATAAACGTTTTGTTTGAACCATCTTGTTGACAGAGGACGAGAGGTTTGAAGCGGACAAAAGTCAGGTGTTGAGAGAAATCGCAGCCCTTGAGCCGCGAGATCTTGCTTGAATTAACCAACAGAAATCGTCCTTCCTTCCCTTTTTAAAACATTCGAAAGACATTTTTGGAGCATCAAAGTTTGTTGTTGTATTTTTTATTAGGTAACCAATCTCTCTCTCACTTTCTCTTACACACACACACACACAGAGACCAGATATTTGTTCGTTTATGTATTCTCTCACTTGTACACTTTTCACTGTTGATGAAATAAAATGCCTTTGTTAAACGCGTATAAGTTCACATGTACACATCGTGAAGGTGTAACAAGAGTGCAAGTGTCACGGCTTCAGGAGCCGTTCAACAACTATTAAACATCAAATGTATTACTTTTAATCTAGCAATATATATGTTAGAAATCCCGAACGCAAACCAAAATTAACCAACAGAAAATCGATACATAACCAGAAGAACCAGAAAATTTCATCTAATCTATAAACCAACAAACCATTTCTATGCGTATTGAGACCGGCCATCGTTTCCAAGCTGAGCCGTTTTTGCAGATTTCTCTGCCTTTCCTCTCTTTATGACTACGTACCAAGTAAACGCTTCGAGCACGGCTGCGACTATTCCCAGTACCACGATAATAGCGGTGTAAGCGTTTCTCCACTGCTTCTCAGGTCTCAAGATGTCTAGTCCTTTGAAAACGTTCACCAAAGCCAGGATGATCACGGTGTAGCCTATCGTGTGATGGTATATATTCCAGTAGACTCTGTACTTGTGCTCTGGTTTGGGTCTCAGAAACATGGCAAACACCTAACGTGTGATACAAGAAATTGAGTTATAGCAACATCTTAGTGAGAAAGTAAACAAACAATTACTGTTGATTTAAAACCTACCTGAACTGTTGCAAGGCAGAAGAGAGCGATCCCGATGGCACGGTGAGCGGTAAACTGAATCCCAGCTGATTCGCCGCCGAGCTTGAGACCAGTGGCCCAACCGGCGACACCAGTGATATAAGCAGAAGACTGGCAGAAAACGTGAAGGTAGAACCAAGCAGGGTCTGCTGATTTGGCGACTCTCAAGTATCGAGCAATAATTGCTCCTAGTGGCATCATTATTCCCCAACTCACTCCGTTCAATATTCCATGTATCTGAAATATATATATATATATATACCATTATTAGAAATTAAAACACAAATATCTCAAACAGGAAAAAAAAAACTGAAATAATCAACTCACGTTGCGTTTTCTAAGCTTGGACTTTCCTGTTCCTCCTCCTGCGGCGGATCCAGATGCACCGGAGATGATATTCAGAGTGGAAACAGAGCGGATATTGTTGCCAGAAGTTGGATGAGGCAGAGGATTGTTCCCTGAAAGAGATCCATCTTGCCACACCGTATTGATGTTTCCACCATTCGCAAGAGGGAGATTCAGAGTTGCGAAGATGACCATCTCGTTGTTTTGGTAAGTAGCAGACAAGTCAGTGACGTTGAAACTAAGCACGGCTTCTTGGAGACTCGTCTGGTAGCTGCTGATGGGTGAAGTGTACGCTCTAATGGCGCCGTCTGATTGTGGATAAGCCACTATGGCTTGAGCTCCGACCATGCCCGTGGACGTCGGGTTCACGGCCCATGCCACCCATTTCCCTGGGGTGAGGTTTGTGTGGCGATAAGCGATTTGGAGATTCCCGGAAGAAGAGTCGTAAGTGTAGTGGAGGAAAGAATCAAGGACAGGGAGGTTGTTACAGGACTTAAAGAGACGGTTGCTGGAGAATTTGTACTTGGAACATGTCTGAGCCAAGGCGGATTCGGCGATGATGAAGATGAAAACAGAGAGACGGAGGAGAACATTTGATGATTTGGCCATGGATATATTAGGAAGAAAGAACAGAACCTTGAGTTAAGATTGGAGGAAGGAGAATGAAATGAGTATGAAGTGGAAGAGAGAAGAAGAATATTAAGAATGAAAAGAAAGTGGGACAAGTAGTGTTAGGTTTGTTGGTTAATCTGTCTTAGTACAGAATCTCTAATTCTCTTCATCCTCTTTCCTAATAGTTTTTTCATATATCTTAATTTTCTTGTTCATCTATCAATTCCATTGTTTAACTTATAGAAACATTTCTAAATTGCAATTATAGTGTTTCAAATCCCAAAAAGGTTTTGCCGTATAGGCGTTCTCTTCCTTAAAGTCTTCAACTATCGTAAGTAAATTTTTGAACAAAAGAGGTTAAAAAGAAATAATCAAATGTGGAAAAAAGTATACATGAAGTAAAATAAATAAATGGTTAAGAAGGTAAAAAATATGAATAGGTCTTTCTCATGTTCAAAAACCAATTCACGCTTGCCTCGCCAACTTTGTTTACCAACTCCATTTCTCGTGTTTTTTTTTCCGTTTCCCATTGATCTTCACAATTCCATTCTTCCGTTTATTTATTTGATTTTTTTTTTTGTGGTGTAGCTTAGGTATTTTTGACTGATGAAGTAGACTAGGGAGGGAATAATTTTGGCGTAGTAAAGAGCAAAACATAATCCAAATACTAAAGTTGTGCATGTGTCTTTGAGTTAATTTAAACACCTGTTTTATTGTTGGATATAATTCAAACATCCACCACATGAAGAATCTTCTCTGAGAGTTTTGACCAGACTTAGCTCAAAACCGAATTTGTGAAAGATCCAACGAAAGTGGTTTGGATTAGCTGGTTAGCGTTAGGTTCTATATTTGGGTCGCGACCAAAATCTCAACTGCTAACCACGTGGACGTGGACTCGTTAGTTGTTGTCAGTTAATAATGCCCTTCCCGGTCAATGCGCCAATACCTGTCACATGTCCCCAAGTTGGTAGGTGATACTGGGATTTATGACAAAACGTTTATTAACTACGATGGATCCCTAACTAATTCTCGCAAATGTATTCGATAAAAAAAATACGAGGTTTTAACTTTCATCAGCTCGATCGAAATGAATTTAAGACTCTACTATACAGGATAACATTATGCAGTTTATTAGTAGCTATATTTTTTTTTGAATAACATATGATTACGAATGAAATTAAAATACCATTAAGCGGATAACACATCAATTTTAAAAAGAACAGACATAGACTATATTCTTAAGTTCAGTTTTAGTGTTCTAGCAACCAAATAACCCTTTTTTGTTATTACTTGCTAACAAATTTTCTTATGATGGTTAATTGCTAAATTTAAAAGACGGTAAAGAACGTAAGGCCTATGATAAAAGAGGTAAAGTGGGTCCATCGAAGGCCCAAAATGTATGTTCTTCTCAGCCCATTATTACAAATCCGAACCGAAACGGAAAATTTTCCGGTTCCTCTCTCTCTCTCTCTCTCTCTCTCTGAGTTACTGCCTTGCAACAAGTCTCTATGATTTCCAAGCAGAAGCGTTGAATCCCTTTGGTTTTATTCTCCGCATCGATACCATTTTGGGATCCTATTTCGTTTCTCATCTTTGGATCCATTTCGCCACTCACCCACTTTCTCAAATCGTTGTTATTTTAAGAAGGTAATCTTGTTTTCCTCAGCAATTCCCTTATTTTTTCCGAGGAAAAAAAGGGTTTCCCCCTTGTGATTATCCCTGTATATGTTGTTATTTTGTTTAATATCTAAAATTGGTCTGCTAAAATTCTGAATATGCTATGATCAGCTTTTTCTTGTGGCTGTGTGGTCTTACATTTGACGGGAATGTCTTGTGATCTCTCCTGTAACTTTGGAATTCTGTTTTTTTACTCAATTTTTTTTACACGCTTTGTTTGATCGAAAGAAATCTTAAGTTCTCTCTTGACTCCTCTTTCTCTCTAACGAAATGGGTTCTTACTTGGGTTTAGTTTCTTAGGTGAAAGTTCGATTTTTGTGGATTTGGTGTCTATAATTATCTCTGTCACAGATATCTCATCTTTACAGAGAAATGTGCCCTACCTTGATTTTATCAATCCGTATCTAAAGATTCATAATACACGCATAAAGTATACCTGCAACAATCATTTTACTGAATCCATCTTTAGGACAAGACTGCGTATTTCTATCAGTTGTTAAGCTGCACTTTGTGTGATCCACTGATGAGTTGTGTTGGTTGCTTAGGGTCCGCGCTTGTCCTTTCTGTCTGATTTCTGTTTTTTTTTCTTCTTCTTTACGATAGAGAGAATATTGCTCTGCTTTTCTATTGGACGGTTTCACGCCGTGTGAATAGTTACTATGCACCGACTTTAACTTAGATTCTCAGGGTGATTTCACTACTAAAGCTGGCTTTACTTCTTGTATATAGGCGTACACACCCAAGTGGTCTTGTGTTACAATATCCTCTAGGAGGTGGTGAAGGGTCAGATTCAGGTTTCAAAAGAGGTAACTTGTGTGAATGCCTTGCTTCAGATCCAGAAAGCTTTTATGTGCTGAATCATTTTTGCTCGTGATAGATATTTCTAGGGTGGTTGAGAGTTGAAAGATTGAACATTTTAGTCAACTTTGCTCCACGGAACCTTCTAGGAAGTTAACTCTGTAGACAGGTGATCTTAAAGATTCTGTTGTCTACTCTTAGATCTCAATATTTTCTCTGTCTGAAGTTTTTCTTTACCAACTCTACTTATTCTTTGTCCTCCCTTTTCCTCACTTTGACACATTTGTTTTTGTAGACGGGTTAAAAGCCAGTGGTAGAAACATGCTTCTGTAGAAGAGGGTGTTGTTAAGCATAACAAAGGAGAATGGCTTTTTATTCTGAGGACGAAAAGAGTGAAGACTACCTCTTTAAGATTGTTCTGATCGGTGATTCCGCAGTCGGGAAATCGAACTTGCTCGCAAGATTTGCGAGGGATGAGTTCTATCCCAACTCAAAGTCGACGATTGGAGTGGAGTTTCAGACGCAGAAGATGGATATTAACGGGAAGGAGATCAAAGCTCAGATATGGGACACGGCAGGTCAAGAACGTTTCAGAGCAGTCACTTCTGCGTATTACAGAGGTGCGGTTGGAGCTCTTCTGGTTTACGACATCAGCAGACGGCAGACTTTCCACAGCATTGGTAGATGGCTCAACGAGCTTCACAGTAAGAGCAAAGCTCCATCTTTTCTTTTCTTATCTTTTTACTAAACGAAAATCATCACAATGCAAATGCTTATTATGAAAACCTGTTGCAGCACATTCTGATATGAACGTTGTGACGATCTTGGTGGGGAACAAGTCGGATCTGAAGGACATAAGAGAAGTGTCGACAGCGGAAGGGAAGGCGTTAGCGGAAGCGCAGGGACTTTTCTTTATGGAGACATCGGCTCTGGACTCATCCAACGTGGCAGCTGCATTTGAGACGGTTGTGAAGGAGATATACAACATACTGAGCAGGAAAGTGATGAGCTCACAGGAGCTGAACAAGCAAGATCCTGCCTCTCTCAGCAACGGCAAGAAACTTGTGATTCCATCAGATGCGCAGGGGGAATCCAAGAAAGGTGGATGTTGTTCCTCTTGATAGAAAACTGAAACTGTAGAGAGCTTAACTTTCATATGTTTGATTGTTTATTTGTCAATGCTGCCACGAATGTTTGAAACTTGAGATGCGCTGTGTTGTGGTGTGGAAGTGTTTTAGGTGTAGCAATCTGTAAATTTTCCATTGCAGAAGCTTTATGAAAAACTCACACTCCTCTCTATTAAGTTTGCCACTTCTTTGTTCTTCAACATAATTTTGCAAATTGATTATCACCATAAATCATTTTTTATTTTCATTTACTACAAAATGACTTGAATGTAATTAAAAATAAGATAATGTATGAATACTGTTATTCTTCCAATGAAGCAAGCATTTGCCATCGGGAAGAGGATCAAATCCAGCTGTGGAATTAGATTGACAAAAAAAAAAAAAAATGTAAGAGATGAAGTTGAAGTGCAGAGATCACACGTGCAGTTGCATGTGAAGACAGATTGGCTCCGCACATGATTGCATTTATCGCCGTAGTACGGATTCCACAGACCATCGTCATCATCATGATGCATTTTTTTTTCTTCAGCTCAAACCGGACATTTTCATTACGATTGTCTTACTGTCTAAACCGGGTTGCATTGTTTCGGTTTGATCCGGTTTAATGGTCTCAATGATCTCCGCAAGTCCATTCAAGACCTGAAAATAGGATAAAAACTATTAAACCTTTAGCATATAGAGAAGTAAAACTGTACCTGAAGCTCAAATGTTGTGTAGCTTCTTCTCATGTCTAACTTTACCCTTTTTGTTTCTTGGATTGACACCTCCAACATTTCAATTCTCTGCAAGAACCAACCATAAAAACCAAACAATACATTCTTAGATCAGGGGGCTAAATAATTACAATTCTCCTGAAATGTGTATACATATATGCACGCAATTTCACCTTCTGGCTTTCCTTAACAGCAGCTTTCAGGGAAGCATACTTCTGCAATGTAACCGCGTTTTTGCCTGAATCTTCCTGCATTTCATTTTCATGTATTTTACTCAAGCTTTAATATTAAATTCAAGAATTCGACTTTTATATATACTTTTTGATTGGCTGGGGCATTTTCTGAGACTTTGTCCATAGTATGCCCCTCAGATTCAGCATTTCCCACTGTGCAAGTCTCCTATAGATATCGCACATAATCCAATATTTAGTGGAAGTAAACTGTGTCTAGTTGATGGAAACTCAAAGGTTCGAGCATCAACCTGGATCTTTTCCTTGATGTTTGGATCGTTCCAGGGTCCTTCATCACTGAAAAGACAGCCTCCACGATCTGAACAGGTGCAGTTACCTCCAAGAAATGTTGGTAAGTTGCTGTTTTATGACATCAACACACAAACAATGCAGAGTTTCCAATGAGATTCCTCATATACGAAACTAATCTATCCACTTGTTTTAGAAGAGAAACATATCAGAAAAAGGTTTAGACCTTGGATCTATTGCTTCGAGAATCTCCCCAAGGTAGTTGGGTCCGAGCACCTGGAACAAACATAATTATGGTTACGAAGAACCTTGTGACTAAACCAAAAACAAGCATAGAGTGCGACGAGTGGCATATTCTTACCTGAACTTTAGCCAATGTTCGAGCATCAAGAAATGTCTTAAGTGCAAGCCACAGCATCCGGAATCCAGAACTGGCATTGACAACGAAGAGGCGATGCAAAGTCTAGAGCCAAACCAAATCAGAATTACAAGCATTGTTTCATGAAGATGGTTATGAATCCGAAAACTCAACCTACCTCAGGGTAGTAGTTGCTGTCTATCTTCTGAATCTCCATGAAGAGCGATCTCGCGGTTTTTGAGAAGTTTGACATTCCCTTTTCAAAGAACAATGGATTAGCCACGAACAAAAACAACATTTCATCTACAAGAATGATTATTGAACGCTTTACCACTCCAGAGACATCCAAAATGGTTGTGGTAGACGAAACATGCTTCTCTGAAGCAATTGAACACGCCGGATATCTCAAGCTCAGCGTTTTCTCTTGTTCTTTGATATGATACTTGACATATCTCTCAATGGTGGTTGCTTTCAGAAACGCGTTAAGGTCAACCATACCAATTCTCTCAATGTATATTGGCCTACCATTTTTGTCTACCTTATGAAACCCATGAGGGTAATGCTTCTTCACTTCACCGTATTCCTCAAACTTAAACTTCTGTCAGACATTTCGTCGAACAGGTTGTGAGTGAGATGATCTAATTCACGAAAACTAAACCGAAAGGCCTCCTATTTATTTTTACCTTATAGATCATATCCACTTTAGAATCCACCCGCCACTTCAAATAATTCAAAAACGCATCTTTGGATTTCTCCAGATCAAAATCCCTCATTTTTAGAAACCTGATATCAAATTTAAAACAAGTTTGAGTCGAAATTCTCAAAAAGGAATTTTGGGGTACATGATGGTTTTGAAATTACCTGAGAAGTGTATCATGATCTCCGTGCTTTGCAGGTAACTGGCCATGGAGGAGAAGCAAGTTACGAAACGCTTCAACAATATCTTCATTATTTGGGCTGTGTTCTTCGGTAAAGGAATCAGTTTGTATAGAATCTTCAGCACCATCAGAAATTTGTATATCTCTGTAACTCACCTCTGTTCCTTGCATCTGTAACGATCATAGGCTTTTTAAAAATTTTAAATTTTCTGAAGGAGGATAAATTATCAAATAGCTGCGTTGAAGTACAGATGAAGGAAAGAAAAGTGATGAGAATCGAATTCTCATAGTTCATATCTGTAAAAAGAAAAATAGAAACAGAGTAGAGTAAAGAGAGAGAAAAATGGAATAATTGATTTCTCTCGGCGCGGGAAAAGTTCGGCGAGAGAATAACGGCCTTTTGGCTGGTTCCCGTTTCTTCGGTGTCGTTTCAGGGGAAAGTCGTTCCTTTTGCTTTGGTTCTGTAAGACAAAATGGGCCTACTATAATGTGTAAAAAGGTCAAAGAAGATGGGCCTACTATAAATTCTTTCTCAAACTATATAATTTATGTATATGATATATGGGGATATGTGTATTACAAAGTATATGTTCTCTAAATTCATTCTCTTTTGGAGAAAAAAAATATCAAAGGGACTTGAAGTGTCTATACATACACACGTATCTTATTATATACAGCTTCTTCATGTATGTCAATATTATTCTAATAAAAACATATAATTTCTTAAAACATATAAATATAAGTAGGTGAAAAGAATTAAGGTTGGGTCCCATGAGCCACCATAAAAGATTCCGAACCATCCCTTTTTGAGGCCAGGGGCAGTTTCATCAGAAAAGGAAATGTTATGAATGAGAAAACTGAAAAGCTATGGGTAAGTGTCGAGTGGATCATCATCCATTTAAAAAAATAAAATAATCTGTAATTCATTTTATTTTGTTTGGAGTTGTATTTTCAATTTTTATCTCTAATTTACCTAGGGATATAATAAGAGTCATACACACTAGTCACTACATAATGCATTTACATATGTGTTTACTGTTTAGAGCTAATTAGATATCCACATTTTAAAATTGTACTAATTATTTATGATTTGGTATGTTCGAAATCAAAGCTAGAGTAACGAAGCGGATCAGATATCAAAGAGACTCTATGGTCCCCTTGGGATTTTTGGAACAAGCTCCAACGTTCGTTCGGTTTGATAGGTTGTGGATAATTGATGAGTGGTACTTTTCAAAGTATGTGGGACCTAATAGGGTTCACGTGAAAGCATAGAAGCAGAGTGTGTGTCTACACTATCATCATAAATTTACTGTACTATTATCTCCACCCATTCTTTCTTTATATATCCTATTTTGCTTTATAGTTTCAATTTTCATTTTTCTGCTCATCAATACTATACGACCGTTTTTATTATCATTATTATCCATTTCACATTCAGTAGATCGAGTGCATGTGTATGCAATGGCCAATGTATATACAATACCCACGAGGGAGAGAGAGAGAGAGAGAGTGGGTGCCTCATGCTACATTGTGGTTGATCAAGCATGCTTCAAATAATATTATCATGATTCATGAATATGGGCATCCCAATATCTTATATAAATGCTATATATAGACTATAAGATAAACAGTTAATCACAGTTAAAATATAAAATCATGGGCTCCTATTTACATATGACAATAAAGCTACACTATTGGTCGAATCTGAGATAAAGACAAACCCTAAACTCAAAACCTGATATAATTTGCCAAACGCTTAAATCCAAATAGAAAAAATAGCGACCTAACACGATAGTGTATACAGGCTACTTTAAAATATAAAATAAAATAAGGACTCAATTTTCTTGGTTTAAACAGTAAAAGCTTTGATAAAAAAAAACAGTGAAAGCTAATACATATGAAGACAAAAACACATATAGACTGTTGTGTTCTTTGCCAATCTTTTGGCTTCACTTCACCACAAAAAAATATGACCGTTAAGACTCAAACAAATCAGGACCACCTTGTAATCAGTACATGTATAAAACCCATCGATCCTCCATCGTCATTTGCTTACTCGCCGATCATTTTCTTCCTCATCACAGTCCAATGGCGCAACTCAGATCTTTTACTTATTCCCTTAATTATCTCTTTTCTGTTTCTCTCTTATTATTATTCCACTGCTTATGTTTTCATTTTTCATTTGTTGCAGCTTGTTCAAACTCAAACTCCACCGAAGATCAACACCATCACCACCGGAAATGGGTGGGTCCCGAAGGTCACAAAGTCATCACCGTCTCACTTAACGGCCACTCTCAGTTTCGCTCCGTCCAAGACGCCGTGGATTCCATACCGAAGAACAATAACATGAGTATCGTTATCAAGATTGGTCCCGGATTTTACCGGTATTTATAATCCCTAATCAATTCCTCCTATTTTTTCACTTAATTATTATATTTGTTATCGATTGTTACATTATTCCTGTTTCATGCACACATGCAAAAATATGATGGGTTAAAATTTAACTTTGCATTTACATGTACAATTTCCACGTGTGTGCAGAGAGAAAGTGGTGGTTCCAGCGACAAAACCGTACATAACGTTTAAGGGAGCGGGTCGGGACGTGACAGCCATAGAGTGGCACGACCGTGCCTCCGACCGAGGTCCTGACGGTCAACAGTTACGTACTTATCAAACCGCTTCTGTCACAGTCTACGCTAATTACTTCTCCGCTAGAAACATTAGCTTTACGGTACTAATTCTAATGCAAAGACATAGAACTTTTTAATTTGCCCAAAAGAAAAATAAACATAGAACTTTTGGAAAAATATATGACTCGTTCCTTTTTTGGTTTCTTATAAAAAGTTGCAAGCCTTTATTTTTTTGGGTTCATCTTTAAATGTGAAGAATACTGCGCCAGCTCCGATGCCGGGAATGCAAGGGTGGCAGGCGGTGGCATTTAGGATCTCCGGCGACAAAGCTTACTTTTCCGGCTGCGGATTTTACGGTGCACAAGACACTTTATGTGACGATGCTGGACGTCATTACTTCAAGGAGTGTTACATTGAAGGCTCTATCGACTTTATTTTCGGTAACGGCCGCTCCATGTATAAAGTAAGGACATAAAAACTGAATATGATATATTAATTAATGAAATATTAGCTAAAAGATATTATTACTACATGCATGTACCTAGTTTTGAGTTAGAAACTCATAATAAAATGACTAATGTGTTATCGCTGGTGAAGGATTGTGAGTTGCATTCCATAGCGTCGAGATTCGGGTCGATAGCGGCGCACGGGAGGACATGCCCGGAGGAGAAAACGGGTTTCACATTCGTGGGTTGTCGGGTAACGGGTACGGGTCCGTTATATGTGGGCCGGGCTATGGGCCAATACTCACGCATCGTCTACGCCTACACCTACTTCGATGCTCTTGTTGCTCATGGTGGCTGGGACGATTGGGACCATAAATCCAATAAAAGCAAGTACGTACGAGTTAATCACACTCATATTTATACTAAGAAAAGAAATATATATACACATATCTATGATTTGTGGTTAGTCCAAGAAAAAAAGAACGAAAATGACTGAGAAATCTCGAAAACCAGGACGGCGTTTTTCGGAGTGTACAATTGCTATGGGCCAGGAGCAGCAGCGACGAGAGGCGTATCGTGGGCCAGAGCTTTGGACTATGAGTCGGCCCATCCTTTCATAGCTAAGAGCTTCGTCAATGGGAGACATTGGATCGCTCCTCGAGATGCTTAACCAACTTCAAATGTTGTTCATTTACTTCCTCGCCACACTACACATGCACGCCGTTTTCTTTCTTTTCCTAGCTTAGTTATCATTCGTTTATTCATTTTGTTGTGATTTATTTATTTATACATTCTTTCCACATGAGACGACGATCTATACAATCAGTTTGGAATATATGGTGCATTTAAATCCCTTACATTTGTAATCTATGGTTATCTATCTAATACTCAAATGGTGAGACTACATCAGCGCAATTAACCCATAGAGGTCAGCATATATACTCCATATATACATCAAATACAACTTACTTTACTTTATTTAATACAAAAGTATTTCGATTTGGCTGAATTCAGCACGTTTCATACAATGAAATTTGGGGGAGGCTTAAGAGAGATCAATACAAGATACATTATGTGTAACATTGAGATGATGCACGATATGTGTGTAACATTTTGCAACTCTTCCTTACCTCTGTTAACACAGAAATTTAACGAGTAACAGAAAACAATACAATAAAACTCGGTCAATCTGACCTTATTATATATATTTAGCAAAACCCAAAATGTATAGTTTTGCAACTCTCCAGAAGACAACTCTTGGTTCCATTCCCAAAACCCAAATGAAACAATGAATCATCTATACAAAAAAACCTGCCTCCTATCATTGAATAAGAAGACGAAGGAGGCTCCCTAAGGTCCCTGTTTTCCTCATGGATCAACAAGGAATTGATTGGCTTAGGTGTCGAGAACATCCCTCTACCTGTGACACCGACCAAAACTCTCTGAAAATTCCAGTTTCCGGTGACTCACAGTTCCACTTCCTGAAGCTCCTCTCCTAAGCTGCTGCCGCTACTGTTGAGTGGGATTGGGTTGAAGGTCGATGGACTAGTTGGAGGCGTAAACGAGGTGTTGAAGTTTCCGCTCCATGAAGCTGTTCTTCTGGATGCAGGAGGAGGATGATCCCCGTTGAGGCTTATTCCCAATCCATTTCTTTTGATGTTGTCCATACTTGGAAATCTCTGCATCATCATCATCTGTGGTGGAGCCCCTGAAGAGGCTACTGATTCATCTGCCACGTTCTCCTCCTGTCTGGTTTCAGCAGCAGCCGGTTCCATTACCTGCCCGTTTGAAGACGTTGCAGGTGCTGCTGGAACGAAGAATTTTGCTTTTGCAGGGATTGGTGGTTTCGGGGACGTTAAGGAAGGCGACTGAAACATTGTCTGAGCGTTTCCACGGCCTTGATTAAAGGTGTCAACGTACCTGCCCCAAAAGAGAGTAAACTGATTTAACTTTGATCATGCACATTATATACAATAGAACACTAACAATTACAATTAACAAAGAGATATGCCTAATTTATACTAAATGCTTCATCTTTCCTAGTAGTAAACCAAAGGTGGCTTATGTTCCCTCCTTAATGCCATTCTAAAGTGATAGTAACATTGCGTTCATGATATAGGATATTTACACAGATTCTAATTCTAAAGTGCCTCAAGCTATTTGTTTACCTTGGACGCATACGTCCACGACCTGAGAATTGGTTCGAGCCCTGTGAGACTGGTGGGATTCCAGAAGAATTCTCTGACGGAGTTGGGCCCCCGGAACTCCAGTTCCCACTAGATGGATTCATGTCAGATTTGTTTTCATAACCCAATGAGTTGTTTTGGAATGTTCCTCTTGTTGGAGGAGGAGGCAGTGCAGCTTCCTCAGCTGGGGGTTCCACACCTT